CTGTGGCCAATGTCCGTGTGACAGTAGTATACTGCCTTTCTGCCTCTACTCCAAACAAGATGATTAGCACTCAGTATCATCAAAGACAATGAGGAATTGCTGTTTTGACGGGTGTCAGTTTCTCTTGACATCAACCACTTTATTATGTCGCACCGTGCGATGATTCGACATTTACTCATATCCCCCAGTTCCTCAACATTGCAAATTTCCCCGCTATATACCTCTGACTGACACCATGCTTTGTCAAACTCCGAATGTTTGCTTCCCTAGCTCAGCACAGCTCCCCGGGCGTCCCGTCCCGTTATGTTGGGTCTTTCAGGTACAGCTACCCCTTGCGTCCTCCCCGCGTCAACGCGGTCCACCAAGCGCGGGATGTGTAAAACCTTTGTTGGGCGCAAGACAGATAAAGAGCACCATCAACCCCCAGTTCCGTTCCCCTCACCTCCAGTTTCAGGACGAGCCGCGCACGAAGGACAAGACATCATGGGGAACGAAGTTGAAGTCAACGAAGCGCCTATCCCTTGTGGCCTTTGGGTCTGCTTTCCACAGGAAGATGGGCCCCAGTGCCTGATCACAATATGGGTATAAGAGCCCCCTTTCTGCCAGCGATCTCTGTTGAGTTTCCTTCCCCTACCATAGAAAACACCTGGACTTATCAGAAAAATCCCCTCGTCTTGTCAGTTGTTCCAAGTTACCAACCATTGATTCATTTCTCATCGCTCCCTTCATCAACCCTCATACGACACGATGGTTTCTTTCAAGGTGGTCATTTCTGCCCTTGCTGCTGGCAGCATTCAATTCGCTTCTGCCATTGTGGTTCCAGACGGCGGAGTCACTCCCCACGACCAATACTCATCCTCAGTCGGAGTCCTCGGCTGCAAGATCGATACCAACAGGGTCGCCTACTGGAGGGAAGAGGTCGATTGTGACAACATCTGCGTGGAGGTCACCGCCAACAACCGCTCCGTCACTCTGCTCAAGATTGACCATTCCGGTGGTGCCTACGATATCTCCTTTGACGCTTGGCACTATCTGGCCTGGGGGGACCCGGCAATTGAAGGCAAAACCCGGTCTGGCGGTCATCTTGCGGCTGATTACAAATTCGTCCCCAACGAAAACTGTCGTCACCTCATCCACACTGCCTCTGGAAAACTCCCCTTAATGGCAGCGAACTCGATGAACTTTGTCAGCCAATGCAAGGTCCCCGGGGGCCCAAGGACCTGGGTCGGGGAGAACTTTGAGATGTGGAACATCGCAAATGCTGTATGCATGTATGGCGTTGACGAGGTCTGCGCGTATCCCGACGTCTCAAATGGCTATAACCAGCCCATATGCCCATCCGGGCTGGGTAACAACGCCATTTTGGAGGGACATGAGGTCTGGAACATTTGGTATCCCAGCGGAAAACTGGCCAAGGCGCTTGGTTGATCCTTCTTCGGCTACGGGTAGTGGACCACACAGTTTTCTTTTCTCTTTTTGTGTTTACGCAATTTCGTTCCATTTCGAGGTATGGCGGCGGGTTGGACGGACGGATTGCATGAGGGTGTCTCTTTCTTTTGCATTTTGGCATTGCCACTCCTGTCGTTGCAGATGTTGCTTAGGTCAGCATCGGTTCATGGAAGCTGGGTTTCATGGGAATATCTTAAACACTGCCTACCTACCTGAAGGGTGCCTTTTTAGAGTCAACTTTGATTTTCTGCGAAAGCGTTAAATACCAGATACCGGTCCTGCTGCAACATATGTTAGATGCCATTTTGTGAATCGAAATCCTCTTTTGACTGGCTGTGCCTCAATAGACACTCGGCGTCTTTGCCTGGTTGGCGAGGTGGCCATCATACGTGTACATAGCATGGGGACTTGGTGTCTGAAGAGGAGGTAATCAGTCGATTCGGTGCGTTAACCGACGCATACTCTGACATTGATGATACAAGGTTCCGGGAACCATGAAGTGATTGACGCCTTGAAGAACAAAGGAGCGCCGCCCCAGTTCCGTCCCTTTGTTCAAAGATCATAGCATCCGGAAATGGAGGAGTTCAGAATGTCGCAGATCGCTGGGGCCTGAACAGGTAATCAGCCGGATGGTGGCTTCCTGATTGATGTTGGCTAGTGTCGGAGTAATTGGCATGAACCATCCCGTCTCGGCCAATCTCAATGTTGTATTCCAGGTCGTAACTTCTTGATTTGCGTTCTCAGGTTCCTTCCTTCTCCGCTACCTAAAAATAGCCGAGTGTTGCTGCTGCACGAACAAAGGTCTACGAACGTTGGTGGGGGACAATGCAGGTGTTATGCAGCGAGGACTCATGGACACACAATTTCTGCAAACTTAACAACGGGTTCCCAGAAAATGCGAATACCATCAACGCAATCATGACAGTCGGAACGTGCGCCCTATCGAAGTCGACTTCAACCCAATATACATCCCGTTTCTCCTGCCAACCTGCCAGTCATGCACTTTTTCGCATCTCTTATTCACCCAAGTCCATCTCACGGTGAAAAAACGAACGAATGCTTCTTACTTGCCTTAAAATGTTTGCAGACTCATCAAACGTTCCAGATCACTAATCCACTTGAGCCTCTCCTTTGTCACCACATTCGACCGCCCAATATTCTAACCGCCGTAGAAGAGATGTGAAGTATCCAGGATCCGCCGAAAACCTCGGGCTGGGAGCCTAGTCACCTTACGTCCATTCTCACAACAAATCACGGCTGGAGCCTCGATTATACGCGGCAGGCTGGAAACGCGCACCATGAATTGGATCGAACATGCTCACCCGCCTTTTCTTCTTCCAGTCGAGACGAGATATTCCGTGGGCTTCCACAAGATGCTCCAATTCCATCCTCAACACAATGCCCTCAAACCATACCAACGGAACGGTATCTTCACCCAGAGGCAGTTATCGTCTGAACTCGAGGATGACTCCCACCGCTTTTGCCTCAGAGTGAGCGGGATGGATTTTGCCAGCCCTTGGCAGTTCACTTCACAATGCCTTTGCTCCACTCAAAAACCTTCTCGTCCCGTTTGAACCTCCTCAACGACGGCGTGAATGGGCTGTGGATACCTGTGCTGCCATTCACGCGCGGGAGAAATCCCATTCACGCGCGGCAGGTCAGAAACATTTGCCCTTTCCTCTAGATATAGAAGACCTCTTCCTCCCACAACATCTTCCACTTTTGAAACTTCCTTACAGCAACCAACAACCGGTCTTCGAGGTCCAGTTTTCCAAGCCCTCAGAAAACCAAAGCCGAATCGACAAGCATCTCTCAAGATCATCTTCAAGATGTTGTTCAAGAACACCTTCGGCATCCTTGCCACCTCTGGCAGCGTCATGTGTTGTGGTGGGGTCTGTCCCAGCTCCATTCACTGACATTGTCATGTGGGCCCACCAGCCCGCACCACCATGTATTTAGCCCTCCACATTTTCTTTTCCTTTCTTGTCTTCCTAGTTTAACACAATCAGCACACTTCTTGTGCCCACAAACCCCAAGATCATGTCTTTCGTCACCGGCGCAGCCATTGGCAACCTTGCCCTTACCATCGACATCAGCTCCCTGTCCAACGGTCGCAATGGCAGCAAGCTCGCCGCTGCCGGCGAGATCTGATTCACCCCTCATGACCACTTTAGCTCATCGGTTGGCGTCCTAGGTTGCAAAACCGAAGTGAACCACATGGCCTACTGGCCTGAGGCTATCAGCTGCAACGACTTCTGTGTAGAGGTCTCGTATGGAGGTCGCTCTGCTTTGTTCATGCACCTCGATAACTCGGCTGGTGCTCACGACGTCAGCTTTGAGAACTGGAACTATCTGGAGACGGGCTACCCGGCTTCGGAGAAGAACCACATCAATCCCTCCGCTGGATTCACCACCCAGTACAAGACGGTTGATGCCAGCCGGTGCGCCCCCCTCATCAAGACTGCCTCTGGCAACATGCCCTTCTCTGCCGCCACGTCCATGGGTTTCATCGCGAACTGTGTTCTCAACCACAAGGACTCTTGGATCGCCAAGCACTTCGAGTTGTGGAACATCCACGACTCGCAGTGCAACTTGGGTCACAACGAAATCTGCCAGACCCCCGACTTGAAAAACGGCGTCAACCAAACCACTTGCACGCACATGCTGGGAAGCCAGGATAAGCTGGTTGGCCAAGACGTCTACAACATCCTCTACCCGAGCGGTGAATCCGAGGAGATCAAAGGTCCTGGCGAGGCCTAAGTGCTTCGAGCTCGGCGCGCGGCGATCTTCGACAGCGACAACATCACCTTCTCCCTTTCAGCGACTTGAGTTTTCGGCACGGTTCATCATCGATTTTGAGGACGACAACGGCGGAACAGGGGCGTTAAGGTGTGGAAAGGGTGGAGGTCATGATCTTGGAGGAAGTCAGCAAAGCACAGCACGGCGTTCAGGCGTTCGGTACTTCAGGACAGCATTCGAGCATCACATTTCATGATGACTCGCGGAGGAATATTTGGGTTTCGACATAGCTTCTAGGCTTGTCTGGTAGAAAGCGACACTTTAGATTTTGGGTGTCTGTTTTCATGAGAAAGGAAAATAAAATGCATGTCCATACGCTTGATTCCCAATGTGCTGATTTCGTGATATCTGCTTGCGTGTGTGTGAAGTCCGAGGTGCCTTGCATAGAGGCCCAACACTGAATCAGAATACTTCTACATTCCCATTGGCCGCCGTCTCGTGATACATACCTGCGTGTGCAGTGGTATGCGAGGGGTTTTACATAGATCTTGCATGAAGTACGTACCAACCTTGAAAATGCGTCCATGTAGTGACCACTGGGCCACAAACCGAAAAAGAAAAAGAAAAGATTAATGGAGTTCTACGAAAAAAAAAAAAAAAAAAAAAGCAAGAATCGAAAAAAAAAAAAAAAAAAAAAAAAAGCAGGGTGAAAAAAAAAAAAAAAAAAAAAAAGACTGGTGTTCTAGCGTGCGTGTCCAGTCTGTGTTATGTTTATTCAGTCAGCCCAGTGTAGAATCCGAATGGCGGGCCGTAACGAGTCAGCGAAGCAGATGTTAAAAGATTATTGGGTGTAGACAACCCTTTCTTTCTTTTTTTTTATGCCTAGAGGTCTAAAGCTAAGGTACGGTACTTGTATCTTGAAAGCACCTAATCATGATGTCGTAACTCATGAAATGTCCTCGTCGAGGAGGAACTTTGTAAATGGTTTTTGAAGAAAGAGAACAGGAAGAAAACTGGCTTACCCTGTGGTCTCGGGTAGCAATTGGAATTTTCTGGAGCAGAAGTTGATGTCCTCCGTTGGTGCTCCGAATGATATCCCAGAATGAAAAAAGAGAGGCCGTCGAAATCCTCCAGAAGTAAATATTCAAGTAAGATCATGTACAAAAGACCGCCCATGGTATCCATCGTGACATTGCCAAAAGAAAAAAAAACTAAAAAAAAACTAGAGAAATCTAAATTCCGTGAGGCTCGATGTCTTTCGTAAGCTAGTCGTGGCTCGTGATTTCGAAGCTTGCTTGGCTACTATCCCGCCGCACGAGGACGAGGAGAGCTCTGGTTAGGTTCGAGGCCTTGAGCTTACGATGTTCGTGTGGACTAGAACACATCTGTTAGTAATGGGCCGTAGTAGGAAATCCAAGAGAGAAGAGCACTTACCAAACCCCATCTCCCACCCTGTTAAACCTAGTCCTCCTTAAACAGGATAAGCAACATCCTCAACAGCAAACCCCTTCTCCATAACCGTCTGAATCCCCAGCGTATGCCCTGCCCCACAATCCGGCTGATTCGTAACCGCCAAATCGGGGAAATCGCAAGTAACGTCCTCTCCCCACTGACACCTCGCATCCGCAATATTCCACAGCTGAAAGTTATTTCCCACCCAACTCCCCGCCTCATTTTTGCAAGAATTAACAAAATCCATCGAATTAGTGGCCGAGAAAGGCAGTTTCCCATCCGCAGTCTTGATCAACCCCCTACACTCCTCGGGGTTGACAACTTCATAGGTTGCGTCGATGATACCGCCGACGACAGGAGAGACGGCACCGACGCCGTTTTGCAGGTACGCGTAGGCGTCGTAGCTTATGTCGTAGGCACCGCCTGATTGATCGATTTTAGGAGGGTGACGGAGCGGCCGTTTGCGGAGACGCGCACGCAGATGTCGTTGCAGGAGACGGAGGACGGCCAGTAGGCGATGCGGTTGATGTCGATTTTGCAGCCGAGAACGCAGACGGAGGAGCAGTATTTGTCGTGAGGGGTTATGCCGATTGGTTCACCGCGAGGTTGGAGAGGGATGGCGGCGGCGGAGGTGAGGCTGGCCGTGGCGGCAGCGAGGCCGATGACAGCAGGGGTGTTGGCACGCATCTTGTTTAGTGTTTGGCGTTTGGATGATTGAGAGTTGGTCTCGTTGAAGTTGGGTTGGTATTAGTGTGAGGCAGTTAGCTCGAAGAATTGTCTTGATCGAGATGAGTGGTCGATGTGAGTTATTCGAAGCTGGTTGAAAGGAAAATGGTAAGAGAACATTAAGCAATGGTACCATGGTCATTTATAAGGGTCTAGAAAATAATCAACAAGTCAGGACATTGATAAAAAATATTCAATGCATTGCAGAGTCATGAATATCTGCATGCCATGAATATCTGGCTTCGACGTCCGGAAATCTGCAACAAAGGCTGATGCATCTTGCGTGGTGCGTGCCCCTGAGCCACCCGCATGGAACAAGGACAGATGGAACAAGGTCAAGCTTCTCAAACATGAAAGGGAAAAAAACGTGCTTCGTGCTTGGTGGAGGTGAAAATCGCAATAAACAAAGGTGTCAGTGGATTGTGGCTTGCGGTCGAGTCAGATAGTCTGCACATGGCTGAATCATATGTGGGAATGTGGTTCTGTGATATTTTAAGATCCAGCAGAGTCTCGATTTCAAGACTTCCCCGGACATCCCCGCGCATGCTGCCCGATTCAGAGTGGGGTTTAGATATGCACCCTCCGCGTCCGATGCATGAACCGGCAGACATGGGACCCGGACATCGGAAGAAGTCTGGACCCTGATCGGTGATACCTCGCGGCTCCAGGCTCCTGGCCAAAGCTTGTGTCCGAGCGCTGCCCTTGTCCCCGAGGACGGCATTGTCTTAACGGGCCATGTCTGCCGCTCCTATCCCGTTCATGCCGTCTCAGCACAGTTTACCCCTTTTGTCCCACACGACGTCTTTGTATCGGCTCGGAAGGCGGCAAAGAGAGTTTCCCGCTGTCCAGGATAAGCAAGCTTGATCTCCCTTTCCCCACAAAACCCGGTGCGGAGGTCATCCATTGAGACCCACACGAAGTCCTGGTGTTCATGCGGATTAAGAATAACCTGTGGGTGTTCCTGAAGATCACGTGAATCCTCGACAGACACAAGGAAAGTGAGCTTGCGGTACCGGCCTTCACCCGATGCTCCTTCAAACTCCAGTTGGTCGAGAAGTGTCACGACATCTTTGAGGATAAGGCCCGTCTCTTCGAGGAGTTCACGTGCCAGGGCGTGTGAGAGAGTTTCATCCCCGAGGTCAACTCCGCCACCAGGTGTTTCCCATAAGTTGGGGAAGCCATCGGTTGCCGCGCGCTGAATGAGGAGAATGTGGCCGTGGTGAAGGACCACGGCACTGACAATAACACCCCTGAGTGTGGGGTTGGTCATGAGGTATGTCTCAAGCGAGACGCCAAACTGGCGGAGAGCCATGGGGACGGGAGGTCTGTGATGCCGCGGGCGGCTGAGATAATTCGAGTGTTGTTTGATGTCCCGCAATATGGAAGCGTGAGAATTTTGCCGCGAAAACGAAACAAAGAAGTTTGGATGCCGCTGAGATGGATGAGAGAAAGCTTGGCGTCAAGGTTAGATGTTTGCTCCTTCCCCGGATTGCCCCAGCTTTTCACTTTCGTTGCCGCCTTCCGCGAACTCTTGAGTAACCTGGAAATTACTTCATTTACGTGACCCAGTAAGCCAACTGTTTAGGCAGGAGTTTCTTGACAAAACGCAGATAACCCGATCGCGGTTGCCTGAACGCCACGCAATGCTGACGGTCGCTCTTGCCCTGTGTACAGCCGAGTGGGAGATGTTCCCACTTTGGCGTCCGATGGCAATTGACAAGGTCGAAACTTGGCATCATCAAAGAAAATACCACCCAAAAAACGAGAGTCGCAAGTGAAAGAATCCTTTGTTCTCGTCGAGTGTCCCAGGTGTCTTCAGATGCCAGGGGTATCACAGAATGGTCCGCCGTCGCACGTGTGCTGAAAGGGACCCTTTGTGTGCCCCACCTTTCCAGGGGCTTCAGCGCTCCTGGTTGGCTACTACCCCCCACCACTCAGCGATCCCCAGGTCGTCCATGACGTGGCGTCCACTGTTTTGCTTGCTGTCAACAACAACAAACATCGCGACTCCGTTTCCATCAACACCATGTCCTTGTCGTCCATCTCCCGTTTCTCAGCCCTACCCGCTCTCCATCTTATCCTCGGTCATCGATGATCACAAGCACAATGGCGACCGACTCCAGCACCCAGACCGAGACGCTGCCCGAGATTGACGAGGATGACTTCGTGATCATCACCCACCAAGAAGCCAACGCGTCGAGGCGCCCACGATTCCTAAACGACATCAGCGACTACATCGACAGCGTTGCCGAGGAGCTATGGCCCATCAACAAGAAAATCCACGACAGACCTGAGCTTGGCTATGGCGAGGTCATCGCCCATTACACGTTGACGGCGTACATGAAGTCGCAGCCAGGATGGACAGTGACGCGGTCGGCATACGGCATGAAGACGGCTTGGGTTGCTGTCTACGATACTGGCAGAAGGGGACCTTGTGTTTCATTCAATGTTGAGATGGGTATGTCCTTTCACCGCCAGCGTGTTATCCAGACCCAAGCCCTCCCCCAATTCCACAACCACCGTGCCTGTCCAGAGCAGGCATCACCCCAGCACCGTCACCAACATCACGTCACCTAACCCACGAGTCACCTACCCCCGTTCTAGACCTCCAGACCACAACTAACAAATCCTCAACCAGACGCCCTCCCCGCCATCGGCCACGCTTGCGGCCACAACCTAATCGCCACTGCCTCCCTCGCCGGCGCCCTTGCCACCGCCCACCTCCTCTCCCTCTACTCTCTCCCAGGTCGCGTCGTCCTCTTCGGCACTCCGGCGGAAGAAGGCGGCGGCGGAAAGATCCGTCTGCTCGCTGCGGGCGCCTACAAAGACCACGGTGTCGACATCAGTCTCATCTCCCACCCGGGCACGATTGGCGACTGCGCTCTCACACACACGACCGCGTACATCCGAATCAAGGTGGAATATTTCGGCCGGGAAGCGCACGCTGCCGCGGAGCCATGGTTGGGGGTTAATGCCCTGGACGCCCTGATCACCGCGTATAATGGGATCAGCGTGCTGAGGCAGCAGACTATGCCGAGTGATATCATCCAGGGACATATCACTGATGGCGGGGCGAGGCCAAATATTATACATGCGTATGCGGCGGGCATCTTTGTTGTTCGGGCAGCTACGCAGAGGAGATTGGAGGACCTGGTCGGGAAAGTGATGGGGTGTTTTGATGCGGGTGCTATGGCTACCGGGGCCAAGGTCAAGGTGACGCGGCTGATGGCTTATAAGGATCATGTGCCTAATCGGTTGCTGGGGAGGAGTTACGTGCGGTACTTCAATCCGCTGGTCCCCGAGGAAGGGGATGGAGGGAGGGATGGTGATGGGAATGAGGCTGGTGGACCGCACAAGATTTCGGAGGACCAGGATGTGGATGAGATGAGGGGACAGAGTGGTGCCAGTTCGGATCAGGGCGATATTGCTCATGCGATGCCGAGTATCATGCCCGGGTTCGAGATTCCACCAGGGCCGGGAGGGGCAGGGCCGCATAATCCGGGCTTTGCTGAGAGCGCGGGTACGAGGTTGGCGTTTGAGAGGAGTTTAAGGGTTGCAAAGGGTTTGGCTGGCACGGCTGTGGATGTGTTGACTGTCGACGGCCTGTTGGAGGAAGTCAAGAAAGAGTGGAAGCGATCGATGAACGGGGGCAGGTGAAGTAGGACGAAACGGTTAACGACGTTATGACATTATGACAGCGGTACAGATTGGAATTTGGATATAGGATGCATATAAGGTAAACAGGAAAACACGGCAACGGGCTGGTCCCATCTCATCAATCAACATCTCTCTTCCCCCGTTCTCCCTATCGCGTCCTCTACTGATAAGTAACCTGCATTCCACCCGGCAGCTCCGAGATCCACCCCTCCGTCTCCTCTTTCACCGTCTGCTTCTTGAAACAAGCCAACGCCTGCTCTGGCGTCTGCGTCTTCAATTGCGAGCACCGATCACCACTGCACCTCGCATCCAGCGCCCTCTGGAGCGCGTCTCCCTTCCACCCAAACACGTAGTCGCCGTGTTGGCCGTACCCCGTGCCGTCACCCATCGAGTACACAAGCGGTTGTCCCTTGTCGGGCCAGATGGCCTTGTCGTTGAACTGCCGCGTGTCCCACATTACTTCGTACATGAGTTGAGGGAGACGGACGGGGTGGCTGGCTGGACAAGGGCCCGTGGACTCGAAGGTTCCCGTGGAGGGATAGGCGACGTGGGATTTGTGGTCGGGGGAGTCGACGTTTTTGCCGTCCCAGCAGCTGCAGTACGTTAGCATGTCAGTTATGGAAGTTTAGGTTTTTTTTTTAGGTTTTTTTTTTTTTGGAGGTGTTGTTGTTGATGAAGGGAGAGAGGGGCGGGTGTGAAGGGGCGTGAAAGGAAAGGGGGCGTGGAGGAAATTGAAGTGAAGGACAGGAAACGAAATGGGGAAGTAAGAAAAGGAACTCACGTAGGGAAAGTAATAGTCGTCCTAATCCCACCAGGACACATCTTATTCGGGAAAGTGACGGTGTCGTCGCCCGTGCAGGGCGCACCGCCAAAGGGGCTCTGCTCGATGTTGTGCTCACATCGATGGCAGATTTGCTTTTGCATCCCCCGGTTGGCGCGAAGGTTGGCGTCGCCTACTAGCATGCGGAAACCCTGGTGTTGTCTGTTAGTATGTTTCCCTTCTGGTCTTTTATCGCTGTTTGCATTCCCGTCTCATCCCTTTTCTCATCCTCATCTTCCACCATCCACATCCTGGTCTGTCACCGTCACCGTCACAGTGCTGGGGTTTTGAAGCAGGTATTGAGTGACAGGTACCATTTCCAACGCACCACGCCCCGCATACAGCAAATGACAGAAAAGAGAAATAAAACTCACAGGCTTAAAAGCAGTAACCTTCGTCCGTCCATCATAAGGCGGGATATAATAAACCGTGACACCCCCCTGTCCTTTCAATCCCAGATTCACCATCTGCGGCACCCTCTTGTAGGAGCCATTCTTCGCGCGGAAGTACACATTAGCCGTCCAGTAATTCGAGAAGTCCTCGCTAAAGGAACACGTCGTGCAGGTAGATTTAGCCGCAGGATCGTAGTCCCCGGGAGCCATGGTCGCGTTGAAACTGTTGCCGCCGACGATTTGGTGCATGTGTGTTGAGGGTAACATCCCTGGGTTGACGAGAGGGTCCAGACGCTCGATGGAGAGTTGGGAACATTGGAAGCGCATCATTGCTGCTGTTGCGAATTGGGCTAGGGTTTCGCCCGTGAAGAGAGAGGCCGCCATGGCCAAGAGATGGAACTTCATCGTGAGGTTGGAGCCGGATGCCGGAGAATTTGGGGAAGCTGGGGGAGTTGTGGTGAGGACTGAGGAGAGGGGGATCGAGGACTGGAGTGACTGGACTGGAGTGACTGGACTGGAGTGACTAGACTGGAGTGACTAGACTGGAGTGACCGGTGCGGGAAGCTGATGAGTTACAGGTCGAAGAGCCAAGAGGAAGAGAGAGGAATGAACTGAGGGGTGGAATGAAGGACGAGCCCTTATACTCATGGGATATCCCATACTCACGTCCCTCTTCGGCCTTCACGTTTGCGGCCTAGCCCGACTCATATTTTCAATCATGATATGCCGTGGCCGCGGCATGAAGTCCCATCAACAAATGCAACCATCAATCTTGCTTCATACCAAGATTTCGATGTCATTGGTTGAGCCGCTTGCCGAGCTCCGGCGAGATGTCCATTGCCGCCGTCATGAACTGCCGCATATTGGCCTGCTTGCTGGTTAAATCGGGGGTAAAAGCTTATTCGCTAGGAGAAGGATCAACGGCCAAGGGGAGGAACTGGTGCAATATCGAGAGATGAAGAGTCGATGTTAACCCCTCTCGCCAAACGGTGATGGGTATGTATAAAAGAGAATATGCAAGTTGATATTGGGGGTTGTGGTTTGCCACGAAGATGTTGGAAATGTCGTTGATGATAGGCGCTCCAACAGCATGATTGCCGTTGCCACATGCATTTCGGCTTCTTGTCGGTTGAAGTATCACAGAGTCAGGAGACCGGTCGTAGAGTTGCAGTTGTTCTCAATTTGGGAAACCGTCACGATGTAAGTCAGAACCTTATCAGACGCCTGGGAAGCCTCGGCATTCTCTTTGCGTCTTACATACTTCCTCCACGCTGTCTCGGTTCTCGGCCACGGCAAACCTCTGCGAGTGGCAAGAATGACCGAAACAATCCTCATCAACTTCAAGACAGGAGTGCAATGTCGGAAAGAGGAAGATAAAGAGAAGAAGGGTGAGATTATCCACATTGGCATGCCACACCGGGACAAAGTCCGAGCCTTGAGACTGCCAACCACTTTACCGTACCATCGTCGGCAACCGCATCGAAGGCATTTTAAGAAGACCGGCATCTGCAGGCTGCTAGTTTTGTACTGCAGACTTGAAGGTTGAGCAGCCTGAGGAACTCACGGTCGCAAGACTTCCGTGTACCTGTCTTGATGGGCTTAACCCGGTTTTGAGCCCATCTCCCTTAATCTGCCGACACTCAAGCAAGCATCATATGGACGGGAAGATTTCAGTGGTTAAAAGCCAAACCGTTGACAATATCCTGCTTTTCGGAATGGACGTGAACAACCCCAGAATTGTGTTCAAATCACATTCGATATAACCCGGTTGCCTGTTGTTCCTGGTTAGCCATGGTCGTGGCCTACGGACCTCGGACGGTGGCTGGATCATGGTTCAGGGGTTCGATCCGCTGTTACAGTGGGCTGATAGATCTGAGTAGGTGGCTTGGAGGCACCCAAGAAAAAGGTGATTGAAGTATTCCAAAAGCAAAGAGAAAACAAAAAGAAAACGAGTCGGAGATAACATGACAGATACAGAGGGTAAGAAAGGCTTTGGATCGATCGATGGGTGATTGCAACGCTCCACAGCCCTATGTGCGTGCCATGGCGCGATGGACTGTCTCCTTCCTGACTCCCTCCAGTCTTGGTCTCCTGGATTGGATTTCCTTCTTCCTCCGCTCGTCATAGAGATATATCGTTGTCCTGAAATTCGGCGATGTCTTGAGTGGAAACCCAACCCATGGTTCAGTGAGTCCTTCATTCACCGACCTTTTCAGTGGGCCAACCCCTGCCTTATAGGGCGCTGGCGCGGGCTGGCATTGCTGACGCCAAGACATCATTGACCGGACATGTCGTCTGCAACTTCCCGACAAGTCTCACAACACTCTCCCGACACTCTTCTCCCAAGAACCCAAATCCTTCTCCGGACCTTATCTACGAAAAGTTCCAATTCTTCCAAGGTGAGAAAGAGAAGACGAGCCATTATCCAACAAGGAATCTGGAAGATGGCAGAAGATAACTTACCCAATGCCCCGATAATACCAGCCCCATCCCAGCTTCCAAGCTTCCAAGCTTCCAAGCCCCGAAGCCTCGCGCTTACCCAAGACAGACGCCGCGTTTAGCGCAACCACTCACCACTGTCAGTCCAAGACACAGGCCCACTCCGACTGGCCATTTTTAGTTTTGAGTTCTGACGAGGCAGGTAGGCAGGCAGGATCTGAAACCCTGTTCCATAGGCCTACTTGCGGGCCCTACCTAGGCAACGAGAAAATGGTGGAAAAGAACCAGTAGGAAGTGAGATGGCGGACTGGAGGTGCTGAGTCTTGTGAGCTTGTTGTGGACTTGGTTAGTGGTTGGGAAAGTGGTTGGTTGGAAAAGTGGCTGATGGGGATTGGTCGTTTTTCTTCCCCTGTGCTTTCTTCCTCTCTGACGTTCTTGCCAGGTTGACGATGTGATGAAGCTGGTCAGGTGATTTGTCAGTTGAATCATTTTTGGATATCAGAAAGAGGGAGGAGGGTTTACTCACTTGAGAGAAAAATGCTGATGGATTATCTGGCGGCACAGAGCAAAGGCTCGCGAGGAGGGAGACATCATCAGACCTCGCAGGTTATCGAGTTTTCGGCATCCACCACTCATCACACCGAATATCATCGAACCATTGACTCGACTCGGCATCAATCATCACCATGACTCCATCATGGCTCCCTTCACCTCCCATACCAACGTTCGGAGGCAGCTCGGTCGCACAATGACATGTCAACATCACGCAGATGACCGATGACCGATGACCCTTGACCGATGACGATAACGTCCATTACATCTTCTGGAATGTTTCCCATCCAGGACATTATCAACCAGTCCGATTTCATACATCTATCTCACCTTCCATCTCACCCTTCTTGTGTCTCCTCGCAACCGACCCAATCCGGCAACAATTTCCTAATCTCCCATATCGGTTTCGCATGCAACTCCTATCGGTTCGGAATCCGGGTGCCTACGCCTTGCGGAATTAAAAACCAAGATCCGTCCAAGACCAAGCCAGAGGCTGAGCAGCGGCTGACGGCTGCATTAACGGGACCTGGGGCCGGGGAGGGGAATCGTTGACGGACCGGGGCACGGTATGTACAAGGTAGGTAGGTAATTAAGGCTTGGAGGTAAGGTAGGTGTCGTGGGGGCTGGCGGCGGGTGATGAGCGGCGGTCAGAAACGTTCAGTGAGGTGACTTTGTTGACAAAAGAAAGTCGGAAGACGCCAAGTCCTCCTAACTTGAACAGAGGCCAAGCGGCGGATGCTGGGGCGGGTGTTAGTTAGGGCGATCGCTAATGCAAGTGGTGGCGGTTACGGGGGGCCTGTCGTGAAACGGTCCAGTAATTTTTGCCCGTTGTTAGCGTTATCTGCAGGGTGTCAGCTTAGGTGCAGTGCCACCTCACCCCCATCACCACATGCACCACGACCACGATGCTGGGCCCGCAGCCATGGGTCTGGTCGGGATGCGACAGTTTTTATGTGGCAGCCTTGACGGGATGGATCCATGATGGATCTTGGCTTCGAGATGATATATCTCGAGGTGCTCGCAGTCGGTAGTGCTGCTTTGCTTTGCCTTCTTTTGACAGTCGGCACCAGACATCCATCAGACATCAACACCAACACCCAACATGGCGACGACAACAATGACCACGACCATGAAGACCACGACCATGAAGACCACCCCAGGAACTATTCTCCTCCCACCAACACCACCTCAGACACCACCTCTAGAAGCTAAGAAATCAACAATTCCCACCTTCCACTCCCCCCTTCCTGCCCCCTATGGCACCAGAACTGAGTACTTCGAAAAACCACCACAACAACCACCTAAAGCATCAACCCTCAACCTCCTCTCCCCGGCCCTTCCCATCCCAGCCTCTCTCTCAACCACATTCGCCTTCGAAAAAGCACCACCTGCCTCACAACCCTCCCAGTCCCTCCTCGCCGCCTCAGCCCGCCTCTCAGCTCTAGGATGGAAATCTCGTTCACGTCAAGGTCCGCAAGGAGATTGTCGCTTGCTCCAAAAACCCAACCATTCGCTGGCGATTCCCACGTTACTTCCTGGTGGCGTGCCTTCGGTTATCGTGCATGGTCCGAAGTGCGAGTGTAGGATAAGGGAAGAAAAGACAGAAAAGGTTGGGGATGATGAGTTGGTGGCCAGGGTTTCGACTCTGGCACGCAAAGCGGTGGTAAGGGAACGGGTTGAGGAGGTGAGAATGTTGAAGGAACGGGAACGAAGGAGACGTGAGAAGAGAGAAAGGAGTACAGGGAGGAGGAAGAAGGGAGTTTTTGGATGGAGGGTTGAGATACCGAGGGAGGTATCGCGGTTTTTTGGCAGCGGGTCTACAACCTCGCTGTCCGATTCCGATTCCGACTCAAACTCCGAAACAACAACATCCCGTACCAGCGGTGACAATCATAAGATCACCGACCTGTGCCTAGCCTGCTCAAACCTCGACATCGACAAAATCTTCGCTCACTTTTTCACCAACTCGAACACCGCCACCAACACCAACCAGGTCCCTGTGCCAATCAACGGCCGCTGCACCATCACTTCTTCCGAATCAGAAAACGCTCAACCAGTTGAAACCACACCCCTATTTTCCGCCCTACGATCGCCCCTCTTTGCGACTCGTCCCAAGTCCCAAGTCGCTATTCTGGGACTCCTCCTCGACCTCGGCGCGGACGCAAATGCTTCCGTCTCTCTCCCGCCTCTGTCTTTCGCCTCCATCGATCTCTCCAACCAAGCGCAACAGGGAAGGATTACTGCATTAAGCACAGCCTGTATTTTAGGCAACCCACGAATTGTCGCTCTCCTCCTCCAACACGGTGCAAAGGTCGATGCAAAGGAAACTAGCCTCCCCCTTAGCGTCAGTGGAAAATGGGGAAAGGGTCTCAGCGCATTAGATGTCGCCATTCTAGCAGGGCAAGAAACGATTGTGGAAGTTTTGCTTAGAAGCGGAGCCAACGTAACGGGGAGTTGTGAGGTGTTCCTCCCTGTGCAGGTACCAACCAAGTTGGCGGGTACAATTGGTGGACGACCAAGGATGAGGATGAGGAGTGCGTCTACTGCCAACTTCCATTCAGAGTCCAGGAAACAACAGCTGCAACAGCAATACCAGGGACTCGGATATGGACTCGAAGCGCAAGAGCCGCAATGGCCTGCCCCACTTCCAGTCTCCAGAAAAACGACAAGGCTCTCGGGAGTAACGCCCCTCCACCTAGCCTGCATGTCCCTCTCTGGCCAAGGACATCTCGGCATAGCTTCAATGATCCTCTCATCGCCCTACAGCAAAGCCGACACCAATGCTCGGACTTCCGACGGCCGCACCTCGTTACACTACGCTGCTGAGTCACTTCACTTGGAAGTAACTTCTCTCTTGCTCTCAGACCACCGCACCGAGACGGACGCGACGGACGATGACGGTGCTACACCATTGGCTCTTCTTGTTGGAAGACTTGAGCGTGTTGGTGCCAGCTCCAGGACAGGGGAAGAGGTAGTAGAGTTAGTCCGCCGTCTACTAAGAGCCGGAGCGAACGCGGGAGTTCGGTATACAACAGACTTAAGTCTGAAAGCGAGGCTTTTGGCCATGGACGACGGTCAAGGACAAGGCAAGAAATGGGGGACGTTATTTGACGAGGATGGAAGGGGAGTATTGAGAGGGAGTATGAAGAGACGGACTTTCTAGTTCTAGTTTTAGTTCTAGTGCAGTGTGTCATGAAAAGGTAGCCACGATCTGGATCTTTATCTGTGGGTGTGCGTGTTGAAGGGTTACATCGGCACCACCTGTTGTTTGAAAACTGATGGTCGTCCAATGTCCGAGTAAAAGTAAAAGTAGACTTTTTGGTAGAAAAGGGGTCTTCCTACGGACAGATAGGTGGTCATTGAACATTGTCTTCTTCTTCTTCTTCTTTGCACCCGGCCATATATGGCCCCGTTTTGGATCTCGGCATCAGATACCCATTTATCTCAAAGAAACTTCCATTAACATCTACACGCTTCTGGGCTTTTCCCCGGCACAAGCTGTTTGCTCGTTTAATACCTACCTACTCTTTTGATCATGCCGTGCGTATATGAAAGAAATAGGAAAGTTGCAGTCTCGGTCCTGTCAATGGACCGTCGCTTGAACTCGTCTGAACCGCATTCGGACAGACTTGCATGAGTTTGATGGCCTCGGTAAAGGCCGCTTGGCACGAAGCGCCCTAGGCGAGATGTAAACCCTTCTAGAATCTCTAGAAAGAAGATTGGGAGCTTTAGACTACACCAGAGACCTTCTCAAACACCTTCAGCTAATCCCAGAATGGATTGATATGCCTTAATGTGACACATTGACTTTGACACTGTGAGACACCGACGTGCAGCACATGTCTCTCGCCTACCGACCCAATCGGTAGTTCAGTCTCCGAGAGGGCTTGACAGCTTGTCTAGCCTTGCAAGGCTGCCTCTTGTCCAATTCAAACAGTCCCAAACTTCTGGTCTGGCACAACGCGCGGTGGTGGCACGTCGCCTAGCCGCTGCTGTGATCGGGGCTGAAGTGATGTGATGAGATGAAGATGAGGTAACACCGACGTTCACTCGAACCAGTGCAGGGAGGCAGATGTTAAGGAGTGTTGCACGACAGACAAGAGGCCGCCACGAACGGTACCATGTTGATTGATCTACGCTAGGATTCCCTCTGACTTTTTGAACGACCGTGATGCTTTTCCAATAATGCCATTCGATCATGAAGCAGTTTCCTTTAACCATTCGAGATGCCAAACAAAAATAATAAACTCCGATGTCGCCGGTATGTTGTCCTCTCTATAAAGCGAGTGTCGTCTAATAATGGCAGCCCCCAAATTGTCCTTTTCGGAACCTCCTATCCGTCAATCCCGCATGGCCGGAGTGCGGCAGAATCCACATGCACGGCCTGGGATAACCCAAACGTCCGCGCCGTTAGCGGCGCATGTGGAACACCGGATACCAGGAAGTCCCTGGCGATGACGGGTAAATACCTGAACTGCAAGACGTTGAATAAGATATCTCGACACTTACTGGGATCTTCCGGATGCCTTCACCTGCAAAGGATGGGATGTATAGCGGTCCAGCGCTCGGAAGTAGCAGTTCCAGCTGCTGAACACGGGGAGTGAATGGGCTCTGAAGAGAGATATTGTCGAGGGGAAGCATTTTTTATAGCAAATGTGCCAAGGTGGATGATGGTGGTGTTTGACTGTGGTGAAGCGGTACCTAGTAGTATCTTTTCTCTTTCCGTGCAGTTCAAAATTGTGAAGGCGGCTCTTGCTGGATGCTGTGCTTGATATACCCTCTGTCGAGACGACATAATCCCATGAGGGCACTCACCCAGGGTTTATATCATTGTCCATGATGAAGCATGGTGGAGGAGGGAGCGACAAGGACGACCGACTCGGTCAGTCAATGGAGTTGTGTAACAACAGCAGGATAAAACGCCCAGAGACTTCCCGGAAATAAACACCCGGCTTGTTTCCCTCATTGGACATAACATGAGAACCCAACAGAAGATGGATATATGGAAAGTAGCGTTGAACCCAGCCCAACGCTCTTCTTGTCCGGTTGACCAACGGCAGTCTGTGACCGTGGGAAGAGGATTTCCTCCTATGCGTTAACCGATGGGGAAGAAAGGGAAATGGACTGACGTTCTCATGATACTATTGCCTCGCGGCCGAGCTTTTTACCACGACATGTTGACCGAGTGTCCATCGCGAGCTTCACCGGTCGCTTGGTGTGCAACCTATCGCAACGGGAGCACCGGGCCGCGGGGGGCTAATAAGAACGAGCCGCGCCGTAACCACCACCAACTCGTCCTTGGCTTGCCTCATCCGGCTTACCGTGGGTACCTTTGCGTCGTCTGGTTGGCATGCTCTTCTGGTTTCAGGTTGCACCTGGTTGAGGAGACCGGTGACGGAGTAGCCTGTGAGAGCCTGCAGAGTTTATGATAGCCGAAAGAACCCCATGCAAAATAGATGGGCTCTTCCCTGGCCGAGGGTGGCTTCCACGTTACCTTGGGCTCGCCTGGATGGAACGTGGGCTGATCTTCCAGATAATGAGCTGCCTGGCTAGCACTAACTGCAGAACAGAATCGTGCGCCCTGACGTGCAGCAACCAGACTGCGACTGCAGAGTGCCAAGACTTTGCCTTTGAAGGATCGAGGGATCACAACGCCGCAATCTTTCTTTGCCCCAGCGTTCGTGTGAGCTCCAGTGATTATGAGAACAACGCAGAAAGTGCATCGAGCCGTTCCATGTCAATTTCGTGGCCGGCCTGGCTGGGTCCCATGCATCAGGTGTGGTCAGGTGCTCCTTCTGTCACCCAAATATCCCACGCGTTACTGGCCCTGGATCTCTTACTACCACCCTGTGTCTGTTAACATTAGGAGGACAGCTGAGCCAATGTTGAAGGAATGGCTGTTGATGGATGACAGCCAACCGGATGTTCCGGCACCCCAACCTTTTTCGTTATAACCAGCAACATCCACTGCCAGAATCAAGTACTGCAACGGTTTATATCAGTTCTCATATGGCGGATCTCAGAACAACAACCCGGCACTTTTTCGTCCTTCAGTATCACTAAGACTGGAGCGCTTCAAGGAGATGACTGTTGGGAGCCTTGGTAGGTGCTTACATGGTGTTGGAACACTTGCTAACTAGCAGCAGGCCCGTGATCAATTGAGAAGGACCTGAACGCCTGGAGTTGAACGTCCGCTTTGAGAGGATGCTTCAGTGGCTTGCAGCAGCAGGATGTCAGCATGTTGCCGGTACCTGCCCACACGTGGGTGATAAATGCCTCAGCGATTGTCTCGGCAAGGATTTCGAAGTACGCTTGACATCATCCTTGCCTTGATATCTCGGTCGTCGAATCAGATCAGCCTGGCAGCGCAACCCATGCGGGTGGTTATTGCTGAATGGAGAGTACGCCGAACCCTTGGCATACCCTTGTTCAATCTTTGGTGTAACACTGGGAGATGGTGTGGTCGATGATCTCGCCGAAGAATAAAAGTGAAGAGGATGGACAGGCAAGAAAGTTGTCATGGCTATCAAGAGAGCGTTGGAAGAGTTGCGGATCGAATGGTAGCGGAGAAGAACTGGTTCAACAACACACACATTAAAATTGACCTCAGGAGTGTCGAAGTCTGAAAGGGGAGGGGAAACGGCGGCCGACAGCATTGGCAAGTTCATGACAGAACCGAGTGTCGGGCTTCGACGTCGGACACCCAAGGAGCCCAAGTCGTACATCGTGTGGCCGCCAGAAGGAAATCAAGAACTGCTTATGCCCCAACCAGACGCAAGACTTGACTCCGGTGGGGAGAGACCAATGGCAGGTGCGGACGATTGCGCCGTGGCTTTGCATCAGTGCTTAATGCTGTGGCTTGTATTCGTTCTTTTCTGGGAAGTTCGCTCTCTTCGAATGGTGCTGTATTGATTCGGCATTGAGACTCAGTTTCGAAACATGAGGCAGCCTTCAGATTGCTTGTCGGTGATTCACAAGATGGGGACGCATAGTTCAGGCTCGGAGCTTAGGCTGCCCTTTGTGCCTCTCCTATTGCGCTAGCACCGGTCGGCGTCAAGTTATTCTCCGAGCTCTGAATTTGTCTGTCGCAAAGCAAGATTAGACAGGGGAGAGAGATGGGTGGCGACACACTTACCACAACAAAGAATGCCACAGGTGGGAGAAACTGAATGCCTGGTACAGGCCCAGATCTCTCGGGGTCGGCTTCAAGACGACCAGGGAAATGCAATGGGCAATGAAGATCATGGCCCCCTAGCCTCATGCTTCTGTCTCGTGGTCTGGAAGAAGCCCGGGCCATTCTTCTGGCTCCATGAGCCTCCAAGTTCTTGATACGAGTAGTGGAGGGAGCAGTGCTGGCCTGTGAAATATGGGGACCGAAACCTGATAGATCGCATCTGGTGTTCGAGCAAAACTGTCTGAGTGGATATTGTGTATTTTGCAGCGTCATTGTTGGAGGGCTCGTCTTTGGGCCTAGGGTCAGACTTCCTGGGTCGGTTGCATGGGTTTGAATGGATGGCGTGAAAGTGGTTGGTTTGCTCGGCTCAATCAAAGGAGACTGGAAATTTCTGGCATTGGATGGTGTGCATGACGAATTTGCCAATCGGTCGAAGGAGAATACCGAAGGCAACGGCTTTCTGGACTGGCGAAAATGTTTAGCGATCTGGCCACGCCCAGCAAAGTAAGGGATTGGAGAAAGAAGAACCTTGATGGCTGAGGCAAGAGCTCCGTCTATCTCCACTGTCGGCCTGCTCTACAACCACTAGATCATGATCACATTTCGAAGCGATTAACCAAGTAATGGCCGGATTCAGGGAGACGGGAGGTGGTCAACGGGAACGAGAGACCCGCGTGGATTCGAATTTGAAGGAGAGGTCAGAGGTGGGACGACATCGAGGTGCCTGGCATCGATCGAGGCGTTGTTCCTCCCAAGGCAACCGAAAACCCGAGCGTTGGTGACTTCGAATGAATTGAAAAGAACGAAAGGCAATTGTACGAGTGCGGTGGTTGGCGGCTGCCGTGGAGAGAAAAACTTAAGAGTGCAAGTAGCCCGATAGCGGCCGCACATCACCCATGGCCACGGGTACCTGCATACAACCTCAACGTCTAACCCACAAAGGACTCTTGGGGTGACTTTTTCTCTGTTTTTTCGACAAAATGACCGAGCACTTTGATGCGTTTTGCCTTGATACGGCCACGAGAAAAAAAAACGGAAAGCGCAAAAAGAGGGGTGTGTCCTCGTTCGTTTTCAGTCTTTACTTCGCTTCGTTACGCTCACGTAATGTACGTGCGTTGCAATCCGTTCCGGTCCAGAACACAAAGCACCAGGGAAAATAAATACAGAGGCAGACCGTACTGAGAAATCAACAACACGAGACACCAGGGAGCGAAGCCATCACGACAGATATATTCTACGGTACAATAAGCCACCGCTCATTCATTGACTTGACATCGTCGTTTCGTCCCCATGTCTCTCCCTTCCTTGATCTTGTGCAACCTGCCTTTCACGTCCAACCTCGCCGTTGTCGTCTGCGGCGATGAATCCCCGAAAGACCGTCGCTGGAATCACCACTTCTCCCCATACCATCAGGGGAACGCGAAAAGTGAAGACAATCCGGAAAGGATGCGCAACGATATCAGAGTTAATATACCACAAAGTGTATTGATGTCATTGCACTGGTGCCGAATTGAGGAAAGTGTGTAAGTAACGTCCCGTTGCAGGCCTGTTAATTTCGCTTACCCCTGAATGGCCCGGGACACTTTGCGGATAAAGCACCTTATCGGCTCAACACCGACAACTGAACCACGATTGATACATTACACCCCGGATTTGAGGCTCCTTCTGGGTAAGGAAAGCTTTTTCATCTCCGGATTTGTTGGTACAATGAAACTCACCAGTCCCTCCGTGTAACCCGATGGAACACCCCTATTCCCCCGAGTGGCCACAACACCATGTCTTTGGTGACAACCTCGGCGATACCCAAAGTGTCGGGTTGGTCATGAGACAATGTAGGTTTATATAAGATGGTGGCTTTGCTTCTTTGGACCCATTCAAAAAGTTCTGTCATCTAATATCCAACATCCCACACCTAACCGCTTCCCTCGACATTCTACCATCATGTTGCGACCGGCTCTCTTCGGGATCTTGTCCCTCACATCAAGCACCATTGTGGCTGCCCAAACGCTGGCGCCATGGGAGATCATACAAGTCGACACTTATTCCCCGTCCGGCCGACCAGGCAGTAGCACCGTCAGCTACATTAAGACCACCATCAATGACCCAAACAGCGCCAGCAACGCCACAGCAAACTGCAACATCGAATGGGACGGCTTGACCAACGGCGAAACCCCATACAATACAGCGCTCGAATGCACCCCAGTAGAAGACGGAACATGGGAATTCGAAGTCCTGCGGGCAGATCCCGACTCGGAGAGACCCTCCATCAGCAACTCATCCTTCGCTTCACGCGCCTGACCAACGAAGGCAATCTGTACATCGGCTCCGTGACTCTCAACAGTGGGATCGAGAGTGACCTCTTCTTCATGTGCGCCGCCAGTGGTTTCTGCTACGCCAACCTCCGACCAGAATCCACCCCCGTCCGTCTGACTCCGAAAGAAATTGGGTTCAGGTCAGCCGATCTCAAGGTTCGCCAGACGGAGGAGACATCGGAAGACGCCGAGCCGGAACCACCGATCGCCTGGCAAATCTCCCGTATTGAAACACATCGCCCCTCCAGCGAATCCACCACGGGCAACTCCGGCGTGAGCTCCATTAGCCTCACCATCACGGAGCCCGGGACCGGATTGAGCGGCCCAGACATGACGGCCGATTGCACGACGGAGTGGAATGAAACCGCGGGGGAGTCGCCGTTTGACAAGGTCCAGGCTTGCAGCGAGGTGGAAGAGGGCTATTTCATGTTTGAGGTTGTCAAGGCCGACGGAAACGATACCGTTGAAAATGCCGGTGACGACCCGATGAGCAGCTTCAACTTGAAGTTCACTAGGCTGGGTGCTGATGGGAAGACATACCTTGGTTTGGCGGAATTTGTGGCTGAGAAGAACTTGGCTGGCGGCTGTGGAGGGAACGGCGGGTGCGATGCGGTCTTGAAGGAGGAGTATAACCCGCTGGTTGTGGTGCCGAAGGAGGTTAAGGGTCGGTGAGGGAGAGGGATGTGATGATGTTTGTTAACTTACCAGTACGGAGGATAATTGAAGTTTTGGAATGACATAGGGAGTGGGCAGAATGAATTAATCAATTGAACAATTGCATGCATCCTTCCGAAATCGGATTAAGACAAATTCTGAAAGGGAAGGCGCGCTGACTTTGACATTTGCTGGCAATTGCGAGACTCAGTCGGGGAAGGAACTCCTCCCAACCAAAATAAACCAAAATCCAGTCGGGTCCACGGACAATGAGGGAATGAGGAGCAGTTGGCTTGTCATCCTCATGATCAATCTTTGCATTTGCTGCTATCATTCTTCTTTGTTCCCAGACAGGCATTTCCTTTCGGCTCCGCACACGATCGACACTCTTCTATTCCAGCCAGAAGGAATCAAACACCAACATCTAAGGAAGGGGAGACAGATTCGGTTACTCCGACTCGTCAAGATTAAATCCGTCTCCTCTCCAATTGCCATCCACCTTTGCGAACACTCGCGACTCACTGTTTACCATCATGTCGCAATCTTGGCATCCTAACACAGCAAACATATGTACTTTGTCGCCATCTACAACCATAGCCCACCGCAACAACACGATCACATTCGGCAATCCACGGGCGAACGTCTCGCAACTTCGGAGAATTGAGTCTGGGGTTACGGGTCAACTGATGATGGAATTCCAATCTAAACCAAGTACGTAATTGATGACTGACAATGGTGATTCTGGTAACGAGTAATTGCGGACATTCCTGCTCCATTCTCTACATGGTAATGATGGCAAAAATTACTGACCTAACTCCAATCCCCGGCTCCCAGCTCGACCTTCCTTCCCGCACGCATGGCGTCCCTGATATCCTCGATCTTCCACGGCTCGTACTTGTACCCGGGAGGATAGTTGGGCGGCATGTCAAAGTCCTGGTCGAACGGAATGCCCCTCTTCATGCTATCCACCACGTGGTCATAGACCTCGTACGCATACTTCTCCGGATCGTGTTGCCAGACCCATTTGGGCATCTTGGGCTGGGCCTTACGAGGGTCCATCCGCGCATTCTTCCAGTCCGTGTCCTGCAACAGTTCGGCATTGCTAAACCCTAGCTTCTGAGCACACGCGTTGCGGATGAAGCGCATCCTCACATGTGCACGTACCGACATCGGCACATTCTCCCTTCCGCCTATCTGGAGGCACGCTGCCAGACTGACGGCATCCTCGATCGCTTGGGTCGCACCATTTCCAGAAGCTGGCAAGAACGAGTGGGCGGCGTCACCAATGTTGATAACACGAGCACCCTGAGATGCCCACTTTGGCTGAGGATTGCGCCAAAAGAGCTCAAAGTTGATGATGGTCTTGGGCGGAGTGAGCTTGACCAGCTCCTTGAGCTTGGGGTCCCATGGCTTAGGAACTTTATTGTCCATGTTTCTCAACACGTCGTCAGCCTCAACCGTGTGCGTCCAAGACTCCTTCTCTGAACCGGTAACGTCGTGGTTCATGATCCAAATGATGGTATCTGGGCGAGTGAGACTCATGGCGTAAGTTCCCGGCCTGTCTTCAATATTAGTTCTGGACACACTTCGGACACGTCTATGGGTCCCACTTACCCAAGCCAGGTACGGACGATGGGCTCTGGCTTTCCACCCTCCTTTGGAGTGTGCATGCTGAAGAACTCCTTGATCTCGGGGTTCTTGTCGAGGTACTTGATGTCGAAAGCCGCACGCCACATAGCCCTGCCAGACTTCATCGCCCTAACCTGACCTCCGACCAGCTTTTGTGCCTTTGATCCAACGCCATCGGCCGCAATTACCACATCCGCTTCGTATCTATCACCGTCCTCGGTGGTGACTCCGCCCTTGCCGGACTGAATGTCCTCCCAATAGTCGACCACCTTCTTATTGAAAGTAATTGGGATCCCGAGTCGCTCCACCTGACGAATGTACATCCGGTAAACAAGCGGACGCATTTGAAATAGCCCAGGAGGAGTGTTAGGATCGAGTCCAGCCTCCCGAAGTCGCACAGACACCTTGATGGGAGGGATCACCAATTCTCCTTCGTGCTTGTACGTCTCAATCCAGGCATTGTGGAGAGAAATCTCGTCGAACTCCTTCGCCATCTCGGGCCAGTGCTTGAAGAATTTGGTGGCAGACAAACCCATAAAGTACATGTCACCTGGTAAAGCATGAGTTAGCTGACATTGACTTTGGAGACACAAGTTGCTCCGAGAGGAGACACTAACCTTGGGTGTTGATGTCCGGGCACTTCTCCAGAATACGGACCTTGTGACCCTTGCGACGGCACTCAATCGCTGCCGTCAGGCCGGCCAGGCCGGTTCCTACGATGAGAACATCGATGCCGGAGTCGGGATACGAACCGATAGGTTTGGGCTCTCCTTCTGTGATATATGGCATGTTGGAGTTGTCGTTGGCTGTTCGATGTTGAGCCTAAGGGTCGTGGTCTTGGGAAGAGAGCTAACCTGACCGGGTAGGAGGGGACACTTCATATAAGTATATGAACCCATCTGCAAGATGCACTTTCCTTCTGCTCAGAACCTCGGTGAAGGATGAATAATTCAGATCTCGGAGCCGAAGGCCGCAGTGATCCTGCACGGGCATTGCGGCTTCCGGCATTAACACCAAGATCATGGGCAAACACATTCCAATCGGCAGTCAAGTAACCCTACCGCACCCTCCCCTGGATGCATGAAGCCGGGCGGTACCGATGATTCGGTTCCGCACAGCCGGTGCCAAGTATGGCCCATCGCGTTTGTCAATTGCACGTGTTACACATTGTCAATTTGTTTTCGTTTTGGGCTGTTCTGTTTGTCATTCCCATTTCCTCAGTTTTAAGACTTCTAACACGGCAGTGACCGACTCCGTTCCTGACTCGGTTTACCGGCTCTCCCCTTTTTCAGCTGTATGCTTGATCAGTTCTTGTTTCGGGGCTGTAAGTTGCAGTTGCATGCTCTGCAGTGCGGAAGTCACACTGTTGAAGCTTACTCACGCCTGTCTGAAATGGACGACAAAGGCACTTCCTTCGTGCTCTTCGGATGTCAAGCCTAACTGTCTGAATGGACTGAGGTAATGAGCAAGTTCTCCTTTCGTACGCCCTTTGATCGTTGTTCCCATTCTAACCAAGCCACTTCACACCCTTATCCGGTTGATAACACACGTGAGTACCACCTGCCAGGCCGAGTTGTCTATCATTCGGCATCATGATCTGTACAACTCAAGGAGGATGCACAACGCAGATCCCTAGAGGCAAGAAGCGCGGGAAATCCCTGGATGAGGATCGTGAATCTCACAAGGGAAGGCATCGCCGGCTGGAAGGGAAAACACGAAGCAAAGCTTGGCTTTTGCGCCAGTCAGGTACACCACACAGAGATGATCCCACCGTTCAGAGCCCCGTAACTGCCATCTGAATCATTTCTAGGGAGGGGCCAACGGTTGTTGGGGGCTAGAACACTCTCTCCTTCTTTCGTCGTGCCTACTTCTGACAAGAAAAAGGGTAACTCATGTATGGTGATCGCTTCGACGTTGCACCTTCACGTCACGTCAGATGCACCGAACGACCTACACCTAGGTGCATATCATCCGGCATATCATCCGGCAACATCCCCCACGAGGAAACGGTCGGGTTGGCGATGATCGTCGACAAGGCACCCTGCGAGTCTCGCCCATCTTTGAGCTTTCGGCACCGGCATCGCCAACGGAACGCGATCCTTCAGAAACTTCATTGGCAGTTCACGAGGTCACACGATGTTGCTAGGTGCTTCGTGAGCTCATCCTTACTGAACGAGGGACGTTGGGTTAAGGCTGCTTGCATTTTGCGCTTACACCATGCACGTAGGCTGTGGACTCATACCTACGTCTCGGGTACACATAAGGGTTGAGGGATGACTTCACCTTCATCGCTATCATTACTAAACCTACCGAGGTGAAGCAGTGGTGCAGCTTCATCATGCCATCATGCCATCATTTCTAAACCTAAAGGGGTGAAGCAGTGGTGCAGCGTCATCATGCCATCATGCCATCATGAGAGGTGTAAGCATCAAGATGGACTCCTATTGGCCTCCTTATAGAGTTGGAGTTTCTGTAGGGAGAAAGAGAGGAAAAGCAACAGCAGTGTCGCCAGATGTCGTCGCTAGGAGGGGATGCAAGGAGGGATGCAAGACTGGTGAGATCTCGATGGCAGGGACGTCAGGTACGACGGTATTATGATGCGGAACGGCTTGGTGTATTGCAGTACTCTGTATGCACTCCTCATTCTACATCCTTTGTATGAACTCCAAGAAATCATAATCTCCTTAGCAGGTCTCAACGTCGAGTGTCAAAGTCAAGTGTCAAGTGTCAAATGCCAAATGCCTGCATCTCATCGAAGATCGTGACTGACGCTTCAGGTTCGGTGAAGATGGTTAGTTAAGAGTGGACATTATAAACACTCCACCAAGCTCGATCATTCAACAAATCAAAACAAGGGCCGCTGGTCTAGTGGTATGATTCTCGCTTAGGGTTCAATCCTGAGCATTCTTGCGAGAGGTCCCGGGTTCAATCCCCGGGTGGCCCCCAAACTTTTTCTCTCATGTTTTTGAAAAAAAAAGTATTCTATTTGTTTTATCGTTCTTTGCTTGTTGTTTCTTGATTCTTCATATCGAATGTTGTTTATTTTTTTGTAGGTCCCATCTATCCATCCATCTAATCTATCCAATTTACCTTTTTTTCTTTCATTTTCTTTATATATAGTTTTTTTTTCTTCCTTCAGTTGCCCTTTTCATGATCTACCTACTTATCTAGATACACAACTTCGGAAGATACAAAGTTCAACCTGTGACACCTGCTTTGAGTCACTCGATTATCATATTTGTATTAAACAAAACGTTATAAAGGTATAACAAGCATTCTGACATTTTAATAAATTCGAAAACTAGGTAATTCAAAACCAAGATCCTGAATGGGAATTCGACGCAATTGTATACCACTTATAGTTTCAGAAGAGCGTGATTTTGGAACCCTGAGAATCTCCTAAACACTTGTGATTTAGGAAAAACAACATGCATCATATCCTCGACCTCTCTCACTCACTGCGCTACTTCGGCCTGACAATAGATACATGCACCACACACAGAGCCTTCGCAACCGAACCCGAACGTTCGTCCAATTAAAACCATGTACCTAACGTGAATGCAGGCTTCAAAATAGTTGTTGAAAAGGAACGGCCCGAGTTTCTGCAGTAAACGGACCGCGCCGGGCTGCGTACGTGTCGCCCCCGTGCCGGCCCGGAGTGCTTCCGAAAGGGCCAACTCTCCAGTCCCGAATTAAGACGGCTTGCGATAGGTATGCACGTTGAAGCCAAAACACGGATTTTATGCCGCTTTATAAGTAATTCCAACCCGTCATATGTTCCATCGAAAGTCTGAGACATGAATCCTCACAACGCTTAAACCCTCACGCTTCGAGTCCAAGCATCATGTCGTTGTCCCATGCCTCGCCGTTCCTATGGTACAGTCTGGTCGCGTTACCCCATTTACTCCCACCGGGACCCGAGACCCTGAGACTGCCGAGTTTTGCATGCTTGGCTGCTTCCTTGTACTCCATGTGCATCGGCATCAAGTAGGGTTGCATTATTGCCGGATCGCATCTCGAGGCATCTGTGAGGTAGCCTGAATGAGTAGCACGCGACGCTTGGCTTCGTTTCAATGCCAATGCCGATTCGTCGAGGGAATTTTTGATTCAGCATCCTGTAGACACTCGACGCTTCTTAGTGCGCAAGAATTTATGGAGCTTCGACATGGAAATGAGGCTGTAGAGCGGAGTATGGCGAGTAAGGAACTGTGAAACAAAACGCGAGGGAAGGAGTAACAATCAGAGACAAGAGCGTGAAGAAGGGCCGGAAGCAAAACGCTCCTTGAATTTTCACGCCCATCCGACCTCACCTCACGAACCGGAACCCGCTTGCATTACCAGGCTCCCGGCATGCCCCCCTCGTCCCACGCATCCTCCTCAACACTCGGTAGCTCATAGAAACTTTGCTTTGCTTTGTGGGGACACAGGAAGCAACCTCCATCTCAACACGCATCTTTACAGCCCAACCTCATCGAACGGGAGAAAGTGGCAACACCTTCGCCGGCGCAGACACATCAACAGCGCCTCAACAGTCGACACCGCCCAGATTCCTTCGGACCATGTCCTCGGTCGCGCATTTGGAGCAGCTTTCGCGCCGGGTCGCGTCATCGCATGTCGTTCGGTAAATGCAAGCCCCCGCCCCTAATCCCGCGAAACCCTTGATCACCGCCAAGATCAGGCACCTCCGGACGGGCTAAAATTTAGTTGCAGACCCATGGCTAACAAGGTCCCTTGAGAGCTGCCCTAAGGACCCTGATCGCTGCTGTTCCCCCCACATCGCCTCCACCTGAAGCTTCATGCCAAAGCCACTCGAGCATTTTCTCTGGTGCCATTCAGGCAGTATAGAACGAGACGGTCGGGCGTGCAGAAGGCTGGAAAGGATGTAGTCGGCAGTCTTGGTCCCCGCAGGATGTATTTCTGCAGCTCTGTCAGCTAATACAAGATTACGGGTAACATAATTGATGCCTCCGTTTCGAGAACCGCGATTCGCCACCACGGCTTCACCCAAACTGTCCAAACTTCGGTCAAGTGCTGGGGCAACTCCTCTCGGATCCCACTCCTCCATCCCCTTCCGCGCCACAGATGGTAGCAGAGGGAAGCCAAAGGGAGTAATTGGCGCAAGAAAACCAACGAAACGAAAATCCGAACTTCGTGATGAACTTGCTCATGCTTTTGGGAGTTTCGAAGTTGTGCTTGACGTGCCAGATTGCGCCCGCTGACCAAGTGGAACACCCTCACGACAAGAGCGTATAACGTGCAGCCCAATGTGAAACGTGCTTTGAACTGCTTCAGCTGGCAAATGAGAGTGAGAGACAACAGTAGAATAGTGAGCGAGGCCACAAGAACCCGAGTGAAGCCTGACACTCTGACACTCATTCCGGTTTCCCGAAACCAACAGCGAAAGTCAGGGTCGTGCAAGAACACGGGGTTAAGGGTCTGTAAGTCTGCGTTTGGCGGTCGTCGGACATCTTTAACCCTGCATTCCTCAATGCGATAGCCTTTTCTCGGCTAAAGCCCTTCCGCCCAGCAGGGCTCTCGTATGCATAAATTACCCTATTCTTAAGTCAGCTTCCCAATCTTCCCATCCTCCTTTCCCAGTTTCAGCATCATAACACTCACAAAACATAATTAGTACTCGTTTCTTCCCAGAACTGGCTGGCGTGCTTCTCGTCATCAGGTTCACAACTTTCACTGCTCTTCCTGTTGGTCAGGTTCCGGCATGGCGGCGCCTGTTCTTACCTAATATCTCAATCACCTCATTAATACATCCTCCTCCAGATCACCACCCACGCTCAACAAAAGGCAGGGAAGCACATGTTTCTTACCTCCGTCATGTACATTCCCACCCACTCTCTGCATTAAACAGTAAACAGACCCGACATTCAACATGCTCCTTTGTACAAGGCCGTGTTCTGAGAGAGCGGATGCAGTGTTGGAGACGGCATGGAAGACACCCGTTATAGGTCTGGAGGTGTTCTTGAATAGCGTGAAGATGATGGGAGCTGTGGAGTCCAGTGTCAGATCCCTGCAGAGATGCCGTGCGTAGGGATCAGAAAGCAACGTGCTCGATCGATCTAGGGGGCGACATTATCAGTGAATGTAAGTAGCCTTTTGAGGATGTAGGAACAGCCACATCATCCCACACGACCCTCCACTCTGGCCGAGTGTGATGTCTGCGAAGTAGTCAGTCTCTATTAATTGAGTTGATCATTACCCTTCCAACCAGGGTTGCGATTCTTCCCCCTGTTGTCGTGGGACCCTTCAACATGTCAAAGCCACACGCTCTCAACTGTGATGAAATCAAAGTGGAGGCTCCAAGTCTCACCTGAGCCATATGATGCTATATTTGCATCTTTGGATGCCTCCAGCCCCTTCCCTAGCCCCCCATATGGTCCTTCAATCACAGCTTAGCTGTTGAAACCGACGAGGTTGCCATTGCCGCTTGGACTGAATTTGGAGGCTGGGGACCCCAAATCGACGTGCTTGCTTGATGCATGCGTATACGCCGACAGTTGTCAAGGTGATAATGAGGAGAGAGGATATGTGGGAAGGAGGCCTTCTCGAGATCGCGGATGTCCAAGGATTCTGAAATTCAACGTGACAGCTGTTAAACATCGGTCGGCCTGGGTAGTTCCCTTCTTGGTTGAGTTTCCGTTCCCGATCCTGTTTCGTGGTATAATTAGACATCGTTTGTTTCGCCCATCATCCTCCTGTCATAACTGGGAACCCTACCGGTCGACGTGCCGTTCCCTCATATACGCGTTTGTTGCTGGAATCTCAACCAAAAAAACAATCCTCTTCAGGTCCTCTCATTTTTCATCATTCGTTTTTGCGATGCAGCCGCTCACTATCGTTATCGTAGGCCTGTTATTGTTGATAGTGGCCGTTGTGCACTTCATCAAGGTCTTTAGGGAAATAAACGACCCAAATGGGATACCGGGACCGACACAAATACCCTACTTGGGGCGCATCCATGATCTTCCAATTCAGTTCATGTGGCTCAAGTTCAAAGAGTGGGCGGACAAGTATGGGCAAGGCGGATTTTATCGCACCGTCATGCTTGGTGCTGAATTCCTCGTCGTGACCGATGAGAAGGTGGCGGAGGATTTACTGGTCAAACGCGCCAAGTATAACTCGGATCGGCCAGTGATTCGATCCTTGTTTGACTCCAAGAGCACGTATGGCTCTATGGAGTACCTTCCCCTAATGGGCCACAATCGTAAGTAAACAGGCCCTTGAGAATGACAGCCCAGGCCAAAAAAGACGAATACAGAAACAAGGGAACAAATCCGAAGGCTGACCAAGAATAAAACACCAGAATACTGGGCGCGTCAAAGAAAACTCAGCCATTCCTACCTAACTGAGGCCACAAAAGCTCACTACTACGGTGTAATGTACTTTGAGGTCCAGCGATGGATGGCACGACTGATCGAAAACCCCGACGACTTCCAATACTCTCTCGAAGACATGTCCTCCAAGGTCATGTGCCAGCTGACATGGGATGATCCAAGCCTCAGCGAGTACTGTACCAAGAGCGCCTGGGGTCTCTTGACGCAAATGTCACCGGCTGGACCCATCACCAATGTCTTGACACCGCTCTGGCACTTGCCAATGTTCCTCAACCCCTGGAAAAGGGCAGAGCGCAAACGCCACGATGAACAACAAGAATGGTGGATGCAGCGTCTTTTGACATGCAGGAAGAAGTTGGAGCACGGGGAACTACGCCCATGCTGGACTCGCCAGTTTCTCGAAAAGACCTCGCTCAAGACCAGCATCTCGGGTGACTATGAGGCATCCTCCGTAATCGGGATGCTGGCCCTGGTTGGAATCTTCACCGTCGTGGGTCCGATGTCCTACTGGCTCGTGTCGATGGTTCACAACCCCAAATGGCAAGAGGCGATCCAGAGGGAAGTCGACCAGGTTTGCGGTGGTCGTATGCCAAGATTGGAGGATGCTCCCCGGCTGCCTATCCTCCGTGCTTGTATCAAGGAGACAATGAGATGGAAGCCAAACGTGCCCACTGGTGTCGCCCACGAGACCGAAGCGGATGACCACTATCAGGGATACTTTATCCCCAAAGGGACCCGCATCTTGCCACTTGACTGGTTCGTCGTTCTTGCCCAGTTGTCGTTTTTTTTTTGTTTTTTCTTTGCTCGATGAGATGCTGACACAGATAGGTGCTTCCTCCGCAACCCCACCAAGTACCCTGACCCGGATAACTTCCGTCCTGAGCGCTGGCTCGAACCGGGCTGGCCCACGTACCAGGAACCTCTGACGCAGTATCCGACCATCAAGGGCCTCACCTCCTTTGGTTGGGGGCAACGCCAGTGTCTTGGTATGTCGCTCACCCAAGATGAGCTCATTGTCGGTTGCGGTGCCTTGGCCTGGTTGTTCAACCTCAAGCACAAGCGTGATCCCGTAACAGGCGAGAAACTACCCGTTCCGCTTGACAAGAGCAACTCTCTGCTTATCATCAAGCCTGATCCGTTCCAGATGGCATTCGAGCCGCGTTCGGAAAAGAGGAAGATGGAAGCGTTGAGGTTTTGGGAGGAGGCCGAGACAAAGGATTTCGCCAAGAGGGAGCAGTGGCTGAAAAACCTTCGAGAGAGAAAGCCGGACGTGATTGAGGAGTCAAAGGTGCCGCAGCCGACAGTGAAGGTCCCATCTCCGTCACCCGCAGCGGCGGTCCCGGCTGGGCTTGTGAAGGGCGGTGAGGAGTCGAACGGGTTGTCAGAGAAGGTCGTCGAGGAAAAGGGTGCTGGCGTTGGTGGTGGTGGATTGGCCGCGTGTGGGTCGGCTGGGAAGGCGATGGGTGATTTGAGGAAGGAGACGGATCTTCGGATCAAGATTGCGAGGCTGGACTCTCCTTCGAGTTTGTAGGCAGCCTGCATTCATTGCTTGGACTGGAATGAAGCGATACGGTAAAAGAGGAGATGAAGCCGGTTCGTGGTTCGGAAGCAACGAAATGGGGGAATCGTCCAGCTGGTTAAACCTTGTTTCGTTGCAATCCGACAGTTATGGTAATATTTTGGAATTTGGGATTGTCTAACTTGGTGTGAATACATACATGGAAAGTGTGCGTTGTCAATTCGTGGATAATAAGTTCCTGTCGGCGGCTTTTCCAGTGAATGTGTGGAGAAATGATGGACAGGCTGTGTTGTGCATTTGTTGTGTTGGCCAGCGATTTGATGGTCGGAGGCCGAGATGGAACGAAACCCTTGCTCGGGGAAGAAGTCCACCAAAACGTTAGGGAGAAGGGAATGAGAGTTGAGTTGCTGTCTTTCAAAGATTGGAGTGGAGTGTGCTCCGATGTGAGGAGGGCCGGGATCTCCCCAACCCATCCTGTGCCACGGACGGGGAGCCGGTTACATGAACGGAAGGTACGAAGGTACACGGATGAGGAGTTTATGACCCTAGCGAAAGTGGACTGGTGATGGGACGAACGGTGAAGGCCCGGTCCCAACGTCAATCAGGCAAGTCGATGCTCGGTCGTCGTAGCATAGCGACACGGTCAAGACTCGGAAGGAGGAAATAATCCGTCGTGTGGTTGTCTAGTAGTACACAAACATGTCAGCGGCCTTTCAACTACCTAGATATTTAAGGGAGAAGGAAGACGGAGTTAGTTCATCACTTATACCGTACTCCCGCGGGTAGATTGACTTTTTTTGCAATTATCACGATGCATCTCGAGGTTTATTCCTTGTGGAAAACTCTTCTCATTGAAGTAACAACTAATGGTCAACTCTCCCAAAGAGGCACCTTTGCCAAGTCAGTCACGTCTGCTACCATCGGATACGTACACAGGATGGTCTTGGATTAGGTTGTCGCTCTCAAAAAGCGATGAGGAATTGCCAAGGGTTAAATACTGTCAACCGCTTCCCGCAATGAACGACCGACGAAATGGAAGATCCCAGAACCGAAATCAGTGGCTGGCCAAATCACTCAAGGTTCATGTTGACATTCCTGCTGCCATCCCGTCTGCATTGCGCAGGTCCGTGACATGGACCGCGTGAGTTCCTGATCAATGCTACCGCTTGGAGGCAAATCGATGACAATGAAGATGAAGATGCTTATACCTGTCATTCTTTTTGGGTTTTCACAGCAAAAACAAGTTCCAAGCATGGTGAAAAGAATTGCTGGCTTGGTGCCTCTGAATCAATGTGAAAGTTGCGTGGATGGTGCTCTTGTCGCTGCACGTCAAGTTCGGCTTTCCCCTTCCGATGTCCGAGTCCCTTAATCCTGTTAATGCAGTGGTGTCGGTTGGGAACAGCTCGCAGTCAACCTGGGGCTGCTGAGCGATTACCAATCCTCCCCCTTTCCATCAATGCACCCAGGGGCAGGGCAAATAAAGACAAGTAACGAAGCACAGCCGAGCATGTTAGCTCGTACCTTCCAAGTTCATGTTCATGCAAATGACTTGAAATCTCTTCCTGCAACCTCACCTTGGCAAACGACACCTGCATTCGCTCCTTCCCTCGCCATCAAGGTACCTCGCTGCCGACCTGTAAATACAACCAACAGCAACCGTTACACAAGCTTTGCCGGCCGGAAACGAGCAAAGGTTTCACGGCATGAGCTGCCGGCACGGCAAGGCAGGAGGGGTGTCTTCCCCTCCCGCCCTGATGTGATGGATCCCTCCGATTTATCAACCCCAAAATCCTGGGAGCGGCTAACTTGAACTCTGGCAATATCGTTCACATCGTAAAGTTCCATCTTGGTTACCCAGTCCATTTGATTGAAACAACATCGCCAAGTCGAGTACAACACTGCTCATAGCCACCATGTCTTCGTCCTCCAGTATCATCCCGACCGAGGCCGTCGTTGGCACCACGGTTGCCATGTCGTTCATTCTTCTCGGTATGTACCATCACCTGTCATCATCATTCCATCCGATCACCAAGTCATATCATCCCTCTATCGTCAAACGACATCACCTCAACCGCATCCTTCTCATTACTTCTTCTACTCAAATGATCCTCAGCCACCGCCACCATCACCACCATCATCACCGTCATCACTACCATATCCACCACCACATCCACCTCCCTTCTCTTCACCTCTAAACCCACCCACTAACCCCCATCCCTTTGGGGCCTCTCCCACTCCAGGCAACGCAATAACCCAATCCTTCATGGGCGTCCCCGCCCTCCTCATCGGCTTCCCGCACCCCTCCTCCCCTTCGCACGCCGAACGCGCTCGTCTGCTCGGTAACCAATGGCCCGTCTTCTGGCGCGTCGGCAACGTTTTCTTCCGGCCCATTTCCACCTTTGGCATTCTCGGGTACGGATACGCCGCCTGGGCCTGCTCTAGGGCCACATCCTCCACCCAGGGTCTCGGTTCTACGTCTGGCAACGCCTGGAAGTTCTACGCCATCTCGGCGCTGTGCCACTTGATCACTGTGGTGCACTCGGCGGTGAATATGCAGCCTATTAATGCCAAGATTGAAGGGCTGAGAAGGGCGGGTGTGGAGGGTGGGAAGAATGGTGGGACCGATCTGGCGCTGGCGGAGTATTATGCGAGAAAGTGGGCGAGGTTGAATCTGGTGAGATTGGTGATGCCGGCTTTGGCGGGCACGGTGGCGTTGTGGACTACCCTCAAGGCGGGGAGGATTGGGGGTGTTAGTTTCCTTTAGGGCAAGGGAAAGGGAGACGGCGACTCCTGCCTGAGGGACGTGGAGGGGTATGCAATGGTAAACACTGATGATCTGGATGGAGATAAAGAGTAGTGATGATTGTCGTAGCCAAGACGAGAAGGAAAGCAGCAGGTTTATATTTGGGGTACATGGGCAATCAATAATCGGGAGGGCATCATGATGGAGGATAATCGGACACAGGAGGAAGTGTATGGTTACTATATTAGCTGCGCCCTCATCATCAAATCAGAAACACATTTAGGCGCCGAGAGAGAGTGTTAAGGTAACTGATTCGCCGAAGTGCATGTTCGCGGTGAGTTGATAACGCCTAGAAGAAGTTGCACAGAGTTCTCCATCCATTTCGTTGAAGCACGGGTCGAGAGGCTCGTTATTGATAGAATCTCACTCAAACTTTCACGGCTCCCGTCAAAGCAAATTGTTCGAGTTGTCATAGGCAGAATGATGAATTCTGGCTTCAAATGGCTGATTTGTTCGATGTACTGCTATGGACGGACATGTCCTTCAAAGCTGCCCCTGTTTTTCTCCTCCTACCACTCTGTGACCGCATCTCAAAGTGACAAAGAACGCTGTGTTATTTAAGCTGGTCAGACACGTATTGAGCCTCAGGCTCATGTCTGCCAGGGTAAGGTATCTCCGCTAACGTTAACATCAAATGACTTCTCCCCTTCTCTGTTGCTCAGTCCCTCTTCTGATTGTCCCCTCTTTCCCTGTCCTTTTCTTCCTCCTTTTTGTTCTCTCTCTCTTCCCTTTTCCCTCCCCATGTTCCTGCATCCTCTCTTTGTCCTTCTACAACCCATTACTCTTATCTTATTTAGAGTGTTTCTCCAACTCCTTCAGTTGCCTTATTCATGGTCTACTATACCGTGGATTTAACGAGCCCTCCCTCCCTTTCCAATTCCATCCCTTCCACCACCGCCAAGGCCACCAAACACCAATTTCCCTAAAGTAAACCCAGCAACGAAGGTAGCACCAGAAACCCATTCTTTTTTGATGGCCACTTCCCCAGTATACCGGTCAAAATCCACAGGGATCAATGGTGCAGGAACGAATTCTCTCAAGACATCGATGGTATCAGCCAGTTTACTACTCCAACCTTTTTCTTGGGGTTGTCTGTCTGTCTGGGGGTCGTGAATGTTTTGGTGTTCGAAGAAGTGGCCAGCATAACACCCAGTCGCTCTCGCCGAGTCAGAACCAGCGACCGAGTCGGGAAAATTTGTGGAGCTACCCGAGGACATGGAGCTAGCAGAAGCGAGATAACCAATATCTTCCACTTGTGAGGCGAAACGCAGTCTTTTGAATCTTCTCTGGTTCACAGCTGAGGCATTTTGGCCCACGTGTTGGAAGATGTTGGGGTCACCTTCACCTTCAGCCTCGACTGTGGCTTCGGACTCAGATCCCGTATACTCAGCGCCATGAGAAGAATGCCATGCCAATGCGTCTAGAAAAAGCGAACCCCGTTGAGAAGAAGGATACTCCGTCGTGGTACTGAATTTGTCTAGGGTGTCTAGACCGTCCAGGGTATCAAGATGCTCGATGCCAATACCGCATTGTGTTCCCATATCCAATCGGTGCAGACCATCGGGGTCAAGTTCAGCACGTTGTGGCAATGGTGAAGTCCCTAGACTCGATACTGAAGAAGTAAGACTCGGCACACTCGGCAACGCCGAAGGCGAGGGTGGGACTTCCATCACCGTCACGGACGGTGCAAGGTAACCACCGGCAACAGCAACCTCCTTCAGTTTGAGTGTTTCGAGGTTGATGTACGTAGCAGGCTTATACGTTGGTGGTGGTGGTGCTGAAGCTTCATCGAAGCCTTTGGGAGCGTGTTTCTTCTTCATCTCGACTGCTTTGTGTGAATCGACGAATTCTTGGATTCTGGAGACGAAATGGCCGCAGGGGGTGAAGGAGATGATGAGGAGACATTCGTTTGTCCAGTGGAGGTCGTCGGTGTTTTCCTCCTGAGCTTCTTTAGGGGCTCGTTGGGGTGATTGTGGTGAGTCTTCTTGGAGCTTTTCTTGGTGCAGCTTTTCTTGGGCAGCAGCAGCGGGTGGAGGAGATGCGCGCCGTGAGTCTTCGGCTGATGTTGGTGGTGACGGTGTCTGTTCCTTTTCTTCCTGAGAAGATGACTGGGAGAGAGCGAAGGCTGATGGCGAGGAATAGCCCGCTTCCGATGGGGGCTCGGTGACTTCCGCGATGGGGCTCAGAACTGTCCCTGGCATGTATGGTGAGCCTGGTGGGCTTGGTAAGGCTGGGTCTCCTAGCATGCCACTTGGGTCGACCGGCTCAAGGTCGGCGTCTTCGTCAGAGCTGGACTCCTCATCTTTCATTTCGACATGGGGAATGACCTCCATTTCAGTTTCCCCATCTCCTTTCGCATCTTCCTTTGCTTGACTCTCCTCCTTTGGTTGACCCTCATCCTTCTCGCCCTTCGTCTCTGTCTTTTTCATGGGTTTCAAGACACCCTCCATAGCACACCGCAAAATGACTTCACCCTTCTCCGAATCTTCCCAAAGCTCCATCGGCTTCATCTCAAAGCTTTTGAACGCCGAGAAAACCATCGCAGCATGGTGCGCGAAATCAGCTTTTCCTCTGACGGGCATTCCCAGCGATTGCGGGAGGACTTCGTGCGTGAAGTGTGGAGCGAGGGGCTCGATGATAGTAGCGACATCAAGTGAGCCGTAGCCATGGAGGAGACGCCGAAGGGTTTGGGAGCGGGTGGTGGCGAGGGACTGGGGATGGGACTGGGAAGGGGATGGCCCCGAGGGGACGAGATGTTGTGTGGTGTTCATGTTGTTCATGGGCATGGGGGGGGGTTCTTGGTGGGAGTGGGGGAGGGGGTGGGCCAGAGGGAATAACGATGACAGGCTGGACGATGTTGTCCAGATGAGGATGCTGTGATGGAGGGGTAGATGGAGTTGTCATGTTGATGGTTGGTGGTGATGAATTTGGTGGATCGTGGCGACAGATGTTCGGTGAGATCTGCGAGACTTGAGTTCTGTTATGGGCAGAGAGATATTGGTGGTAACCAGGACTTGACAGCGAGATAATAGTTGAGGTCGCTGGTAGGAGTTGTGATGTTTGCTACCCAGCTGATATTGCTGAGGCGTCGCCGTTTATGTTGGTGAGAACGATGTACCTGGCCAAGTGTTGACGACGTGGCTCAGTTCAAAGGAAAGCCTGAACGATGCTCTAATGAACAATGAAAGGGCTGTGAAGTGGCTATCAAGGGTCAAAATGAGTGCGAGAGGGGCTCAGCGAATTTTTGCTAGGGCGCGAAAACTAAAGGACAAAAAGTTTGTGGGATGCTTTGATCAACCGATCCCGAAGTGCTTTCTCACTGCCTTCTTTCCGTTCACGATAGATGCAGGCAGAAACCACCTGACTGGCAAAGGGTCCTCGAAGCGTGACTCAACTGTGCTCCTGCATTGCCATAGCCCCGGGCTCGTGCAGTCTAAGACCTCGTACATGACCCTGCCAACAGGTTGGTGACGCGGTGCATGGTCTGCGCCCATTTTTCTGCCAAGGACGTGCCATATCTTCCCAGGAAACACCACATTGAGCATGGACCTCATGTGTTGCGGGCATCTTGGGAGCTCGATGAATGTCGGTAGGGAAGGGTTAGCTTGCGTATCAGGCAACGTGATGTCGTCGTTCGATGGAAGTTGTCAGTTACTGATTGCGAGATCCCACGATGGTTCAAAAAAGTCACCAAGGTTCTCTTTCCACGCATATCTGAGCTGGGATGTGCAGTAGATGGCTGTGATGGCCACTGCCACAATCCTCACGACATTCCTGCTTCTTACTTGAGTCTCTCAGAAGCTCTGAGGCTGGAAGGCCCTAGTGGCCCACGAGCAATGGGAAGGACCACCTGGGGCAGCTGTTAGCAGACTTGAACCACTTCTCACCTTACCACTTGTTCAAGTCCACTCCCCTCTCCATTTTTGACACTCGTCATCCACCACTGGGAACCTGTCAAGTCAACACAACCAATTAAACCATCATGACCACTCTTGACACATCGTCCACCATGAACAAGAAAACCATTCTCGTCACCGGTGCCACCGGCCAACAAGGCGGTGCCGTCATCGACGCCCTCATGGACCTCGACAAGTCCGGCGAGAAGTTCTCCATCCTCGCCGTCACCCGCAAAGCCGACAGCCCCGCCGCCCTTGACCTCGTCAAGAAACACCCGCGCGTCAAGCTGGTCGAAGGCAACCTCGACAACGTCCCCGCTCTATTCGAGTCGGCCAAGATCATTGCCGGCGAGCACCAACTCCCCATCTGGGGTGTCTTCTCGGTCCAAGTCTCCATGGGCCCCGGCGTAACCTTTGACAGCGAAGTCAAGCAAGGCAAAGCCCTCATTGACGGCGCCATTGCGAACGGTGTCCAGCACTTTGTCTACAGCTCGGTCGAGCGAGGTGGCGATGAAAGGAGTTGGGACAACTCAACCCCCATCCCCCACTTCCAGACCAAGAAGATCATCGAGGACTACCTGAATGCGACGTGTGGCAAGCAACCCGGGTCCAAGATGGGCTGGACGATCCTGCGTCCTGTGGCGTTCATGGATAACCTCAAGCCGGGCACTCCAACGAGCGTGTTCCTGACTGCGCTGAAGAATCATCTGGGACAGGACAGGAAGTCGCTGCAGTGGATTGCGGTGCATGACATCGGTGTGTTTGTGGCCAAGGTGTTTGACAATCCGGAGGAGTGGAATCATCGGGCGGTCGGACTGGCGGGCGATGAATTGACGGTCGAGCAGCTCAGCAGGGCTTTCTCCAAGGCCACTGGGTATCCTATCCCGCTGACGTATTGGTTCGCTGGAAGTTTGTTGACGTTCTTGGTCAAGGAGGTCGGGCTGATGATTGGCTGGTTCGCCAGCGATGGGTACAAGGCTGATGTCGAGGCGAGGAGGAAGGACCATCCGGACATGTTGACCATGGAGCAGTGGTTGTTGAAGAAGAGCCAGTTTAGCACGGGTGTTGATAGTGCGCAGATTGGGGCTTGAGTATCGTGGGCGTTGGCGTACCATGAGAGTTGGTGTTTCGTCAATTGAGCCAAAGGAGATCGCTGGAGAAGCGACGGGTGAAGGCCAGCAAAGGGGTTCATCCGAAATTGTTAGCACTGTTGCCTATCGATAGCACCCAGATTAAGACTGTTTTCCATCAGTACAGCCAATAAGAGAGCCTGTGATTGACCAATGAGGAAGGTGGGGCACGGCCCGCGACAGTCCTCGACAGGCCCCTCCTGAGACACAAAGGACCCCTGAGGCTCTAACAATATCCCCTGAACCCCTACGCTTGTAGGACTTCGAGACGCCCAGCCAAACCACCAAAAGGGGTCTCGCGATCTCTCGATGTTACCATGTCTAACGCCTCCTGTTACGGCAACCCTTCTTCCAGCCAGATTGGGATATCGCATCGCGGTTAGATGCCCGTCACCAGCCTGCCAGCCTCCTGTCAATGATCTCTTAACTCTCAAATGGGTTCAAGCATGGTACCTGTCATTCTGGAAACGAGTGTTTCCGGCGTCATGGTGATGGGGTTAAGCTTTAACTCGGCAACACACCACCACCAGCAAGTGCCTGATCAAGGAGATCGCTCGACTCCTGGCCGTCAATCTGGGGATCCTGATTGTTCCTGCAGGTAGAGATGAGGGCTTCGGTACCGATTTCCTAATTGTCTTCCTACCCGTTATCCAAGGTGTTTCTCTAACTAACAGGAGGTGGTGAGGTGACATCGTCAACTTGGCCATCTTGATTGCCTACTTTGACATTTGGTATAAAGTCAACTATCCTCCTGTTGCGTCTACCTTCTAACTCTCTTCTTCATCAGCTTCAGTCTGTCATTCAACTTTCACTTCACCTCATTCCACCGCCGGCCGGTCTTTCAATCGCTACATCCCACTTCTCGTGCAGTCACCAACAACCAGCTCATCATCTCAAATAACCATCCCCAACCACTACCATCACCATCAACAACCACCCAAACCTCAACTCCCAAACCGCAACCGCAAAAATGAAGTTCACCACCCTCACTACCCTCCTCCTCACGGCCACTCTCCCCGTCAACGCCGCCGTCCTCGAGTCCGACACCTCCGTTCTCCGTCGGGACATCTTCGCCCGCCAAAACGCCAACCGCCCTGTTCCCAATGGCGCCTGCTGCGTGGCCAATACCAGCTTGAAGCAGGATATTTGCAGAGTCAATGGTAGACAGGGGAAGTGCGTGCCTGCTAATACTGCTAATTGTGAGTACCCCTGGTTTGTTTGTGACTGAGGTGTTGGAGGGGATGGCGGGTGTTAAAGGAAACGGACGCTAATGGAGGAACAATGAATAGGCGGCGCGAGATTGACATGTATCGAGGACTCGAGGTTGACTTGCAACCCTAATGTTTTGGAGAGGGGAAGGCCTTTGTGCCGCCTTCGTAATGGTGCGTAAGGTGTTGGACTTTGGGAACTGATGGAAATGCTGGAGCCTAGGAGGATTGATGGGGGGGAAGGATCCATGTCGTAATGGTTGATAATCTGCTGCCTGCTAGAGTCTTTGGCTGCGATAAGGGCTTGTGAAAATGATTAAAAAACAAGTGGGATTTTATTACAAATTTTATTCCATCTCTAGGTACCTACCATGGTGGCTTGAACATTGACCCACTGATCCTCTTCGGTCATGCGGAATATCAGTCCGGTCGGCTTTCGGCTGCTCAGACCACGTCTTCCTGTGAGCCTTGATCGTTCGTCTCTTTGTTCATATTTGCAGCTATCCATTCACGGGTGCTCGACGCTTAGGTAGTTTCCTCGAGTTGTGCCATCGAATGGCCCGAATAACATTGAATTAACTGGTATCCGAAAAAAGACCTTCTCCCCAAGCTGTACGCGAGCGTAAGCTCCCGTAGGATAAGGTACCTTCTAAGGAATGAGGACATATTGTATCTTGTGGTGTAGTTTCTCTGTCCGTCCATGGCGGCGGCGTGGCGGGAGACATCGGACCTAGCTGGGCCAGGGCTCAGCCAAGCCCCGACGGTCTCGCAGTTCTCGTCATGTTTCTGGCCATTGCCCCCGCCGCCCTCCTGAAGAACTCAACAACTTTCTCTTGTCGTATCTTCCACCGAGAATCAGCCACTAGTCATAAAGGCATTAGGAATCTTGGATGTTATCCTTACCCATTGACCATGGAGCAAATTTAACGCCACATCGACTCGAGCTCATGACTTGCCCCCGCTCCATGTCCCGAGTGACTACCGGCCACCGACCACCGACCACCGACAACAAACAACGATTACAACATGGACAGAGAGGAAATTGCTTTTTCCTCACCCTCGGAAGCGTATGGAGCACCGATGCTATTGCACCAAGTCCGTTGGGGAGCGGGCCGACGCTCCATGAGTCCATAGGATCACTGCTCCCCCGGTATCGTCGTTTCATCCCACAAACATGACAAGCACGATAAATCCACAGGGAGACGGGCAAACACACCGACCACCAGACTCCGTATGACATTCGGACTGTCCTAGGACCAGTTCAGCCACCACCGATGTCCAAGGACCGAAAGAACGACATGAACTACCGCAATCCTCACAAACAACATGAAGACACCTGATGAACGCCTCTGTGTCGGATTCGCCGAGCTAGATGGGGTTCGATTCCCCTATCGACGACGACATACTGAAGTACCTCCTCGATGAGATGGGCGTTCCGAGTCTCGGCCAGGCTCTGACGGCCACGTACACCAACCAACATGAACGCCACACAACCACCACAATCTGGTTGCCTAGCACACCATGACCTAACCCCCACATGGCCGTCTTTGCTCCCTCCCTCCAGCCCCCAGGTGAGGTAGGTAGTCAACGTCGAGTGATATAGAAATGCCATCGTACCTGCTGCAATCAGCGTTCCGACGGACCGCATATATTTGATCCTACTATTGCCATTTGGGGGACTGTAAACAAAGTCCATGGAGGCTGGCTAGAGTCTGTTGGATGCCTTGGTACGCGACACTGGAGTTGGCTTTTGATCCTTGTGTAGAAACAAGCGAACAAGATAGTAGAAGACATCTCAAGTTCGGATCAGAAGTAGCTCAACGATGGAAGAGAAACAACGGACGGACGTGTCATGGACGTGGGAGAAAACCGCGGAACATAGTGACTGGATGATAAGAGATAAGTTCAATAACAGGATGGCATTGATAACAAGTTCTTCAACTGCTCGATCCCCAATAAGAAATTCATCGCTAACCGTCCAGACGATGTGGCCCTCTGGACGAGTGTTCTGTTCATCGAAACTGGAGGGAAAGAAATTAACCGGGAACGCCCCTATCCTGATGTTGACCACGGATAAAAACAGGAAGGTCCTCTAGAGACCCGTGGCCACCCCGTCTCATTAGATGCTGTTTCTTCTTCTTCTCATGCTGCTGCTTACACCAAGGCAGATCCACTTGTCGTCTATCATCCCATCATCTGCGGCCGCGCATGCGGGGTGCACCAAGGCAAATTTGTTATCGAAGGATTATAGCATGATGTTGTTGGCGACGACCTTACTCCTCCTTGGCCACCCGCTCTCAAGCCAGCACCATGTCGTGAACCAACTGTGCTTTCCTCCTTTCCGGCGCTATGGGCGTCACCACCGCCCTCGCCTCATGTACCGCGTCCATGGAGCCCGACTCGGTGTGCTGCGCATTCTCAATCAGTCATCCATCCGCCAGAGGGGAGTCTGCATTGGGGCGGTGCGTAAGAGTGCAGTTGACCCGAGGGAGCCCGAATGCAATCAGTTTGTTCGATGGACCACGGCATGGCCGCATCCAGACATTAATGGTCCATCTTATCCTCGGTTGTCCGGTTGCTCTTGTGAAATACATCTGGGTATTGTAGACCTGGTTTGCCCACGGACTCGTCGTCTTGTTGTCTTGTTTGCAATGTTGTGCGACAGATGTTTACGCCATCTGGAAAGACCCGTGGCGGTCCAACCTCTGCCTCTTGACGCGCTTGTCCAATTCGCCTTCTCCGTTTCTCGATCTCTTCTTTCCGGCAAAACGTCTTGGAGCTGGATAGAAAGACTTCCTTGGATCCTTGTTGACAGCCGATTCCTAGTCGGCATATTGACGTTGGAACTAGTAGTCGTCGTCTTCCATGTCAACGTGGGGCACCGGATTGGAGACATGGCTGGGACCGCCGCAGATCAAGAATGGTAGAGGACGGGAAATTTGGCGTAGAAAGGAAATTGTGCAGGTTATACTTGAATGGGTTCTCTGCAGGATGTATGCTGAGCTCATCAAGATTCGCGGTGGAGCAAGGGGGGAAGCGGGTGAAGCTGTCAACGCTCCTTCCGCGGCAGCGAGACGAGAGAGGGTCAAGTGTTGCGACAAGAGGGAGGAGCAATGATCCAACATTAGGACGGAACCTTGGCCATTTATTGCACGCATCCCCAGAGAATTTTGACGATGCCGCCGTGAACATAGATGCCACAGTCAACCTCATTCACTGCACGACACGGACATCCATGCCGTCAGTGACAGCGGTGACCACATCCACAACGAGTTTATCAAAACCAAGGACTTCACAGTCAACCAGTGTGACTTTATGGGTTGTCCTACCGGTTTTATGTCACAGTCCAGTCAGAATGGAAGCAAACTGCCCGGAAATCTTCAGGACGCCTTGACACATGCTTCCATGCTCGGTCAGTCATTATGCTCGGTCAGTCATTATGCTCGGTCAGTCATTATGCTCGGTCAGTCATTATGCTCGGTCGGTCATTATGCTCGTTTCTGGTCATGTTCCATACAGTCATACTTGTAGCTAATTTTTGGGTATAAAAGCGATAGCCCCCACGACCACTTCCGTCAAGCTCCCATCTCCTTCGTCACTTACTTCCCATTCGAAGGGGTACTTTCACTCCTCTCATCTACCAATGTTTGAGTTAAGGCGAGAGATGCCCACAGGCGAGCTTTTCACGGCCCGAACCACCAATGTCCCCCATCTAGAATGCGTTGCCTGTTCCAGAACAATGGTGAGCAGGGCTTGGCCAGGAATTATGACGAGAATGATGCCAGTAACAACTCCGTCACAGTCTTTTGGACCACAGCCTACAAACTATGAGCTCTCCGTCAAACAAACCATCTTCAACCTGACCACCAATATTTTAAAGGAATTGTTCTCCTTAACATCGTTTCCTTTTTTTTTCGCCCTTAAACTGGCCTCGATTCATCCAACTCTGCCGACAGACAAAGGAACTCGGTCCGGACTCGCTCACAGCTTCCCATCTTCAATCCTTCGCCAAGCAATGCCGCCTTCTTTACCATTCTGCTGGCAGAGGGAAGAAATGGATGGTGAATCCTAAAACCATTCCTTCAGGAAAAAGGGCAAGACCACTAGAGACGCCATCACGGCCAACAATCCAGGCCATCCACTTCTTGCCCATTCTCGAACAAGCGTTGCTATTCCTTGCTGGACAGAAACAATAAGGTGCAGATATCAACCAACCAACTCCTGTCGTGTTGTATCACGGGCGAATCACAGAAGAGAAGTTTGTGCGGATAGAATACACCCAGGTCGATGGGTTGCTCTTACACAGCAGACGGAGGAAAAGCGCACCTCCTCCCGGTTGTACGCATTGAAATGTCACATCATTGTACGAGGTGTACAAATGATGGCGTTTCTGCATGGCTTTCGAGCAATTTTGAGATGTCCTTCTAGATCTATTGGGGCGATTCACCCAAACTCAAGACTGTTGAGACGGAGCCGAGGTCTGCCATGGACCATGGTCTTTTAGTGTCAATGGTGTCAATGGCTGAGATCACCGAGACTTGTACGGCCATTTATTGTAAAGTTGTGGATGATGTCGTTTGGCGGTCGTTTAAATGCGGCTCGACCTGATATACCTCCCTCGTCCCCTGCCTTGGGTCAAAATTGATCCTAGGTATCCCTAGAGATACCGACTGCCAGACCGATTGCGAAGCTGGTGGACTTGTTGGCGGATGGCATCAAGCTTGCTCAAAACACCACCGCCATTTGAGCGCCCGGCTCAGGCGGGGGGGACTGGCGTGATGAATTCCATAGGAAAACCATTCACTCAAGTCAACCGCCCTTCACTCCTAATCACTACATCCAATCACCAAAGCCAAGAACCGTCCCGTTTTGGTAGTATCATCCATTCACTCGACCAGAGCAGAGCAAACCGATGCCTATCCCCTAGTCTACGCACACATTCTACTAAATTCTCTCCTCCCAAATTCCCCAAAATGTATTCATCCTTCTCTCCAAATTTTCCCAAACTTCCATCCTCGACAGCCCAAGATATCCCACCAGCACCACGCAAGCAATCTTTTGTCTCGAAAATTTCCCCCTTGCTCAATCTTCCTCTCTCCAGGTCCCATGACGATGACTTATCATTTGCGTTTTTTCTTTCACGAATTAATCATGTCTTCAACCGGTATCAACATGTCCAACACTTCCTCTAGCCCCACCGGCCATGACACTCACCATGAGTTGCCTTCCAACGTCGCTGCGCCACTGGAGCACGATCAAGATCAAGACATGGACATGGACGTTGACATGGACTCGGCTGTGATGAACAGCATCCAAGCTTCCGTGGAGGTGCCTTCATTGCCCTATCCTCCCGCGGCTGTAGTCTCTGTCACCGTCTCTGTCACCGCCGCAACTGCCGCAGAGGACGACTCCATGTCTCTCGAGGAGGGCGAGATTATCGAAGATGACGAGGACGAGGACTCGCTCGAGGAGGGTGAAATCCGTCAGATTCCCGCCGAAGATCATGATTCTATGTCTCTGGAGGAAGGCGAGATCCGAGAGGACGATGACGACGCTGTTAGGTCTAGTTCCCTCGAGGAAGGCGAAAGTAAGTCCCCGACCACATGCATCTTTGCTTTACCCTTCATAACCATTCTTCTCATATCCCACAACAGGCCTGCCACCAAATGACGTCTCGCCACACGCAACAGGCTACTTGATAGCTCCCGATACGGCTTCCGGGGCCTGACACAATACCATCACCATCATCATCACCATCACATCTCCCTTCGGCCTTCGAGACGAATCTCGTCGCCCCTCATCTCCACCTGTTACCCCTGTCGCAAATACCTGTTACATGACCCTGCACTGTTCCATAGCTTCCGTTAGGGGCAATGAGTCTTCCACTTTCAATTAGACTCAGCGCTTGACGCTTCACAGTTCAAGTCTGGTCCAGTCCTCCTGCCTTCATCGATACATACCCAGTCATGTTTCTTCATTATTCTCCCTTGTCTGGCTTTCCTTGCGCACATTCACACACGCACGCACACACACACACACACATCTTCCGCGGTTGTCGTCTCTGTTGTGGGGATGTCTGAGTTTGTTAGCTTTTCCATGTTGGTTGTCTCCCTTCCATCAGGAAGCTTCTCACCAAATGATGACATACAAACTTGGGTATAAGGAGGCAGACAACCGCATGTCGTACTTCAACTCCAGCTTTGCTTGTGTCATCTTGCACCCTTTTATATATACCTGTCCTGTCTTTTCACCACTCTGAACCTAACACACAATTCTCTTTCAGTTGACGAAAGTGCCGAAGACATAATCATGGCAGAGGCCCCCTCTGCCTCTAGCTCCAGCAATCCGACCACCAACACCTCAGCTGGCCCAGTGGTCCCTCCCTCATTCACAGCCTTTGGTCAGGCCGTGGTGTCCCAACCGCTTCTCGCAAGCCACTCAACGCTTGCTCCCCTCCAACCCCAGGCCCGCCAGCAACCCTTTCCTTTCTTCCAACTCCCTCCCGAGATCCGTAACATGATATACGGCTACATGCTCACCTCCCCCGAGCCAATCATTCCTCACCACACCCTTCCCATACCCCTCTGGTACTTCGAAGTCCAAGACGCCCGCAAAGCCGCCGGTCCATTGTACGATCCTCTGCCCACCGTGCTGTGCTTATCCCGACAGTTCGCTCGGGAGGCCTCTGCTGTCTTTTGGCCCACCAACACGTTCCAACTGGACCTGACGCACCACAGGCTATGGTTGACGAGGATTGGCCGAGCCAACTCGTGGATCATCAAACGCTTGCACGTCAAGTGTTTTCGCGACTTCGTCAGTGACGAGGACTTCGCAGCCTGGACCAGAAAACTCGTCATGATGGGGAACACGGTTAGGAAGCGGTGTCCGGGGATGACGGAGCTAGATTTCCGGTTCGGATTCCTGCGCACCGAAGCTGGAGAAGAACTGCCCGCGAGTCAATGTCTCCGGTGTTTTGTTGACAACGAAGACATCAGGAGGGCATGGAAGCTGAAGAGGTGGGAAAAGCTCAGAAGGGTGACCATTTACATCCATGAGGAGTGGCACGTTACCGCATACGTGGCTAGGATGTTGCAGGAGCTGGTTGGGAGGATGAAGAGAGGGGTTATGGTCGAAGGTATCCATGTGGCCACGGTAAATAGTTACCGGTTACCGGGTGCGCCGCCTGACATGAACCAACACCTTCACGAAGACCAGGAGCGGAAGTTCTTTGAAGGCTGGCGGACTAGGGAGACAGGGACTGTGGCGACGCAGATACTCCCGTGGGAGAGACCAGTGGGTTGGCCCACCGTCTATCGCCGGGGTCATGAACAGAATGTTGACGAAGCTTGAGGCGATGGATCTGCGGGTGATGGAACTTCGTTTGTAAGCGCCAGGTTAGGGTTTGGATGGCCACTGGAATCTGAAACGCAGGCAGCACTCCAGCAGTAGACCAAAAGAAGAAAAATACTGTCAGAAAGTGTTGATCGTTGTGATTTCACACGGACAAAACCAGCGTGGGTTTGTATGTGTGTTTGCCAAGGCCATAAAAGTGATTTGTTGTTAGCCAAACTTATTAATCATGAAGAAATGGCTGTTGATCTGTGACTCTGGTGGTGATCGCGACACGCTTGCAGTGTGTCAATAGCCCAGTGTGAGTCAAACCACTTGGAAGAAGAGTGCACGAGAAAGGACACGGTTACTGACGAGAATGGTACATAGTAGGCAAGGAAGTCTTGGGTGAGAAACCGGAAATTCGAGGACAAGAAAGCCACTTCCCCTGAAACAATATCATAGTTGTCGGTTATCGCTGTTTTCTGGCTCTTTATACCCAAGTGAATGAGAACTGAGCACTTCAACCTGACTCTCGTGAGCAACACTTCTTGAACTGACGAGATTCAAGATCAGGGAATACGAAAAACAGACGTTACCAGTGAGTGGAAGGCGAGAGACAGGTTCAAGACGGATTGCCGTAGGTACTGGATCCCATCATGAGCATGTAGAGACCGGCGAACGTGGAGAAAGCGTGTACTTTGGATGAGTTCAGTTGGACAGAAATACTGAGGTTGAATACAAAGGGGAAAGATTGGGAGAAACAGGCAAAAAGTACGGAGGGGACAAGAACGAGGAACGAAGAAGAAGGAAACCGAAATGAAGAATATTGCGCAGATTAGAACTCATTCATGGCAATCGCCACCTATACGCGACTACTTGCATATTTCCGGAAGTTCCTGTCTGCCAGGCGGTCGGGCAAGCGCCAGGCTGGTGGGGGCAGGAGCAAATGACATCAGCTTGGATTCCAGCTTCCATGACTCCATGGTCATCAGCCCGTCACAGGCACTGCATCTAAAGTGGAATTGGGTTGGCGTAAAAGTGAATCATCAAATCGAGTTTTCTGTTTGTGATATTTTGCTAGAGGAACCGTGTTGGCAAGCTGGATATTGACAAACTGCCCACTCCAACACCACGATGTCCTCTCTCTTCGCTGTCTCAGATATTACTGTACATTATATATATTGGTGCCCGGGCGCTAAAGAGGGAATATTCCTGCTATTCTCTAGTCCATCATCAGACCCTCCCCAAGTCGAGGCGCAGCGAAAGTTATCCTCAGCAATCCACCCTTCTAAGATATCTCCTTTTCCCCGCGCAAGCCACTGGTGAAAGTACTGATCCCAATTGAACAGAAACCGCCAGCTCTAAAAGTAAGGAAACAGCCTGTTCCCATCATCACGTTCGTCGAATAACTGCCAGAGAATGAGTCCGCAAGCAACAACATCGCAAAACACCGTCTCAGGGATATCCACAGGCAGGTAATCCCCCATCTCAGTGCTAAAAAGCCCCATGCAAGCCAAATTAAGATTGTCAGATGGCCGATATACACGACGCACCTTGCCCATCTCGCTATACTTGGCGATAACGTCAGATACCTTGGTGTTGTAAACGCCAATACGTTTGCGGATGGCCTCCTCATTATCGTCGGACCGGTTTCGCTGGCGGCATCTCTCGACGAGAGCCGCCTGGGGCATTTCGAGGACGATGATTTTGCTGATAGGAGCGATGGCTGCCTCAAAAAAGGCGGCTGATGTGGACGCACGGGGGAATCCTGTTTCAGAGAGAACAAGGGGGTTAGCACGGTCAGAACACAAATTGTCATGCGTATGAGGAGATCAGGCACGTACCGTCGAGAAGATAGGTGCGGATAGGCACTGTTGCGCTTCGTAGTTGTGTGCGAATGTGGTTCTTGATGAGACCGACTGTCATTACCGGATCACCGATTGCGCCTTTTGCAAGATTGGCCTTGAGCACTTCGGCATATGGACTATCAGGACGCTCTGCCTCGTGGCGCAGGATGTCGCCAATGGCAATGTGCATGACACTCCTGTCCAGTTTCGCCCATGAAGCACAGATTGTGGACTTTCCCGAACCTGGTCCGCCGAGAACAGCATAAAACCTGGCTTTCTGAAGTTCCTGGGAGGTTGCTGGAAGACGAGACTTTGCCTCCGCATCGGATGCGATGAGCGTTATCATTTCGTTCATTCCCTCTCGTGCACCTTCCTGATCGAACATCTTCCGCAAAGTTGAGTCTTCGGTGCCCTCGATGAGTCTTAAGCGCGTGAACCTGGGATAGCTTGTGAGTATCCTGTGGCTCTCCTCCCAGGTTGTTGACTGCGGATCAATGAACTTGTCATAGAATAGCTGAAGAAGTGTGGTGCCGGTGGGTAAAACGTCGGTCGTCTTTGGTTCTTCCTTTGCTCGCAGGGGCACCTCGAGTGCGTCTTTGAACGATGTGATTCTGTGCCGCAACTGTTCTGGGGGCGAGACTGAGCTCGACTCTTCCTCCTTCAAGCCTTCAGTCGATTGTAGAATGGCAATGCTTGATGTAGGTTTCCACGCTTCTAGCTCGTAAAAGCTGCCTTTCTCGCACTCGTTATAGTCCTTGTACTCAGTGTACTCGTTGTTCTCAGTGTACTCGTTGTTCTCAGTGTACTCGTTGTTCTCAGTGTACTCGTTGTTCTCAGTGTACTTGTTGTACTTATGGTCATCGTTCTCTCCATCGTGGCCTGGAGACTCCGACGTGATGTGTCGAGGCGTACTTGACTCTGAAGACTGTGGTGAGGTCGGCGACAGGGGGGATAGGGTTGGGGCGACTAAAGACGCAGGCAGGTGGTGATCAGTGGTACTGGAGACTGAAAGCTGAGACAAAAGCTCTAAGGTCTTCTCCAAGGGGAACGAGGTACTGGCCTCTGGTTGAGGGGTACTGGACCCTGAAGACTCGGGGACAAGTGTTGAGGTCGGCGACAAGGGGGACCAGACAGGGGCAACTGGAGACTGAGGCGCGACTGGTGATGTTGGCTGTGAGGGCGTCGACAGTACTCTGTAGTCCGGTTCATCCGTGTCCACAACGGCTACCACGGACTCGTTATCGTCAGGCGTGGTTTCCACGAAACCGAGCCCGTTCCGAAAGTTTTCGCACATTTGGTTGACTATCGGTTCACTTCTCTTAAACATCTGCTCCATCTCGTAATATACGCGATCCATCCTGGCCTCGGCCTCTAGCCGTTCTTCTTCGGTCATTTGCCGTCCGGGAAACTTGCTCCAATCATATTGTCGTTTTAATATGGTGGGGGGTTGGGGTACTTGCATGTTGTCGAGACTGGGGTGGGAGGGTAACTAAATCGCTGGAGGAGGATCGAAATTGGCATTGCCGTTGCTTGTATGATATGGCCAAACACCGATGGGGAGCCTTCAATCTAGAGGGATGGATGGTGCGCTTACGTTGTAGTGGAAGACGCAGGAGGAGAGAGTGTCTGTTGGAATCCCAGTTGGCGGGTAAGATGGCAAAGGTGCGCGAGAATGGATGATGCGTCGGACGCGAAAGATGCCAGAGAAGAGTTGAGAACGTGGAGAAGAAGTGAAGCCACTGCAGTGCAAAGATTGGGTCAGTTGGGAACGTGCGCTCAACGGCAGTGAAGTCCAGAGACCAGTCAATTCTCGGGCGGGCGGGCAGGCAGCCTGGCAGAAAGTTCTGGATCAGATGCCAGGTGGCACCGAGTGACGGAACTCGATAAGGACCTCGATTTGATCGTCACATCGCCCCTGCCCCGACTGGAAGTTTCGGGCCTGAAGATGTGAGCCTTGGCGGGGTGTTTGGTTCCAGGTCGCCTCCTTCTCCGTTCGATCCTTCCTTCAGAGACTGATCAAGGAAGGAGCCCCGATCATGTTGACCACAGAACCGTGGAGGAGGAATCCGGTGGTCCAATCGGTCATTCTGCTCATCCAAACCAGGGCATCTCCATCCTCAAATCACACTGTCTCCTCCAGCTTCCTCCCATAAACCACTTGACCGTGTAATAACTCAAGCTCCTCACATCCCTAATAGTCTTTCTCATCCCATTGACCAAGCCGTTCACCTCCTCCTTACCCCACCCCAACACCTGTCCCATTGAATATACCGCAAATCCATCTAGACTCTGGTTGATGTAATGTCAATTCAGCAGTCTAACCTGTTTCAGCTTCCTATCCTTTGCCCACATGCCGGTAGTCACCGATTGTGTTGAGCCGTAGAGAGTCTCAGTATCCTTGATGGACGCATTGTCGTCGACTTTGAGATCGCCAACCACATCATAGGCCTTGCAGTATTGACATGATTAGACCTCTTGCTCACCCCAAGAGAACCCTTGACTGAAGGGACTTGCCACTTTGATGGGCTCCACGACCGTTGCCGGACCCAACCTAACGCAGTTCTTCCTCCTCCCACTGTTTAAACTCGCAAGAAATATGTTGAAATGGAAGAACCAAATCCGACACCGAACATCCCATGCCACGCTTCTTTGATTCTTCAATGTCCTTCTTAGCGCCGAAGGAGTGCAATGGAGAGTTAACCTGAAGCAATGATTCTTGCCGATGTTATGAGCGTGGGTGGTGAGTGACGGGAAGCACCCCTGATCAAATGAGGTTCACGATTCGACTTAGACCATTGGATTTGCGGACAGCTCAAAGAAAATAGTATCGTTCCGTGGACTATGGCAAACGACCTTGATGTTTCGAGTGGCGGTTTCATGACTGGGGACTGCAGTTGGAATGGTCGTCTTCTAGAAACCACAGAAGTTAATTTCGGAATCATGGATGGTTTCAGACCTCATCGTCTTCATCGTCTTCATCGGTCGAGTTTGGGCTTTAAGTCCCAGTCAGGACTTCAGGTAGAATCAAGCGGGAGTCGTATACCTGAGACGGCGAGAAGCCGTGCTGGTTACCGGAGTGTTTCTCGGGGTGAAGGCCGGTTCGGTTCGGGCCTTGTTCGTAGGGGTGTTTGTTTACTTTTGAGTCTTGTGCGCTAATGAAAGCACAATTATGAAGGGGTTGAGGAACAGAAAGGCATCGATAGAGACCAGGAGACGTGATCCAGAAGTCTATGGCAATCGCAACCCTCCAGTGCTGCAGTTTGTCGGATGCACCTTCGTTGTTTTGCTCACATCCTGCAGAATGCATTGGCCTGACGTATATATCTTAGCTGTGATTGGTCAGATACTCATTTTGTCTAGCGAGTCCCTATGGAGATGAAGGCTTTTGTGCAAATTGTGCGGTGAACGATACCGACGACCTTCAACGGAACACCATCTTCTGCCTCCGGGCTAGGTATATCGTCGGCCTTGATGAAAACATCTTCTCTACTCATTCATGTAGAGCTAGAAGAAGGAAGGCATCAACCTATGACGCACCCTTTGCACCCCCCGCTTGTACGAGTACTGACTCCAGAAGCGGTAGGGTTATACATGTGCGCGCCCTCGTCCACGCCCACGTTCCTCGAATACTTGTACACTCTCTGCCTCACACTCGTATCCGCCTTTCCCCTCGGCGACCAATAATCAGGTCCATATCCGCTCCCCTCCCTCATCCCTCTCCGCCAGAACAATAACTCGTTTTTTCTTTCCCTGATCTCATCGTGTACCTTTTCCGCCTCATTTTTCTCCATTGTGTGGATGTCCTCCCACTCATCCTCAAACGCCCAACGTTTTTCCTTTGCCCAAGCATCCTCCCACCTCTCGATCCTTCTATCCCAAATATCAACAAGACCATACCTCCCCCTAAAAGTCGCATAGGCCAAAACCACGCTCACCGCCGACGTGGCCATGCAGGACAGAGTCATACCTAGAAGCATCATGGCAACTTGTGCTCCCCACAACATGCTCCTGCCAAAATAACTGAACAAATAACGGACGACTCCGACGAAATAGTAAACCCACAACCCTTGGCCTTCAGCTTCAGCTTCAAACCTGAAAAGGACAAATGCTCCCTTTCCGCCAACAGGCCCATACAACAAATAGTCCGCAACGGGACATAAAACCGCCGAGACAACCACCAGGAAAAGCAGCCGCATCGCCTCGCGGCGCTGGGTCACGCGGTAATCATCAGGCGGCGGGATCCGGCCCAAAGTAAGGAGCTTGTTTGTCAAAAAAGACCGGCCGGGGGCGCGGAAGGCGAAGGCGTGGAAGGCGCGGGGATCATGCCATTTGACGTCAAGGTAGTAGGAGGCAAAACATATCACAACAATAAGGGGTAGTGATATCGCTGCCTTTTCCCCAACTCCGGTAACGCGCGGGCTGCTCAGAGAGGCGAAGGATTCATCGGGCTGAGTGAAACCGCAGGTATTGGGAGATGCATCTTCCGTGACGCTTGCGGGGTTGGAAACCACTCTCGGTGGGAGATCACTGTCGTGGGTACTCAGGATTGCCGCGGGTAGGTTGAGGAGGATTGCGGAGAAAAAGTAGAGAAAGGGTTGGACGAGGGCAATCGCGAAGTCAGAGCCGAGACCGAAGTTGTAAGGGGAGGTAGGTTTAGAACCCGGCGGAGGAGCCATGTTTGCGGCCGTTCGGCAGATTGGGAGTCGCGCTGAGGTTGTTGTCTTGGTGGGTCAATTGCAAGCCGAAGAATAACTCCAATATGGGTCACGGAGTCTTCTGCAGGTCTCAAGAAGCGACGAAAATGAGGGAGAAAGGAAATATATGATTTAGGGGAAGCGCTGGGAAAGTCATTGAAGTCGGAAAAAATTGTTGGACGCCGGGTTGCAAACGACGGGCGGGGCAGTGTCGGCTGGGAAAGTCATCGAAGTCGGAAAAAATTGTTGGACGCCGGGTTGCAAACGACGGGCGGGGCATGTCGGCCGGCAAAACGGTCGGCCTCGCGCAGAGAGGCCCGATGTTAGGTCTTGGGCATCAAGAGCTCGGCGGTTAGATGCATTCAAACGACATCAGCGAGGAACAGATCAAGCACTGTAAAACAAAACCGATTCAATTCGTCATCAAAATATGCGTGGGTATATTGCCTGAAGAAAAGAGAGAAAACGCGCCGAAAAGAGCACAAACAGAACCATCCAAACGCGTGTATGCTGAACATGTAAAAGAAAACAAACTCTAACATCGTGATATTCTTTTCCCCAGTCCCCGATTGGTACTTATTAGACTGCACTGTGGTGTTCCTGCATCTCCTGTTGTGTCGCTGTCCCAGCAGTCGACAATCGCGGCTCAGCAGCATTTGCTCGCCATTCGGCCTTTTCTCTTCGTAGATCGCGTCTGACCCAGATGACGGTGATGATGATCCAGATGATGGAGAAGATGAGGGGGCTTGCCCATGCTGTTGATGACGTCCAAGGTTAGTACTCGTTTCTCGATAGGAAAGGTGAACAGGAACGGGGACAAAACATACCAACACCGTAGGCAATCTCCTGCGGTATCGTCCAAATGACAATCATGGTAGCAATCCCATCCGCTAGCGCTCCCACTCCCCAAAACCAATTCTGCCTCGCAATCATCTCCCTAAACCTCTTGCTGACTTCGTACCTGGCGTTGATCGCCCTCCTGTATTCCTTGCCTCCAGCACCATCCACCGCTACAATATCCTCGACAATCGTGAACACCAACGGCGGGATCCTTCCTCCCTTGGGCACTGAACTGAACCTGAAAGGCGCCTTCTTGTGTTTCTTGTTCGCCCACCCACTCCACAACAACTGCAGTCCCATCTGGATAAAGAACAGCGGTACCGGCATGGCCAGCGGCTTAACAATCGGCTCGTGGGGGATCGAGGCGCCAATGAGAATCCCCGTCATGTAAGTGTATCCGAACGAAAGGGTGTGATGGGTAAAGTCGAACCTCCAGCGGTCCTTGACGGGATCGGTTCCCAATGGGCGGTATTCGTCGCGGGGAAGCATGAGTTTCAGGCAGCGAAGGCCGAATTCGATGCCGGTTACGAGGCCGAAGAAGGCGGTGATGATGGCGAAAACGATGCCGTGGCGCAGGCTGGTGCCGTACCAAAGGCCGTAGAAGAGGGCGATGGGTAGTAAGGAAGATTCGATGACCAGTAAGGAGGAGACGATGATGAGCTTCCACTTGTAGTCCAGCATGTTGTACCTCAGGCGTGGAAGGCCCGGGGTGTCGTCTAGCGTTGGCACGCTGTCGGGGGGATGGTTGCCGGTTGTCGAGGGTATGAGCCAGTTTTCGAGAAACTGCCACACAGGATGGGGCGGAGCTGGGTCGTTGACGACTGTAGCAGAGGAGGCGGAGGATTGGGGTTGATTGTGCTGCCCCGGGGGAGCAAGACCGTTCGTGTGGCCATTGTGGTGTCTGTGGCCGTGTCGTGTTGTTTCGAGTGTTTCTCCCTCCAGTCGCCCCGAAGATGGGGAGGCACTGGGCATATGCTCCTTTCTCTCGAGCTCGTAGGACGATCCTTTGTCGGCCATCGGAGGTTCTCGGTGTCGGCCAATCGGTTATGTCGAGACCGTTTTAGTTGTTGGAGGGTTTGTTGTAGATAGGTAGGTGGGTTTGTATGTACAGGTTGGTTGGGTTGGTGATCGCCGTGGATGGGTGAAAAGTCAAAAATGGAAAGAAAAGAGGAAAGAGATCAATCGACGGCGGGGTAATTGAGTAAAGTAGGAAAAGGGGAAACAAAAGAAGAGGGCATCAGCATGATTGCATTCTGTCTGTCTTTGCTGAATGTCCAGAATTGTGGCTTGATAGGTATGTGTAGTGTACTGTGTAGGTTCAATGCTGGTTGGTGCAGTGCCGTCCATGCATCTCCCGTATCCATCCAAGCAATGAATGATAAACAAGAGGGATGCCGGGATGTGGCAGTGACGAAAAGAGAAAGCAAGACGTTGGTTTTCACCCTGCCCATGACGTTGTGCGGCTCGTGATTGGTCACACTTCAAACAAGACACGGCCTGGGCTTGCGTCAGATGCCATGATGTCATCGGTCGTTGACTTTGACATTCCAGAACGCCTGTGCAGTTCCACCGCTTCAGCCTCTTAGGGCGCTAAAAGACCCCCTGTGGCCCCAAAACGACTCCGCTCCAGCCCGGTCCCTTTATGCAGCTATCACCCCACCATCACCGGAAGGTGGCGAGCCTTAACAGGGGATGCTCAACCTGCAACAGCTGTTAACAAAACAGCACAGAAACACTCCGTGATTCTGTTAGTGACGTCCGAGATGAGCATCACGATCGGTAGCGTAGTGACTCGAAGCGGTCCGCGACATCTCAACGACTCATCAAGGACACTCCTCCATTTCAAGACATTGTGCATTCCGAAAACAATGCGAACTGTATGGGACAACTTCTCCCTCGCAAGGAAATACCAATGGCCAAAGGTTGAACCCTCGGGCATATAGAGTTCTTTGACGACGGAATTGAGATCATCACCTTGTTTGCTCGGGGATATCTTCAACCTCACGTTGCACGCCAGCTGATGATCACCGGCCTTGGCTCGAAATAATCCTGGGCACACGCCATTTATCGACGCTGATCCGTCGAAGCATTCAAAGGTCTCAACTTCAGCCTCTGTCGTCGACCACATCGCCCTTGTGGTGGCCTGAATGATTGCGAACCCTCACCCGCCATGATGCCGTCGCTCCTGCCCTCGCGGGTGGGTGCAACTTCACGGAGTACTGCAATTTCACAGAAGCAGAAGGCACGGCTTCCAACTTTAACTGCGTCCTGCAAAGGGATAAATTTTCGGTTCCGAGGAAATCTGTCACTTGGTCATAGTCCACTTGCTCCGCCGGCTCTCGTCTCTCCGTCCAGTCTTCTTCTACACTTCAGTTGCTCACCGATCTCGTCAAATACAATTGGGACCTTTCTCTAATTCAATCCCTTTTATTACAATACCTTTGTTGAAACAGCTACTTCGCGTCCCTGTCTTCAAGATTTGAGCTGGCCTTTGTGGAACCGTCCGCTCGCCCATCCCGCTCGTCCATCCCGCTCGTCCATCCCGCTCGTCCAGCCTTCACTCCGTGATGTAACAACCGTGGTCAAAGCACCATGAGAAAACCCATGTGAGTTGGCTCTTCGTTCCGTCCGTAAACTAAACGGAGACCACAAATTTGACATGAAGAGCTCACAGTCACGATGTCACGCAAGATGAAACGCGCGTAAGCGATACAGGATGACGAGAACCATGCAAGGCAAACATCGCGATAAACTCGCAAACTGTCATACCAGTCATAGGCTTGAATCCAATGGACAGCGAAATGCAGAGCGGTAGTAGCCTTGCTAACAGAAAGTACCCGTCACCGTGTATTCCACGTAGGGCTGGGTACTTTTTTTCCTTCCGCGGAAAGGTGACTTCGCTGGAAATGGCCTGGTAAGACTCAGACATGAATGTTTCCGTTGCGGATGATGATCTCGCGGTCTCTGGGTATAAAGGCAAGCGCTCTCCCGTTTTGCAGTATCGTTCCTCATCATTCTCATGTTACAGACACGACAGTGAAGAGTTCTTACAACGAACCGGTGAGTGATCACATTATCAGTTTGAACTACTTCGTACTAACATACATCCAGTCCCAGAGTGCAGGCACATCAGCCAGCATGCATCTATTCATCCTCCAGTTCTTCAACTTCCTAATCCTACTTTTCCTTGTGAAAGCCCCCGCCCTCTCAGCCTTCGCTACGCCGATAATTCCCCCGGAAACTCCGCAAACACTCAACAATAAGGTGTCAACGCATAACTACACCCAGCGTATCACCACTGTCCCCGTCCCAACGGCCAAAGTCTGGTGTCCCATGACATATGACTGGTCGAGAGATTGGACCGTGAACGTGACACAACGGGCTTACGACCTCCTTACCGCTTCGTCAATGCTGGGGATTCATTGTCAATACGGTAGTCTTACAGCTATTCTCGGGATGAACGCGTTCAATGATAGCAATCCACCCACAGGTTCGAAACTTGCCCCTGTGCATGTCAAGAGGAACCACCGAAATCCCGAGCACGTAACCCTCGCACCGCGCTCCGGGATGTCCTGGACTTTTGGTAGCGTCAGAGCCTACGTGTGCAATTACGGCGCCGGCTGGCCGTGGAAAACATGCGATATTACGGAGCTGATGGCTGCCAAAGAGATAATAGAGGTTGCGTGCGGTAGTAAACTCAACGCTAATGGAGAGACTTGGCCCGAACCTGAGGGCGGACCGGGATTGGAGAGGCAGACCGCTGTTGGTGGGAAGTGGAGGAGCTGGGATGAAGAGAAAGAGTATGGGTTCATGGACGCTGATGATGATAGCGAGTGGTGTGAGGGCATTGGAGATCGTATTGCTCTCCCTGTTGATGACTAGACTCCGTGATGGCATGTCATCAACAGGTGCAATCAGACGGACGGTGAAAAGGTGAAAGAAACAAGGTAAACTGGTGGAAGAAAAAAGGAAAAATGAAAAGGATGGCTGGCTGGCCAGAAAGGTTACCTATGGGAACCACCCCGTCAAGTATCAATCACCCAGATGTTCACAGCTGTTCACGAGAGTGCCGAGGATGGGACGGGGGATGTCTTCCGGTGCCGGTGCTGGTGCCATGAGTAGGAGGGGCATACACGGCAGGCACGGCACGGCTCCGAGTGGGGGTGGTGGGAGCCTTCTCACATTGCTCTGGACCGGAAGTGATCCGACGTCAAGGAACACTCTCGTCCATGGTTGTTCAGGTTAGAGGCTCTGCAGTCACATTCCGTTTCTTTCTTGTCCGTCTTTATCCAGGTCGGGACGAATCATAGTACCGGACAGCCCGTTTTTGTCCACTCATTCCCGAGACTTCCATATCCTTTGTTCTTTGTTCCATTTGTCTCGCCCAGTACCACTGTTCGTCGAAACAAGGCTATTGTGTCGAGAGTACGAGCCCCGTCTGTAAAAAGATATCACCAACACAAGGGTATTGTACAGAAGCAACAACTCAACTCTTGTAATTGTCCTGGGGGGTTCCTTGCATCGAGAAAAGATATATGAATGCTGAAGACAGACCCGGTCAAACATGAATTCTTCTCTCTCTATTGCATCCGCATCAGACTCACGCCCACAACCTGACACAAACCAAGACAGCAACCAGCACTTACATACAATAAACAGATACTCAGTGCTCCAGCCACGAGTATCACCCCACAAACCACCAACAAGCAGCCATGTGTTTCCAAATCCCCTTCACCCCCGCCGTCTGCCGCACCTGCAGCTCCGCCAAGCCCATCCCAGACGAACAAACTCTTTGCGCCACTGCCCAAGAGCTCGGCATTGAGTTTGAGGATGATTATGTTAATAAGTGCCCGAATGGGGTGAGAACTATCACTGTTCAGCAGAAGGCGGATAAGGAGTTGGAGAGGGGGGTTGTTTGTTTAGTTTGTGGTAAGCACTAAACATCCTATGGCTCTCTTTTGGTCCTGAAGGGCACACCAGATGATAAGAGTTTCACTTTGATGGGTGATACTGTTTTCAAGGATAACGCGCGCTAACGAAGGGGGCGGAGTGTAGTTTTTATTGACTTGATTTGATAAGGTAGCAATTACTCATAGTTTTGAATACAGATATCTTTTTGGAACCTAACTGGGTTCTCTTGTACGTGATATTCTTGTTTTCATCGTGTTCACAGCTGTCAAAGCCCGAATGAAGTACCTCCAAGAGGGAGTGATGTCGCTGAGGGTCATGACGTGGAGTGTCACGAGAGAGCATTGGCTGGCTGGCCCGCTAATCCTCCTTAATGGTTGGGACTGTCCATTGACCCTCCTCGCCGGCTCCCCCAGCAGGACAATATCAAATGGTACTTCCACTCACCTCCTGTCCAACTCAGCCACCAATCATGTTGTGGTACGGAGCGCTATTCACTCGTTAAACTCTCTTGGGGGTTTTTTTTTTCCCCAGTACCAAGGTTAGGTAGTAGGGTCCAACATAATGCACTAGCAAGATCACTGGCCTTCTGAAAAAAATACCTGGGGGTACAGGCCTACCATTTCGGTCGTCACTCCCGCATTGTATCGCACCTTCCTGGTGGGCTTCACTTGGACATCAGTCTTCATTCCTTCCGTTTGAGGTTCGACACTCGCATTTCTCCTCGCCTCTTCCTGTCTTTCTCCTTCTCAGCTTCAACCCTTATCTCCTTTTCAATCTCACCCAACCAGAAAAGGCCCCTTCTCCTTCATCGCTCGAGATCGCCTGTCGTCAAATTTGGCCTGTCTACTTGACGCGTCAACAAGCTGACCCAGCTTGATTTGAACAATCTAATCCAAGTCTCTGAGTTTAGGATTCTGTTTCTTTCAGCTACAACGAACCCTTATCTCGTTTTCACCTAGTCATAATATTACCTCTCCTTCATCACGATGTGCCTGCCTCACGTCTAACCTCCTCATCCTTCATCAGTCTCCCTCGCTTTGATATAACTTCATCTGTCGCCTGCAGTCATCCAACATCACGTCGCGTCAGACTTGAAAACGTTTTCCCAGGTTTATTCAAGATCATTTCACTGTTCGATCTCGCAAGCTCAGGTCGTTCAAACATTCTCCCATTTCAAGATGTCTCAAGGGACTCAAACGTGCCCGCGGCACTGAGGCTCTCGCTACCCTCGCCTGTTGTTGTTGTTGTTGTTGTTGTTGTTGAGTTAGAGATGAGTATCATGGAAGATAATGATATGACCCAGATAAAAACATAAAAATAAAAATAAAAACATGAACAAAGAACAACATGAAAAAAGAAAAGAAAAATCTGGAAAAAAGAATTGTCGGAAGAAACATCTTCTGATGGTACAGCACACAACTTGGACAGGAAAAAAAAAGAACATTGGTGTGTGGTGGTGGCTACCTCTAGGTCATGGACCTGCCGTTGGCACGCTGCTGCTTGCGCAGGCAATTCTGGTGAGCTTTCTTTCCATCCTTCCAGTAGTATTGGAAACAGTGTTGGGCCGCGTTTACGCTATGGGCAACACATGATTCACATTGGCAGTAGGCCTCGGTTTGCCCTCGGATTAATGGTTTTGGTGGACAATTAGGGCACTGCTCTTAATTTTGTATGCTAGACTCACCGGTGCGGCACGTCTCATGCCCTACGGGAGGCGGAAGTAGACGTTAAAAATAACAACAACAACAACAACAACAAAAAAAAGTAGTACTGGAAAGGTGTAATTTTCAGTTGTGGCGGCACTAACAGCGTGAGCCCTAGGGTGTTAGTGCTAATTACTCTTTTACGTGATCTTTTGGTGCAGGAAAGTTGGTGCGGTAACAGTCTCAGCTATGTAGGTGGTGCGTGCGGAGTTCTATGTCTATGGGGTTCCTCCACGAAAGAGCACTAACACCACCTAGACCCTAGTTCTACACGCACATTTGCAGGACCAAGCTGCGATCAGTATAGAAAGGACTTGAGGAACAGGGAGGGAGACCTTGAAGATCCATGCATTCTTCTGTATTGAAGAATAGTTACGCGGTTTCAACCGGTTCTCCTTATCCAAAAGTGCTGACTGATGTGAGAAGGGAGTCTTCCCGGCCGCAGCGAAAACACCAAGTGCACGTGCCACGGCAACGTTGAATGGCGTTCCATCCCGCTAGAAGACAACGCAGACCACAAGCAGCACCACGTCTCAAAATAGTGATTCCTCAATATAGAAAATCGCATAAGCGAGCCCAAGTTACATTACTGCCTGGTTGAAGTTATGTTTGAAGAGCACGGAGTTTGGCACCTCAGTGAGATGGGTGCGCATGGCCGGCCTGCATTTGAGAACGGCGGCTCTTAATACGACAGAACAGCACCCTACCATTCTCAGTTCCACAATCAACGTTCGTGAAGATCGGCCATTCCTTCTCTCATATATCCCTTCGTTTTCTTGTGAGGTTCTTCAATGATTTAAGTGCAAGTCAACTATGGGGGGTCCCATGGATTTAACTAAGAGACGTAGTGTTCGTGTGGCGCGATGTGGTGTGCACAATTTTTGGCATTTGGACCTTTGAAAACGGGAAGAATCAGATCTCAGTTACCCGCTTACCTATCAAATGAGGAGATAAAGGAAAATTGACAGTAGAGTCAATATCAATACGCTTGAAACTGTCATCAAGACCATTCGTTTTATCATCTAAGCGAAGTTGGTGGGTTAACGTCTTCCTGTTACGCGATGAAATGAACGTAACCAATAGTAGCAGGACTGACGTTAAGATGTTAATACTACAGGGAGTCAGCTGAAACCTCACACAATGATCACAAGTAACTGTGCAAGATATAGTAGGTAGGCGATTGATTCTCTAGATCGAACTGACGCCGGAGGCGATAGCGAGGTGTGGTCTTCTTATACAGTTGTGGCATGAGGCTTGTCCGTGAGGGCCAAGCCTTGCCCCTGTCACGGCTGCCTTGGTGAGGCGGATCTACCATGATCTATGTCGAACCATAGCACTTCCATTTCGACGGTCCAAATGTAGAAAGTTGCAAAGAGTTCTACTAGTACACCTTGACTCGCCCATGACAAATTTGATGACCCCAAGTCCACAACTCAAGATACCAATTAGGGCCGGAGCACCACGAAAACCGGCAACTTTATCGAATTTGATACCAAGTAAGCTTAAGCTTATTGTCAATCTAAGGAGTCCTGGTGTTTTTGAGGTAATCAATTTAGTCAGTTGTTCTTAGTCTCCCGTATCACTATGGTAAGGAGTTCGTCCCGAGTGTCATTAATTTTATCCTGGGCGAGCTTGACACTACACGACAGACCACCTTTTGCCAAGACTGCACAGGCGAATGAGGCCGGGGATGGAAGACCCGTTTTGTAATTTCAGGAACAATATAAGGGTTAGGGTTAGTCTTGAAAGGGAGAGAGGAAGACACGGTCTGAGCTTCTGAAATGATCCCCTCTGCTCTTCCACGATTTCACCCCACTCTTCGTGACATTCACTTCAACATCACCAAGTAATCACTTGCTTGGAAATCGCGCCTATCATTTGCGACACTCAACTTGAAATTGTCTACCTTTACTTTCAGCATCTTACTGGACGCGTCAACCTCCTCCTCATTATTTCTCCTCACTTTAATTTAATCAACCCAAAAACCTTCTTTTCGTAACGGAAAACCCGCCAGCGCGACAGGAAGCTTACCCAGCTTGTTTGGAATATATAAACATACAACTCATCAACCATCTTCGCCAAACTCACTCCCTCATCAAATCTCTCTCCGCCTCTGGCACTCAACGAAAATGCCGGCCATTTCGTTGCACACTGTCCCGATGGACATTCAGCTCAACATTCTGGGATACGTCGATCCCATCTCCCTAATCAACCTGGCCCAAACCTGCCAGACTCTCCGGACCATCATCCACCCAACACGCGTCAACCTCCTCCAGCGCCTCCTCGCTCTTGAGCTGCTTCCCGAATATGGCGGTATCGTGCCGCTCATCAGAGGCAGGGATAACCAGATCATCCCCCCCGTCGGCTCCAGTGACTGGGAGTCCAACAGGTATGCCTGCGGAGGCTGCCTCAAACTCCTGCCGCACCAAAGGTTCGACAACCACAACATCCTGCGGCTCAACCTCCGCAAGCCCCCTCCCGGCAGCAGAGAGGCTACCCGCCTAGCTGAATGGTGGTTTCTCAACGGGTGGGAAGACGATGTGAGGGGGAGGATCATCCAACACCGGGTATATGCCCGTGTTTCAGAAGAGGTCAGGTCACTTGCCGACGTCCGAAGGCAACACTACGAGGCCACCCACCCAGACGACGAAATGCCTCACAACGGCGTCAATCAGTTCCTTTGGGCCGCGGACGAGCAGGCCGAGGCCATAGCAGCCAACGACCGGACTGCTTACGACGCCGAGCTCCTCCTTTGCGGTCTTCGCCGGCACAACCGTCGGTGCAACGAATGCCGCTTTCTTCGGGGCGACTGGGGCCATCTTAGCCCAGCGAACAACCCCGGCAACGCCCTCCCTCCCTTGCCAGTGGCTACAGGGCGCAAGCTGCCCTTCTACAATCTCTTCGACAGGTGCTTCCCAACCTTCTTCAACCCTGTCCCCCTCTCCGAAACGGGGCGCCGCTTCACCGCGTTCGGTAACCAGCGAAACAAGGTGTACGTATGGATGATGTGCACCGTTCGCTGCAGAGGTTGCTCAAAGTGGCAAGATGCGTCACAGTTTCGCCTGCCCATCGCGGCGTACAAGACTGAGGATATGCTGGTGAGGGAGCTAGGGCAGTATTCGGTGTGGGATGCCGAGTTGGGAGATCTGAGGGAGCCCAAGTGCAATCGGTGCTTCTTGAGGGACCATGGCATGGCGGCATTCAGACGCCATATCGTACGCTTCGCGAGGTCGCTGCTGCTGGATGCCCTCAACAGGGTCAAGTACCAAGTCCTGTTCGGGTGGGGCAAGCTTCTCGAAGACTTCCGCCCTGGAGGAGACTTTGCAAGCTGGGCCGAGTACGGCGCGCCGATTGTCTCCAGCTTCCCAATCCAAGAAGACGACCTCTTGACAGTACCCTACCTCACCACCTGGCAGATCGATGATCTCTACCACCGCTTCGCCCGCTTCAAGATCTTCGTCAAGCACATGTACCAGGGCTTGCGACCAATGCGGCAGTCTATCTTGGATAGTCGCTCCAACGAAGAGGTCATGACCAACGTGATGACCTCGTGGTTCCGTATTTGGTACGGTGACTATTACCTGTACGAAGGGATGTACCGGAGGTTGAAGAACCTGTTGGAATGGATTGAGCAGCATGAGCAGGACGTGGTGCAGTATGCGTTGGGGGTTGACCCGTTGAGACTGGAGAGGTATGATTGGGACGCGGAGGCGGAGGAGGGCGAGATCATTTCTTGAAGTGATGGTGCCTAGTGGTACGACCAGCCGGTGAAGGGATTTTATCGTTTCGCCCATGGAGACGGTTCCCGGTGTCATCTTTTTCGCTAGCTTTTACCGACTTGCTAGCTGTTTTCTTTGTTCCCTATTCTCTCTTCTGTCGGTCTCGGTTCTCTTCGTTTCTGGTATGACGACAGTTAGTACCTGTTATCTCGTCGATCTTTGGGATTCCCAGGCTCAGCACCCTCTGCTTGCAAGGCAAGCCGTTAGCATGGAGCGCGGTGGTAGAGGTTTCTACGTATCTCTGACGGCGCCAACCTCTGTTGTCGGAGTACTCATCAACTGCTCAAATACCGTTTCATTACAGGCTTCTCTTCATCTCCTAATTGTCTCACTGTCTTCCCGTGAATCCCTTCCAACTACCCTATCCTATCAAACCGTCCAAAATCACCACTTCTTATCCGTCTTGATCTTAACCGGCAAATGCAACAACCTCAACCCCTTCTCATTCTCCCCCGGCAACTTCCCCGCCCTGATATTAACCTGCAAACTCTGATGCAACAGCCTCGGCGCCGCCAAGCTGCGATCCCTCTCCTGCCTAGCCTTCACAAACTCCTCCTCCGTAATCCCATCCCGCAAATGCTTATTCCTCTCCCTATGCTCCCTGACAGTCAGGCACGGCACTGGCTCCTTCCTGTCTTCAGGCGGATAATCATGGCCCGTCCAGATCTTGGCTTCCTCCGGTAAACTCTGCAGCAGTTTTCGACCGGAGTGGTAAAGGTCGTGAGCACTCCCGCCGGGGAAATCACAACGCGCGGTGCCGATGTCTGCGTTGAAGAGCGAGTCGCCACAGAAAACGTTGTTGCCGATGCGGTAGCCTAGGTGATCGGGTGTGTGCCCGGGGAGATGGATGGCTTGGGCTGAGAGGGTGCCGATGTGGAAGATCTCGTCGTCGTCGAACAAGTGGCCGAAGACGGACTTGACCTCCTCCTCTGGGACGCCGTACCGCTTGCTGAACAGGTTCTGCACCGTCCAATCCTTTTGCCAATACCGAATGGGGGTTTGTGTTCCTCCCCTTGGATCTCGGTTAACCGTTTTTGGAGGTAGGAAGAAGCGGATAGGTGGTCGGCGTGGGCGTGGGTTTCCAAGATCCAGGCGATTTTGTAGCCTTTTGAGCGTATGACGGAGAGTAAAGAGTCGGCGGAGGTGGTAGAGATGGAGTTATCCAGGGGTGAATAGTCGAGGACGGGGTCGATTATGGCTGCAAAGGAGGTGAGGGGGTCGGCGACGAGGTATTGGAATGTGCAGGTTACGGGCTCGAAGATGGGGGTTATTGTTGGTTCTGGTGGTGCGGTGCTGTAAAGGCGGAAGGAAGATGATGGTTGGAAGGGGTTTATGCGATTGAGAAGTGCCCCTTTTGCTTGTTGTGGTGGTGATGAGCGAGATCGATGAGATTGGTGGATTGATCTCCTTTGCAACGTTGATGTTGAAGATGTTGAGCTGAGAGATCTTGTGGCGATTTTATGTTGTGATGCACTCCTCGGGAGCGATGTTGTGAGATGTCGGATGTGATAAAGACACGGAGTGCAAGTGTTGCTGGTCAAGAGACCCGCGGTCGTTTGACAGACCTCCGCGAAATATGGTTGTAAAGCCGTCATTATGAAAGTTGTGATGTGATAGTTGGAAGTGTAAAAATTGATGTTGGTACAGTAAAGGATCAAAAACAGTTGCATGACGTGAGCTTAAACACCACGGATCTTACGGACAGATATATCACAACACTGACACACAATCACGACCGAGTCCCGGGGCCGGGCCGGGTCCATGTGTCGACGCTCGGGGATGAACGCCACCGAGTCAATCAATCGCCGACATGTTCGGTTCAGGATCAAGGCAATGACACATGTGACATGGAATGGCCTCAAACCCGCTCAATCAGCTGCACAGACGTACGACCGAACCACGAGCTTTTCCCGACTCCGTTCCGGAAAGGAACGGGACGATATTCAGGATGAGCATGTTTCCCATCATCTATGGCCGTCCAAGGTTCGAATGCAAGATGGGATGAGGTCAAGGAACAAAAGAAAACCCCCTGAACGGAAGTGGCATGATGTTTCTAGAGGGTGGTCCGTGCTCGCACGCTCCAACCGCCGTCGACCAGGGCTCCCAGCAAATTTTGCGTGCCGCGCCGACAACCGGCCCCGGATCCCGTCAAAGCGGACCCCACTCCGCGGCTATCGGGCATGGGGGACCGGGATGTTGACTCGACTCAGGGAAACATATGAGAGGTCGACGATGAGGTGATCGGTTCAGCTCAGATTGAGACTTGTTACAAAACTATCGTCTTACGCACTCGTTTGGAGATTTTCATCTTATCTTGTTCAGTCCTTTTTTTCGAGAGTTCATTAATTCATTGAAGGCAGTAGTCTCACGACGCTCGTTTTCACCTTGCAAGTCGCAACAACAACAACCAGACAACAACATAACATCAGCTCATCTCCGATAGCGGATTTAGCTTCATCAAGATGAGCAGCTCACTCATCACCAAGTCGGCCCTCACGGCAGCCACCCGCGCTGCTCCCCGTACTGCGGCCGCCGCTCTCGCCATCCCTCTTCTCCGTCGCGGCTTCGCCTCCGCCTCTGCTGTCCCCGTCACCGGCACCTCCCGCTCGCACCGCATCGTGGTAGTAGGCGGCGGCGCAGCCGGCCTCTCCATCTCCCACCAGCTCCTTCGCACCGGCAAGTTCTCTCCCGAAGAAATCGCCGTCATCGACCCTGCTCAGTACCACCACTACCAGCCCGGCTGGACGCTCGTCGGCGGCGGTCTCAAAGACCCTTTATCTTTGCGCCGCGACGAGGCTTCCCTTATCAACCCCAAGCTCAAGTTCTACAACCAGGCTGTTTCCCAGCTTTCCCCCGAGACCGACTCCGTTACTCTTGCCAATGGTGACAAGATCGGCTACGAGCACCTGATCGTCGTTCCAGGAATCGAAATTACTTACGACAAAATCAAGGGATTGCCCGAAGCGCTCGCTGACCCTTCCGCTCCTGTCTCAACTATCTACGGCGCGCACACTGCCAGCAAGGTCTTTCCCACTATCGAGAAGCTCAAGCGCGGCCAGGCAATCTTCACCCAGCCCGCTGGCGTAGTCAAGTGCGCCGGTGCGCCCCAAAAAGTGATGTGGATGGCACTGGACCACTGGAAGAAAGCCGGTCTTTACAACCCCTCCAACCCTTCCTCCGGCGCGATCCAAATTGCTTTCGCGACTGCCTTGCCGGTCATGTTCGGCGTGCCCAAGTACGCTGCGCGCCTAGAGGAGTTGCGCAAGCAGCGCGGCGTGGAGGGACTGTTCGGGCACGACCTGGTGGAAGTAAACGGTACCAAGGCAATCTTTGCGAAGGGTGACGAGAAGGTCACGCGCGACTTCGACCTCTTGCACGTGGTCCCCAAGATGGGCCCCTACGGCTTCGTCAAGAACAGCGCCGTCGCTGACTCTGCGGGCTTCGTGGACGTAAACCAGGCTACCACCCAATCGAACAAGTTCAAGAACGTCTGGTCGGCCGGCGACGCCTCAAGCTTGCCTACCTCCAAGACCGCAGCGGCTGTTACTGCGCAAGCGCCCGTTCTTGTGGAGAATTTGTTGAGGAGTCTGGAGGGCAAGAAGCCTGATGCGGAATATGATGGGTATACCTCGTGTCCGCTGGTGACGGAGTATGGCAAGGTCATGTTGGCCGAGTTCAAGTATGCGGGCGTGCCCAAGGAGACGTTTGGTGGACTTCCCGTCGTTGGGGGTGTGTTGGATCAGGGAACGCCTAGGAGGATGTTTTATTATTTGAAGAAGGACTTCTTCCCGTGGGTTTATTATAATGCTATGGTTAAGGGCACTTGGGCGGGGCCCAAGGGGTGGAAGTTTTAGATGGCTGAGGACGGGGATGGGAAATACTGGAGTTGGGATAGACGGATGGATTGGTTGGATGGATTGGACGGGTTCGGAAAAGGAATTCTGGCGATTAAAGGGATCGATAAAGTACAGTAATGATACCTCTTGTTTTTTTGTTGTTTAGCTTGCGTGGCGACGCGGTTACATGCAAGGCCGTGGTGAGGTTTCTCGTGTGTTCTGAGAACCTAACTGCGCACTAACAATTTCACTAATACCGTCCGGTACATGAATGTTAGTATCGCGATAGTCGTAAATACGCTAACCTCCGTTTCGCTCGTCGGCCACCACTCGACGCCCTTTTATCGACGAAACATCGTATCGACAGGGGTGGGCCAGGACGGAGATGAATTGACTCACTTGTATATAAGAACAGCGTCACGTCTCTACTGACCACGGCACGGCATCTCCAAACAATAAAACCTACCTGTTCGAATATCGTCACAGCAACAGCATCACTCAAAAGCCCAAATCACCCAAAACAAAATGGCCTCCCCAACCATCCCTACAGCAACAACCATCACCGACGAGAAGGTCGCCGTCCTCAACACCAACGCCATCAGCAGTACCTCCCAACTCCCCAGTCCTCCTCCCCGGGGCCAGGGCCGCATCAACGCCGACATAACCATCGCTCCCGCCCAGCTGGCCGACGACGAGATCTTCGTCAACAGCTTAACCAACCTCATCAACGAGATCTACACCGACGCCGAGCGCGGTTTCTGGTCCATCGACCCTTTCACCCGCACCAACCCCGACGAGGTCCGCTCCTTCATCACCAGCGGCACCTTAGCCGTCGCATGGACACCTGGCACCTCGCGGTATTACATTGAGTATTTGTTGGGTTGCGGAAGGGTGAAACTACTCAGTCCGGAACCAGATACCCGGGCTACTGCCCATTCCAACCCTGATCCTGATACCCAAATCGGGCAGTTTGGGTGTTTAATCTGTCGTCCTGAGTATCGGGGCTCTGGTGTAGGTAGGGATCTGTTGAAGTTTGCGGAGAGTTGGGCGAAGGAAAAGGGGGCGAAGAAGATGCAGGTTGAGCTGGTGGTTGGTGATGGGTGGGATCATGAGGAAAAGGTCAAGTTGGCGGGGTGGTATGAGAGGGCTGGGTACAGGAATGTGAAGGAGGTTGATTTGGAGCAGGGGATTCCCGAGTTGGGGCCGTTGTTGGCGAAGAAGGCCAAGTATAGGGTTTATCACAAGGAGCTGTGATTTGGGATCTGAAAGACAAGAGTGATGATGGAAGGAGTGAGAGAGGTTTCGAAGATGGATGAACAGCGATAAGATAACAAGCATCAATAAACGGTCAATCTTCCCGGCAGGCAATGTAATCAGGAGTTCATTATCGATAAGCAGTCAAGCTGTACTCCCGGCAGGCAAAGCGGTAAGCAGTCCTAGATGACCGCATCGTGACGTCACAGATTCGTCCATGATTCTCAGGTACAATGCTCCTTCCCTCCGGCTCGTTTCTTCTTCCTGGCTGTCATCCACATTTTAGGATCTTTCTCTCCATTCTCATCCCTCCCTACCCACAGCCCCAGGTATCACAGAATCATCTCTGAAATCCAGGGGATCAAAATCGACCATCACCCCCTTTTCACTACTACAACCACACCTAACCACCATAATAATAACACCCACGACAACCCCAAAGATGTCCTCCTCCGACAAAAAACCCGACAAGCACACCACCTCGACTCAATACAGCAACCTCCGAGAAAACATCCCCACCCCCTCCCTCGCTTGCCACGACCCTTCCAACCCCGGCATCCCGGGCTCCCCCAAAAACCGCCCTCTCCTCCACCCTCGAAACCGGCGCCTCCCTCTCCCAAGACTTCGCCCCCGTCAAGTCCATCTGCGCGCACCTCAACGCCTTCCACGTGTACGCCTCGGACCCGTCCCGCATCGTCGAAACCAACCACTACTGCGCGCACCTAACGGAAGACGTACGCCAATGTATTCTCTACGACAGCCCCAACCCGGGGGCCCGCATCTTGGGTATAGAATACATGATTACACCCAAGTTATACGAAACCCTACCGCAGGAGGAGAGAAGGTACTGGCATACGCATGTATTCGAGGTGAAGAGCGGGATGTTGATCATGCCGAAGCCGACGGGGGTGATGCCGCAGGCGGTGTGGGAGAAGGCGGAACGGACGGAGATGGAGCAGGTTGTTACGCTTTATGGGAAAATCTATCATTTGTGGCAGGTGGATAGGGGGGATAAGTTGCCGATGGGGGAGCCGCAGCTTATGACCAGTTTTACGGAGGAGGGCCAGTTTAAGGATATGGAGAAGGTGTTGGATGAAAGGGATAAGAGGTTTCCGGGGGCGGATTGGAGGGCTAAGAGGGAGAGTAGGAAGGATATTGAGGTGCCCGAGATGCATCCTGGTAAGTTTTCAGAGTTTTCCTTTTCTGGTGTTGGTGGTGGTGATATAGATGTGTTGTGGCCCATTTTCAAATCTCTCGGATGTACGCTAACTTTTGGCGGCGACAACGATAGATGCGGATTGGACTTGGAAGAAAGACAAGCAACAGCAACAATGAACAACAAGCAAACCGTACCTAGATTGTAATACATAATCTACCTTTCGATTCTTACAAGCAACAAATGTCCCGCGACGCCGTAATTACTTCAAATATACAAGAGAACAAAGAAAGATACCGAACCCCTTACAAAGCTGTCATCGCCTTGCCCATCTCGTCCACGATCAACCGAGCCCTCCGGCCCAAGCTTAATCCTCGATCCAAACACGCCCATCGTAACCGAGTCGCCTTCAATGGCAACTTCAACATCGATTGCGTCCTGTATCATATCATTAGCATTTGTCGTCTTCCCAAGTATATCCAAGATAGTCAAACTTACCGGATATGCACCCCTAACAGCATTGTTCTCGAGCTCCTTGGGCACCACAAATTTCTGCTCCTCCTCGACCTCTCCTATGGTCTTCACTTCCTCCTCGCTCAGAAGCTCCATCTTCGCCGCATTCTCTTGCCCGTCATTGCCTGCCTCATCACCATTGGAATCGGAAGAAGACAAAGGCACACTCAAAAAGTTCACAAACCCATCCACCACCACACCCGTCCACTCCTTGATCTCCCAAAGTCCCACACCAACATTCTCCTCATCCGAAATCTTGTACAGATCCTCCTGGATATGCTTGGCCATGTCCAGTAAACTCTCTCGGATACGCACCCTGAGAGGAACCAGACATAAAGTCGGGTACGGAATCTCAGGTAGCTCGGACTCGGAAGATCGGTTGGCCAGGTAGACGCCTATGACTACGTCCTTTGACTTCCAATTTGCCCCGGCGGGGGCATTCTTGGAGACGAGTTGGGCGTAGGCAGCGAAGAAGAGGGATTGGATTGAGATACCAGCTGCTGCGCAGAGCTTTTTGATGCGAGTCATGTCTGAATGTGCGATGGCGGAGCGGTCGACGAACGAGACGCGGTTCGAGGGTCGGCGGTGCTCTTGAGCTGGAGCTAGGGCTGGAGATGATGGCCAGATGGTTCCTGACAGCGACAAGAGACGAGAAAGACTGTCTACCAATGGTTGCAAGAAGGCTGGTAGCCAGGTGGACTGCTCTACGTTTTCCGGGGCTGATGCTGCTTTGTATGCGGATGTCTCTGATTCTGCCGCATCTGACGCCACAAGGTCCCGGCTGGGGTTGATGTATGTCGACTCCGCCCCAGCGAGATATTCAGCCCAGAACTTCTTCGCCTTCGCCTTTGCGCTCTGTTGTGTTCGCTGTCTCGTATACCCCTTCCAGACCTCAAGTGTCTTGGAGGCATCCGACTCCCCTATAATGATTGTGCCGGCGCTGGAGCACAAGGTAGCAAACCGCTTAACCATCATTGGCAAGCTCAACGCATCGTACAATGCATGATGAATCTTGAAGCTCAGTATCCAGTGTCCGTTGTCACCTTGTTGACCGGCCATGGAGTTAAACGGCTGGCTCAATCCACTTCCGCTTTGCTTGCTGGGCAGGCTTGACCACTGTTTGGGATCACTGTCCTCGACCGCTCCCAAGTCCAAGGGAGCAATGGCATCAGGTCTGATAATGACCTGCACCACAGGAGTCTCAGGCTGATCGTTTGCCCAGAAGATGGTGCGCAGGATTGGGAACTCAATAACCAGGGACTTCCAAGCTTCCGAGAGGGCGGACTTGCTGACGTTGCCGGCGAGACGATATGTGAATGTCGCGTGGAAGACGTCGCCTCCAGTGTTCTGCCATACGGAAAGCATGTGGACTTGCATGGCTGTGGCGGGGAGGATGGCCTCGATATTGTCGGTTATCGGCTCAGCCGAAGAGGGAATGATGCCGGATTGGGAGAGTAGCGCGGTGATGTGCTTTGTGTCGATGTCCTGCGCAGAGGATGATGTGTCGCCGACTGCGTTGGTGCTATTGATGTTATCTTTCGGAGCCGGAAGTTCAGTGGATGTCGCAGTTGTCTGCTCTTCGGGAACAGTAGCAGCCTGAGCCATGGCCGAGATACTCCTCGCCTTCAACAGCTGACGGAGCGGGATGGTAACGCCCTGTTTCCGCAAGAGGGAAATGACCTTGATGGCGGAGATGGAGTCCAGACCAAGGTGATAGATGCTGTTGCCCTTCTGGACCTCCGAAACCTCAAGACCAGCCACTTCTGCCAGTACAGACCGGATTCTCTCCCCGAGCTCTGACCACTCTCCATCAACATCTGCATCCTCCACCAGATCACCCTCATCAACGGGGACAATGTCATCATCAGCCGCAGGGATAAAACCGTCCAACCCACACACCCTCATTCTGCCTCCTTCAAACTCCAACACGTTCTTCTCCCCATGTGCACTCTCAACCAGATACCTCAACACCTGATCCAACTTCTCCAGCAACTCCTTTGCTCCCTTCTCACTCTCAACAAACCTCGAATCACACGCCGTTCTCCAAACCAGCTTCTCCTCACCATCATCACCACCATATGGCCCAGAAATAATCTCCATCTCCACACAAACGGGATACTCAACCGCCGAACTCCCACCAACTGACTTCACCAACACTTTACCATCTCCATCTGATCCTGTGCTGCTTCCACCAGGCACCCCCCTCTGCATCACAAACAACGTGTTAAAAAGCTGTCCACCTCCTTCTACGAGACGTTGCATCTTCCTCAACGGGAAATGTTCCCTCCCACTGATATCGTTCGCAACACTTTGCATGTACCTTAGCCAGCCACCTACATCTCCATGTAGCACGCTTCGGACAGCCACCGTGTTCATAGTAGGAAACATGAGTTGTTCAGCTTCCTCTGATCCGGCGCGGCCGGAGAGGACTACGCCGAATATGACGTCTAGACTTCGAGTGGCGGTTGCTAAGACGGCGGCATGACAGGCTTGGCCTAGAGTTTGGAGGGTGATGGCGTGTTGTTTGGTGAAGGATTTGATCTTGGCGAAGCCGAGTTGGGAGACCGTTTCATGGCGGAAGATGACGGAGGACTGGTTTTGAGCAATCTGGGGATAGAACGTCGGTTTCGCGCCAGTCAGATATCCGGACCAGAAGGAGATCGCTCGGTCATCGCCTGAGCGGATGATTTCCTCTAGGTATGCTTCGTACGATGGACGGACCTCGTACCGATCTTCGTAAGCGGCTTGGACGTCTTGGTGGAGGAGAGAGAGAGACCATCCGTCGTAGAGGGCGTGGGCGAGTGAGAGGACCACAAATCTCCTCCCGTCACCCAGTGTCGCGAATGCCAACTGGAAAAGGCCGGAAACGCCACCGGCTTTCCGAGCGCGGGCGGTAGCGGACTCGGTGATCTTGGATAGATCCTCCTCGCTTTCGACTTCCATCTCTCTGATGGCTTCTTTGGAGAGTTGACGATGGACAACCTGGAAGTAAGCGAAATCCAACGTGGGATCATCCACCATGGAGAAGGACGTCCGCGGAATCGGGGACGAGGCAATCACTATCTGCCATGCGCTCTTAAGCTTGGTCATGTCGACGTGTGGTTCAACCTCCATGATATCGTGGTTGAAGTACAGGTGGAAGTCCGAATGGATCATCTCGGCGACCATGCCGTCTTGAAGGGGTGTGGCAGGCAACACTGCCTCAAAATCATCATGTTCCTCCCGGATCTTCTCGACCGCTTTGTCCCATGAGGTTGAGGAGCCCTTCAAGGGCTGGTCGCCGTTCACTTGCGTGCCGTTCACGAGCTTCTGTTCCTCCAAGTAAGGAACCAATCCCTCAATCGTCTGGCCCTTCATCAACTCGCTTGGCTTGACGATGACACCCAACTGTCTCAACCGCGCAGAAAGCTTGATAGTGTCGATACTGTCCAGGCCAAGCTCCAATATGGAGGTCGTCTCAGTGACGGTCTCAATGACTACCTCCGCCAGGGTAGCAATCTGTTCGCGAATCGTCTTTGTGGCCTCTGTCCAGACGAACCCGGAGCCTCCCTTTCTTTCTTTGACTTCCTCCACGTTGTTGACCTCTTGTCCAGCTTCTTCCCGCCCTGTGACAGAATCGGTCCCACCACCCACAACCACCCCCTCCGAATCCTCCCCTATCTCCCTCAAGACATCAACCAAGCCTTCCATCAACCCCTCAACCACCTCCTGCCCAACTACCGCCTCCTGAGCAACAATCAACAACCTCAACTCACCACCACTCGTCAATGTTGCCTCAAGCGCCAGCGGATAGTCAGCCTGCACATCAGCTTCTTCATCCATGACTGTCCACAGCTGCTCTCCCTTGGTCATACCACCCATTTCTCCGTCCTGGGGCTTCAGAGATTGCTCCTGCTGAAACGAAAACAAAATCTCAAACAACCCCTTGCCCACTTTTCCACACCACTTCTGGATTTCCCTAAGCGGTACATGCTGCCATTCCACAGCCTTGGAACTCCACTCGTGGCAGCTCTTTACCAGCTCGTTATACTTCTTATTGCCGACCGAAGCATGGAATGGTAACGTATTGAAAAGTGGCCCAACTACGCGCTCAGTGCCCTCGAGCTCTATAGCCCGTCCGGAAACGATCACTCCGATTGTTGGATTGCTGACGCCGAACTGTCTGGCGAGGACAGAAACCCAAGCAGCTTGAAGCAGGGAGTGGTTTGTTACTCCCAATATCTTAGTCAACTTCTGGAGATTGAAGGGGATGGTTCTGTGAGAGTTGAGGGCCTTGGTACTGATGCTTTCGGATATGGCGAACGTCGGTTCGGGCCTGGCATGCTTGAGATGTGAAAGCCAGAATGGCTTAGAGTGGGGGAAAGACTGGAGGGGACCGTGATAGAGAGCTTCAAGGAACGACGGGCCCTTCTCACCCTGCCCCTGACCCTGACCAATTTCACTACGATAATATGCATCAGCCACCTTCCGCAGTATCATCTCCAAGCTGTTGGCATCGTAAACACCGTGGAAGACGTGCAGGACCAAGAGCCGCTCCTTCTTGCGACCTTCTGTCATCATGTTGAACAGCTGGAGTTCAACGGTATGCTTGATCACCCCGTCGGCATTTTCCCGCATCCACTCCTTCCTTTTGTTCAGGACCCTTTCCTCTACCGTCAGCCCATCGTCAGCGTCCTCCCGAACTTGCTTCTCACTCCAGGGCACCAAAGCTTCTGTGCTCGTGGGCTTCAGAGCAACCTGGACAAATCCCTCTGTGGTCTGCACGAACTTGGTCCTCAGGATGGGATACTCCGCCACGACCTCGTTCCACGCAGTTTGCAATCTAGTGGCATCCACCCCCTCAGCCACTTTGAGTCGGAAGACATTATAGTAGTTCTCCCTCCTGGCAATCATACCGGCTTGCAAACCGGTACAAGGGGCTACATACTTTACTTCCTCGCTCTTGACGCCTAGCTCTTTACAGACATGCGCCATATGACGATGCTGGCATGCTTGTACCAGCTGCTTCGCAGCAGCCATTTGAGCTGTGTTAGACTGCGCTTTGCCTGTGTCCAAGGCCTGCGATAAGTCGGCAATGAGCGGATGGCTGAGGATCAACGAGGGAGATGCTTGCGGAAACCCAGATCGCTTAAGCGCGCGGCTGAAGCGGAGGGCAGAAATTGAGTCAAGACCCAACTCGAATATTGAAGTGGAAGGGGTAACGACGCTGGCATCGATAGCGAGCATCTCGGACAACACACTCGCGACCTTCTGGCCGGTAAGTGTCAAGCTGCCAGGGGTGTTAGAGGCTGAAGGCGAGAGACTGACCAGCTCTTCCTGAGTCAACGAAGAGAAGAGACGTTTCAACTCCTTGATCTCCGCCTTGTTGTTGGCGCTGAGCGGGATATACGGCAACCGAACGACATAAGTCGGGACCATATACCCAGGGAGCTTCGCTCTGCAAGCCTGGCGGACCTTGTGAACCAACTGGGCTGTGTCGTTTCCGTCTTCATCTTTGATCACCTCCAACTTCTGCTGTTCCACACCCCTCGCCCTGACGGCAGTCGTGACGAACGCAACCAAGAAATCCTTCCCGGCTTTTTCGTTGCGAATCACCACCGTTGCTACATCCTGCACCTGTTCCACCCCGGTTTTGATGGAGTGATTGATCTCTCCAATCTCCAACCTCTGCCCTCTCAGCTTGACTTGATCATCCGCCCTCCCAAGGAAGTCGAAGCAATCATCATGCAGAACCCTGACCAGGTCGCCCGTGCGATACACCTTCTCCTCCTGGCCAAGTACCCGCAAAGCAGGGAACCTGTCCTTCGTCAGGTCTTCCCTACCTAGGTACCCTTTACCAACAAGCTTACCAGAGACGCACAACTCGCCAACAGCTCCCCGAAGAACAGGCCTATCCGTCCCCGGCTTGAGCACGTATGAACCAACGTTGATGAACTGCCGCCCGATATTACTCGCCCTTCCGTTCTTCGGTACTCTAGGGTAGACCGTCACGCCAATGGTCGCCTCTGTCGGTCCGTAAAAGTTATAGATAACCGCCTTGTCACCCCACACGTCCAAAATCTCTTGCTTCAGACTCTCTCCGCCAGTGATGAACACGCCGCGACACAGGGAGGGGACGTCATCGGGGTGCAACAACCTTGCCAAGGAAGGAGTGAGGTCGATATGCGTGATTTCCAACCTTGAAATAGTCCCCGCGAGATCTTCGAGGATAAGATCCTTGGGCGCGCCAACGAGGGTGATACCAACGGACCATGACCAGTATTGTTCAAGGACCGAGACGTCAAAGTGCAAGGACGCGAACTGGAGCCAACGTGATGTGTCTTCCCAGTGTCCGGTAAAGATGTGCTGGAAGGCGAGCATGCACTGGACTGTGTTATCGTGCGTGATCTCACAACCCTTGGGAGTGCCGGTTGTGCCGGAGGTGTAGAGACAGTAGGCCGCATCAGATGGGAGCAGTTCCCGATTGAGGACCGGAGGGTTGGCCGAAATCTCCTGCAACTTGGCCAGATCAACGCCCAAGACAGGAACTTCGACAACAAAGTCCATCTCCTCGGCCTTTCCAGCCGTGGTCAATAAGGCGGTTGCACCAGAATCCTTGACAATGAACTCCTTCCTTGCCTCTGGAGCTCCAGTATCTAGCGCCACGAACGAACATCCCGCCTTGAGGACACCCAGGATAGCAAAGAACGCCTCAGGGCACTTATCAAAGTAGACCGCGACAATATCCCCGACGTTGACATGCTCTGACAGCATATTTGCAACCCGGTTGCCATTGGCATCAAGCTCGTGGTAGCTCCACTCCTGCCCAATCGGCTTTCCAAGGGTATCAAACCCATCAGCAAAGAACAGAGCCGCCTTCTCCGGAGTCTTGAGAGCCTGGACCTCGACGAACTGGTGAAGAAACTGAATATTATCCGGAACTGGTAACACCGGTTCCTCGGGGGGAAGGATAGCGAACAACTCCGGGTGAAGCTCCAAGAGTCCGTCCTCGTCAGCAGAGGGGTGAAGCGCAAGAAACTCCACCATTGCCTGGAATTGCTTCAACAAAAGATGGGCTTGCTCTCGAGGGAGGACGTCGTCGAAGAAAGTAACGGCGTACTTGATCTCTCCGTTGGGCTGAGGCTCGACTTCAATGGAGACGGGGTAATCGATCGTCGCGGCATCTTCCACCAACGTCCATGGCGCTTGGTTTTCAGTCCCAGCAGCAGCACCACCGTCAGCAGCAGCAGACGAAAACTTCTGATAAACAACCAACGTATCAAAAAGCCTCGTGTCCGGCCTTCCAAGCCACTGCCGAATCTTCGCCAAAGGCTGATGTTGCTGCTTATACAGCTCAGCATTGTACTTCATCATGCCCTCCAGCATCTCCCTATTGCTTGCGACGTTAGAAGCAATAACCGGCAACGTGGTAATACACGGGAAGACCGCGTCCCTGGTCGCTTCCGTATTCCTGCCAGAGAGGACAACACCAAACGTCACTGATGCTTCTCCCAAGTACGCCGATAGTACTCGGGCCCAGGAGGCCTGGATGAGGACTTGTATGCTATACCCTGACTCGGCCGCGGCTTTCTCTAGTTCGGGTGAAGACATGCCTCCTTGCTGTGTTTCGACCTGGATTGTTCGAGTCGATTCCTTTAAGGGCGTCATTACCGGGAAACTGTTGATGACTGTCCTGTCCGCTTGTTCTTTCCAGAACTTCTCCGCTGTCTCTCGGGAAGTCTCGATCTGCGTTAGAATATCGGCCACGGCAGTTTCAGTTCCAGTCGACGCCACCAAGGTCAATTCCTTCCCAGAAATAGCTTTGGCCAGTTCCGCCATGATTACTTGCAGAGAATGGGCGTCATAAAGAACATGGTGCATGCCGATGTGCATCGTCAACCCATCAGTGGCTTCGATTAGAGCAACACCCCACGGCACAGGCTGTTGTCCGGTTAGGATGTCGCTAGCGAGCTCACCCCGCCACTTCTCAACATCAAAAGGCTGGCCCTTGATCGTAAGTACCGGCTTCTTTACAGCGTCAGGCTGGTGTTGAACCATCACGAACGCGCAATCGTTATGCTCCACTGCCATTAGGCTCATGCGGAGGATAGGTTGAGCCAGAGAGAGCCTCTCCCACGCCTTCTCTAGGTCTTGCAGCCCAATACCGCCACTCTTGTCGACCTGGTACTCCAAAAAGTTGAGGTAATCCCTTCCTCCGCTCTGGGCAGACCGCACGAACTGCATCCACATTCCGCTTTGCAACGGGGTACAAGGCAGAACCTCCACCATGCTCTTGAACTCCATGCTCTGGGACGCAAGCTGTGGTTGAACCTGGGACTTGACTTGTTCCTGGAACTTTGCGATGTCATACGTAATTGTGCCCTTCTCTTCGGCCCCAGGCTCGGAACACTGAGCGCGCTGAGTGTTCAAGAACGCAGCCAATGCAGCACAGCTAGGATGTGAAATGACATCGCTAGCATTGACCTTCAGGCCTTCAGACCCAAGCTCCTTCCGCAGCATCGAAGCGATTTGCACGGCGGAAATGCTGTCTAGGCCCAGTTGGTAGATGCTCGTCTCCTTCCCAATGCGACGGTCTTTGTTGGTCATGAGCGATGTGAGAACGTTGCGGATGTGGGACTCGAGGCTGGACCACTCCTCTTCAGCATCGCTTGCTTGGCCACCATTGGAGGATGACGAGGTTGATACTTCGGTAACATCAAATGGCAGCTGAGTAAGCTTCTCCTTGAGACTTGCTGGGACGGTGTCAAACCGCCAGATGTGCGATGCTGGGTACTGCAGGAAGTTGTCGAGAGTGGTGAAGAGGAGATCAAGAACCAGGTCGGCGAACTCCTTGGAGAAGTGATCGCTGTCTGAGTGTCAGTACGCCTTTGCCACCCTCGGCCGTTTGGAAACGGACGTTGAAATTACTTACCCTTCAAGGTGCAAGTTCACCAATAACTCATCCTTCCTGGCGTCAGGCACGAACTCAGCCACGATCGGGACCTGCACCAGTGATCAGTCAGCGCGCATCCTCCCAGCATACGGTTACCTCCTCCTCCCCCATCACCAAAGTCAATCAGCAAAGAAGTACTCACATCCATACCACCCTCATCCCTCACTACTTCCCACACACTGTCCCCCTTCTCCCCATAACCTCCACCCTGTTGCAGCAATAGCAGCGTGTCAAAAAGCTTCTCGCCTCCTTTCACCAAACTCTGCACCTTCCGCAACGAAGCAAACCCGGGTCCCTCCAAAATTCCTGCCCCCAGCTGTCCAAACGCCTTGACCAAATCAAGGTTCCTTGAGCCTCCCTGGAGGTCATCCAACCGCATCCTCACCGGGACAGTGTTGAAGCAAGGCGCCACGAGCTCATCGATCCTTTCGATTGGTAGGGTCCGGCCGCTGAGTACGTTGCCGAAACAGACATCTTCCGTCCTCAGGAGGACTGATAAGACGGTGGCCCATGAGGCTTGAACGAGGGAGAGGAGGGATATGCCTGAGGTTTTGGTCTTGCTGAGAATCTGACTGAGGGGGGTGGGAATAGGGGTTGTTAGTAGAGCAGGTGCCGGCGACTCAACTGGGCTGGTAGCGAAGTTGAAACAGCCCGTTAACAACCGGCTTTGGAATCCCGCTAGTTGCTCCCTCCAAAACGTGTCTGTTTCCGGTGCCTTTGCCAACGCCAAACTTTCACGAAGGAAAGGCTCATATTCTGGCGCTGGAGGTAGCTCGCTGCTGTTCTCAACAAGAAGCTGTTCGACTTCGTAAAGCAAGCGCTGGATGGCCACTCCGTCGTAAAGAGCATGGTGGCAGATGAATGACAGGAACTTGCCTTCCTCGCTGTTGATGATGGCAAGCGAAATAGGCGGTTCGACAGAATCGACCGGCTCGGAGAGGGTGGAGACATGCTTCTCGATGGCTTTGTCCACATCATCCTCAGATGAAGATGAAGATGAAGAAGCGTCAAACTCTAACCATGGCACCTCCCAACTGCCAGCTTCCAACACAACCTGAATCATCGGCCGCTCCGAGTCTTCAGTGGACACAAAAGCCGTTCTCAGAATTCCCTGTCTCTGGCAAGCCTTCGCCCAGGCCCTCCTCAAGCTTTCCACATTGCATGTATCTCCAAGTTTCAGCAGCATCTTGTTCACGTAGGCCCCACGCCCACGCCCGGCAGAAGCAGCAAGCATGCCCTCCTGCAATGGAGTGCAAGGTAACACCTTTTCTACCTTCTTCCCCTTCTCTTCAAACTGTTCCGTAACCGCTAGTGCAATCTCCACTGGGACCACCGGCTCCAAGACTCTCTCCTTTGCCGCATCCGCATCCGCAGGCGCTTCTTCTGTCATAGTCGCTGCCGAGGACCCGGAAGTAACCGACTCTGACAACGCCAACGCAATTCTCGCAGCAGTGGCATTCCTAAGGATCGCCGAGATAGCAAGACGCTTACCGCCCAGGTTCGCAGCAATCTGCTTAGAAAGCTCGATAGCTGAGATAGAATCGAGTCCGAAGGCGGTAAGGGGCGTCCATCTCTGCACACTGCTCCTATCAACCGCAAAGATTTGGCAAACGATTTCTGCGACTTTGCTCTCGGCTTCTGACCACTCCCCACCGTCACCATCGTTGTCGCTGGAGCCAATGGAAGGGCTAGCGGAGGCGAGGTATTCCCGGGTTAGGGAGGTGAAGCTCTCTTCGAGGAGACGACGGTCGAGTTTTCCTGATGCGGTGATGGGGAGTTTGGAGAGAGGGATGACGAACGAGGGGATCATGTAGCTAGGTACTCGTGCCTCGACGGATTGGAAGATGGAGCGGATTTCGCTTTTGAGGACATCGTCGAGTTCGGGGATCTGGAATGCTGTGTCGCGGCGGCCATGGCTTCCGCTGGGGACGAAGAAGCTGACGATTTGTCCTTGTCCTGAGCCAGTGGAAGCATCCCCTTTCTTCGACTTGAAGAACAAAGTCGCGCATTCGACCCCCTTTTCTTCCATTCCATCAACTGTCTCCGCGGCCCTCGACTTACCTCCAGCCACATCCACACGCCCGGCACCTACCTCATGCACAGCAGTCGCCTGCACAGCAGAATTAACCTCCCCCAACTCAACCCTCTGCCCTCTAACTTTAACCTGCTCATCCGCCCTCCCCCAAATGACCAAACTCCCATCAGCTAACATCCTCCCCAGGTCACCACTCCTATACACCCGCCCCCACTCCTCATGCACCACAAACTTTTCGCTCGTCAGCTCATCCTGCCCCAAATACCCCTTAACGACTTGATCCCCACCGAAACAAAGCTCGCCGAACCCTCCCACTGGTACCAGTTCAAGCTTATCGGCTTCGTTATCAGGGTACACCACAAACGCGCTGGTGTTGGGAAACGTGAATCCCAGATGTCGGATCCTGTGTCTGGGCGGGATAACCATCCTCTTGACGGAGCAGATATTGGTAGTCTCTGATGGCCCATAGCCTTGCCAGAGCTGTTTATGCCATTTTGCTGCAACCGCGGGAGTCATTGCCTCGCCTGCTGTCACCAGGAATTCTACCCCGGGAACATTTTCGGGGGAGACGAGCGAGGCGACGGTGGGCGTCATGGAGAGGTGGGTGATTTCGAGTGAACGGATGGACCGCTCGAGGTCGGCGAAGAGAACGTCGTTGGTGCCGGAGCAGAGGGTCATGGATTGGTTCCAGGCGAAGAAGATCTCGAAGACTGAGACGTCGAAGGCTTGGGAGCAGGATTGGAGGAGACGGGATGTGCCGGGGGTTGATGGGTAAATGCGAGATAAGACGTCGAGGTTGCTGACGATGTTGAGTTGAGTTACGCAGACGCCTTTGGGGATACCTGTGGAGCCGGAGGTGTAGATGATATAGGCGGTGCGGGAGGGATCAACTGGAGTATTCAGGTTTTCGTTGGAGAAACCGTCCAACTCAGCAGTCTCAAGGTTGATGAAGTCGACCCCTTCAATCTTCTCCAGCTTGAAGTTTGAATCGGAATCAACCAGACAATGCCGCACACCAGCCTGTCCAAAGACAGTCTTGACCCTCTCAACCGGTGTGGTGGGCAGCAGTGGCAGATACGCACACCCAGCCTTAAGAATCGCCAATACACCCGCATATAGAAGCAGTGACTTCTCCATTACAATCGCCACGATGTCCCCCTCCTTCACTCCCTGACTTTTCAGCAACCAGGCAATTCTGTTGGCCATGGCATTCAACTCCCGATAGTTCACACTCTCTGCTTCCACTGTTCCATCCTCCGCGACCCGTTCGGCAAAGCACAGTGCATCCTGATTGGGGTTCCTCTCAACAGCCGCCTCAACTGCCTTCGCCAAATCCGGCACGCCTTCAAGTGTCTTCGGCTGCTCGTTGTAGATCGACAACGAGTTTCTTGGGAAGACCTTTTTCAGGGAAGATACTTTAGCATCCAAGCCCTTGAGCATGGCCTCAACAAGCACACTCAACTGCTCTCCCATAACAGAGATCTGAGCCTCAGTGAAAGCATCAGTATGATAGGTGAGCGCCAAGTCGTACATATCCTGTCGAGGCTCGACTTCGACAAGAAGCTTTGTCTCAAGCCAGTCGCGTCCTTGTTCCAGTTCCACTATCTTTCCCTTTCCGCCTTCTTTGTCCGCATCCCCAGGGGTAGTCAAGTTGTCGAGTGTCTCCTGGTAGACAAAAAGCACCTCGAACGGCCTCTGGCCGGCCTTAATTCCCGCTACCCTCTTGATCTCCTTCAGTGGCAATACGCTGTGCCGTACCACCTCCCTACCCACCGCTTGCACACTTCCCAGCAAATCCCTCACGGTTCTTACACCTCCTAAGTCCGTCCTCAGGGGTACTGTGGCGATACAAGGTCCGATAATCTCGTCAATGCCTGGCACTGGAATGGTTCTTCCCGATGTTACAGTGCCGATGACCACGTCTTGATTTCCGACGTAAACGCTCCATAGCCAAGCTAAAGCAGCTTGAAAGAGAACTTGCGGCGTGCAGTCCAGTTCGCGAAGGACAGACTTGACGTGTTGAGGAGAAAAAGAGGGGAGATGGACAGAGTGGGATTGAACAGTAGAAGAAGGAGCGATGTCGGGTCGCAGTTCGGGAAGAGAAGGCGGCTGGAAATCAGCGAGGTGTTGAGCCCAAAACTCGCGCGCTAGGTTGCAAGAGCGACGGTAGGGGGCCGAGTGGTAGTAGGTTATGACGGCGCTGAATGAGGGACGGGCGGTGGGAGTAGAACCGTTGATGAAGGAGTGGAGGTCAGAGACGAGGAGGTCCGTTGACCAGCCGTCGTAGATGGCATGATGGATCTGGAGGAGGGCCGTGATGGGTGATGTCGCTGTAGCCGAAGACAGGAACACCCGGAAGGGGCGTAGGAAGTCTTCATCGCTCATGAAGGAGAACTCCTCGGTAATGCTGTCGGTCACCGAGACCAGTGAATCGTCAAGGGACTTGAAGATGACCTGCAGAAACTGGCCGCTATGGTGAACGAACCCAGTCCTTAGGGCCTCGTTCAACTGCGCCAGCTGAAGGAACCACAACCGGACATCCACTTCCGTGCAGCCCTCCGGAAATTTGAGCTTCAACCAATTGCAGTATGCCCTCGGGTTGGCCGTTGTCTCAGAAAGCATCGCAGTCTGAAGCGGTGTACAAGGCAGCACAGCCTCGATACTCTCCAACCGTCCTTTCACAACGTCATTGTCGACCGCAATCTCAGCTGGCTGATACGTCTTCATATCCTCTCCCTGATCTTCCCCATCTGTGGTGCCCTCAGCCTCCACATCCCTAACCACCTCCCTCAGCGCTCTTATCGTCCTAGCACTCAGGATCTCATTCGCCCCAATCGCCACTCCCATCGTCTTCCTCATCGCACCTGCAAGCTTGATAGCACTCAACGAATCCATACCCGCATGCATCAAACTCTGAGTGGGATGCACAACAACTCCCAGGATATTTCGCACGAGCACATAAATCTGCCTTTCCTTCTCATCCCTAAACTCCTCCTCCTTCGGCTGTCCACTAGCTTGCATAGCTTCATACTCAGCCACCAGTCCCTTCCTGTCCACCTTGCCTGACGCCAAGCGAGGGAACTCTTTCATGACGATAATGTCACCGGGAACCATAAACCCCGGCAGCCAGGCTTTACAAGACTCTTCGATCTTGGTGGGCATGGAATCGATAGAGTCGACAGCGCAAAAGAGGACGAGGATGCCCTTGATCACTGCCGCAAAGGCGGAGTGGCACCCTGGGGTACGCAATGCGGCATGCTCGATTTCTCCTAGCTCGATGCGCTGACCGCGGAGTTTGACTTGGCCGTCGCCGATTCTGCCCATGCATTGCATTGTGCCATCGGGAAGCATGCGCGCTTTGTCCTTTGTGCGGTAGAGAAGGCCGTAAACTGGGTGGGAGACGAAAGCTTCGGCCGTGACTTCTGGGCGGTTGAGGTAGCAGGGCGCTAGTTGGTGGCCGCCGATAGCGAGTTCACCAACCTCGCCCATGGGAACGACCTTGATCTGCGATGCATCATCACCTTCCTCTGGTATAGCGATAATGAACGAGGAGACAGTGTCAAGCGAGAAGCCGATTAGACCAGGCACAGAGTCCGCAGCAAAAGCGGGTTGAACAGTACAGTGAATAGCTGCTTCGGTTGGGCCGTACATACCCCAGAGGATACTCTCCTTGGTATCATCGCCACCAAATTCGCGAACGACGGGTTGCGTCAGCATCTCACCGATGGTCAGGAGCAACTTTAGCCCCGGGGCGTTTTCCCGTTTTCGCAACAAACTCCCAGCAACCGAAGGCGTGAGCTCGCAAGCGTCGATCTCCAACTCATTGATGACTCCAGGCAAGTCATTGAGCATGGCTGACCTGTTACAGCTCACGAGTGTCTTACCCCTGAACAGCGGGAAGAAAATCTCAAAGACGGAGACGTCAAATGTCGGCGCCGCGAACTGAAGGAACCGTGAGAATTCGGGAATGTGTCGATCGTGGGCTAGCAAAGACTGAGTGGCAGCATCGTGGGTGATGGGCACACCTTTGGGTGTTCCTGTCGAGCCGGAAGTGTACATGACATAGGCCAGGTTCGTTGGTGTTGGTTGCCTGTGTTCGACTGTCTCTTCTGTTGATGTGAAGACCTCATCGCTGAGTATGAGAACCCTCTTTCCCGTCTCGTCTTCAGGTACCTTCTCCGCCAGCTCCGGAGTGGTAATGACCAAAGCAGCCGAGACTTCATTGAGAATAAACTTTGCTCTTTCCAGGGGAATATCGAGGTTAAGCGGACAGAAGGCTCCTCCGGCCTTGAGGATGGCCAACTGGGTGATGTACAAATCTGGACACTGGGGGATGAGGACTGGAACGATCAGTTGCGAGTTGTCGTCTGTTACCGGCCCGGCGAGAGATGATATCCTGACTGCTAAGGCGTCAGATTTTCGATGTAGCTCATGGTATGACAGTGAGACCCGCGAGCCGTCGGGGGCAAGGTAGTCAATGGCGAGTGCATCGTCGTCTCTTGTCTCGGAGCGGTGTTGTACGAGGTGATGAAGGAGACAGGGACCTGGGAGTCTTGTTGCTGGGTGGTTGGCGATGGAAAGGGCAACATCTGGGTGTGGGTCGACTGTTGCCATGTTGAGGTGATGGTGGTGATGGCTTCTTTAGGCCGCTGGTTGTTGATGTGACCTGCTAATGAGGCTATTCAGCACGGTGGCCTCCTATTATTGCACTGGATAATGGCCCGTTTGTAGCGGTTGTGCAGCGGGTGCAGTGGGACACCGGGACGGGAGGCTGCTGTAAGTGATATCCAATGATGAGATGGGACTGTCCAATGAGCGGGCAATCAGGCGTCCTGAGTAACTCCAGTCGATGGTGCTGATATGCAGACTGGTCTGCCCAAAACGTTAACTCAAGTCCCCAAGACGTCAATCTCATTCGCTACATGCCGAGGGCAGCCATGTGTTATACATGGATGAGATATCGAATGGGTACAACAGAGGGAGACACTCACGATGTTTGGTATTGATGATTGGCCGTGTTTGGAAATCAAGACTCAAGAGAGTGTCTTTACCAGTTGATGTTGAATGATTTGATTTCTGTGAAGAATCATTGGTCAGCGGCCGGCGACATGAAGACGACGTTCAACGTTGCAGTTATCGTGTGTCGTGATGGTATGTACCACTGAACTTGAGAAGGCTTCTTTTTGGAAAATAAAAGCTTGTGATATGGACCAGCAATCCCGGGAGTGCCAAGCGAACGGCAGCGTGCAGATCGGTGTCTGTGGTGGACGACGCCGGCTTGGGGTCACGATGTTTGTTGAACTGAAGCGCAAGAGACGGAAGACGACGGGCGTGATGTTGGACGGGAATCGTCGTCCCTTCGCGATAAGCTCGATAAGAAAATTCAGTGGAGCTGCCCTGTGATGGATCGAAAGTATGAAACTTGGAAGTTGCGATGCAACTCAGTCTTCGCTCCTCCCTTCCAGTTTGCCCGGTGTTTGGGAAGGTGCCGGAAATTGCGTCTTCCTCTCGAAACACATCCGCATCCGCTCCTTCCGTGTCCGCGGTTGCGATCCCGTGTTTCCTCCGATGCCGGGTACGGGCCGGGTTCGGTATTCAGAATTGAGAAGCGGGGCCGTTCCGTGTCCGGTTCCTGTTCCGCTTCCCGTCAACTCCGGCCGCCGGCCGATGCAGGTTTTGTTTTGGCCCGTCCCAGCTGTTGATCCTTCACATCTGATGTCGTGAAACTGCAAAGAAATCCAGAAGTCTACCATACCTTGTTTGATCGCGATATGCAAGGTACCGATACCCTTATTTTCCGATAATGCCGGTCTTTAAAGTCGTCACATTCAGAGGATGTCGCAAATCGAAAAAAGACAAAATGAAAATCGAAATATCGTTTTGTTAGTAGCAGCCTCGGACGAACACAAAAGCACACTGTGATCCCGGTTCTCGTTCACAATAATAGCCTGTGTCAATGTCTGAATCTGCGGAATACTTCACATTCATAATACATGCTCAAGATCGATCCGCAAACTCTTCAACGTCTCAATCACACCGGCCGCCGGTGACAGAGTACGGACGTTCCTTCATCGAGAACTAAAATCCGAGCGGGATGGTGTGATGACCTGGGGTTACAGTGGAGGCGTATCGATAGCCGCCTTTGTTATGGGTGTTTCCCCCACTGTGCTGTGATGGTTTCACGCTTCTTGATATCAAATGGAACCCCGTCCCATTTTTCACTACACCTTCGGCATTGGCTCGTATTTCCTTTCCTTGTTGTTTGCCTTTACTTTTGCATACGTGCTTTGGAGGTTTTCGTCTTCTTCACTTCTCCGCGACGACAATGACGAGAATAGTTCCTCCGAAAACCCAGAGTACGTAGCATCGTCCTTCATCCGCCAGAGTGCCAGGAATTGTTGGTACCTGCGTGACTTTTTCTTAGGGCCATGTTGATCGATCCACTAGCTTACGCAGCGTACCTTTCTTGCTTGGACATCCCGATTTTCAACGTTGGTTTAAACAGCATTACCATCGCCTATCCCAGCAGACATTTTCAGAACTGAGCTGAATAGATGTTCAAGAGTCCCCTTAAATGCTTCACAGCCTTCTCAGATTTGGACAAACGGTTTTGGCTCTCGCGATCAAGCCACCATCCCAATCTCATCGGTAGACGCCCCTCGTTCATGTTTGCCGCCGCGCTGTCATTTGCGACTTGCGTCATTAACGACAGCAACGCGGCCAGGGTTGACGATGGTGATGGTGATGGTGATGGTGGGGTCCTCCGCCCACCGTACGCTGTTGGCATCTTTCACTGGCACACTGCAACCATGACGGCCTCCGTTTTCTCTGAAAGCAGCCGTCGACCTCGAATTCGGATTGACGCCGTTTTTTGTCCGCCGCGTGTTTATCAGATCCACCGTTCCTCCGCCCCCTCGTGTCTTCGGGTTACGTTCGGCTCAAATTTTATCTGATGCCAAGGCTCTAGTCCAGGAATCATTTGCGGAACCCCCAGGTGTCGAGGATTTTTATCTGATCCGATTATCGGCCATCAGTTAGACCCCCTCCACCCCAGTTTCCAATTCCCGCATTTTTCCATCTGATGATCTGATAATCGCGCGCACCGTCGCACGTGAAAATCCCGCGAATTGTTGAAACACGACCCCCTCACCAGCTCCCACTGTGATATCCCTGCGAGTAGAAGAAACATTTGCCAGACAGTAAGGTCGAGGTGTGTCTCCAAAAAAAGGTATGTCTAATGATATTTTGCTTCCAAAGGGGCAAAAGCAAGACAAGCAACAAGCTATCCCAAAAACCAATAGTCAAAAATCAAAAGAAATTATGTACAACAGAAATAGAGTGCCGTAAGGAAATTTTTTCCTTCCAAAAAACCCATGTGAACCCCAAAAAGTTATTTTCCGTTCCAGATTCAACACACAATCATATGTAAAAAGAAATCGCTGTCTCGCTGTGCCATAAGCACAGCATGGTATCATCCGTCACGCTCCCAATTTAAGCACCAAAAATCGACTTGACGATCTCGCCAGACCGTGTAGACAGGACCGAAAGAAGGGTATCAGACAGCTGTTAGAACTGTTAGCTTTCATGTATCCAAAGTCATCAGAGAGACAAAAAAAAAAGACTTACACCATGAGTTCCCTCACAGCACCCCTGCAGCCAAATGCCACTGCCCTGTGCAACCTTGTCCTCACCAAACTTGACCGAATAATTCCGGTTCGCCTCGATCACCCTCAAGCTCTTCTCCTCACCCTCAACGAACCACCTGTCCTTGGATCCCTTGACAGTCTCAGCGACCAGCGCCGCATCAGCCTCAGGCAACAGCGGCCACGTGGGCTTGAGCATATCCACGTGCGCCATGCGCTTGTAGCCGGTAGCGCAGATGATCACGTCGACATCAAGGGTCTCCTCATCCACAATGGGTCCATCGGTGGCGGTCTCATCCTCGCCGTAGAAGTAGCGGCCGACCTTGATCTTGAGCTTATCGCCCTTCTCGGAAACCGAGACGACCTTGCGCGCAGCCATGATGCGGTGAGGCCATTGCGTCTCGTCGGTGCCGAGCACGCGGCGCTGGTGGTACATGACCTCATAAAGATGCTCAATGAGCTCGAGGCGGACGACACCGTAGTTGGTGGCCTTGGCGTCGGCGAGGAAGTGCGAGCGGTAGGCCGAGGGGCGGGAGTGGATGGTGTCAATGAATTCGGGGTTGAAGATGGAGTTGACACTGTAACTGTTAGTTGCGCTGTATAAAAGACGAGGGTGAAAAATACGTACAAGGGCGAATCATCAGAAGGCTTCATAAACTCGGAGCGCATAATCATATAAGTCTTGGAGTTGGGGTAAAGGTTCTGAACGTTGCTGAAGATCTCCGCCGCCGACTGGCCAGCGCCGAGAACAGCCACGCGAACAGGAGCGGACTGGTCGCTGAGGAGCTTGGGAACCACGCTGGCGTACTGGCTCGAGTGGATAACACGGGGGTGGTTCTGGGGAAGAGGCTTGGGGATGGAAGCCTGGCCGCCGAGAGCAAGCAAGACGTTGCGAGCCTGGTAGGTGGTGATGTCGCCAGTAACAATGTTGCGCGAAGTAACAGTGAAGAGCTTGTTAGGTCCCGAGGTCTGAACGGGCTCAACAGCAACGACCTCCGTCTGATATTTTACCACATCATCGAAATGACGCGCGCACCAGCGGAGGTAGTCCTCGAACTCGATTCTCGCAGGGGTGAAGGTGCTGAGGTTGATGAAATCAACCAGGCGCTCATTTTGGTGAAGGTAGTTGAGGAAGGTGAAGTGGGAGCGGGGATCGCGCAGAGAGGCAAGGTCCTTGATGAAGGAGATCTGCATCTTGGCTCCGGGAAGGAGCATGCCGGCGTGCCAGGCAAAGTCAGCCTGCTTCTCGAGAAAGAGGACCTTGGGCGACTCGGCAAGCTTGCCGGCCTCGATGGCGTCGTGCGTAGCAATGGCGACAGAAATGCTGGCGGGGCCGAAGCCAACGCAGACGAGGTCGTGGATCTCATCCGAAGGGGTGGGCCTCAAGTGACGGCTCTTGGAGAAGTTCTTGTATTGGCTGGCGGCGGCAGCAGAGCCGTTGCTCACGCCATTGACCACGGGCTCCGAGGTGTAGGTGCTGGACGAGACGGAGGAGGAGTCATCCATGATGTTGCAGCAGTGAGGCGACATTGTTCTTCTTCAGATCTGTTGAGTCCGGGGGTCTAGTCCTATTATGTATAGACGACGGAATGACAGGATAATGGCGGCACAGTAACGGTCGAGCTTGTGCGTTCCCGGTGTAGCTGGCTGCGGGGAATTAAGTTTTATTGGCGTATAACGTCTGTGTAACTTGGGGGTCTTTTGGCTGCTGCAGAGAATCCACGGGTTAACTCCAACTGCATCTGCAGGTTTGAGGTATGTAGGTAGGTAGGTGTCAGGGACGGTGTTGCCCACGTTTGGTTCGTCAAAAGTATATTGACGCAATTCGTACCAGTGGAAACCGGGAAGAGGACGGTGGTGTTCAAGAACTCGATGGTACCGGATGGGTGATGGGACGGGCGGAGGATAGCAAGAGAGAGAGAGAGAGGTCGAGTAACACCGGGAGGGTTGGCTTGGATGATGGAGATGGAGGAGGTATACGAGAGAGGAATAAAAGGAAAAAAGGGAAGAGGGAGTGGGAAAGGTGGCAGAGGCGGGCGTTTTTGATAGAGAAGAGGGTTGTTGATCTTTGACCAGGGGAGGCAATTGGAAGCAAGGAGGGTAGCTTGAAGGTGGTAACATACCGTAACTTGGAGACAAGCTCGACCTGAATTGACTCCATTCCGCTCGTGGTTTATTTCTCCGCTGGCCCGCTCTTGTTGACCCCCCGTCTGTAGGTAAATGTGCACCGTGTGTCGCCATTCCCACTCAGAGTACTATTCCACGTTGCGGTTGTCTACCGCTCTGTGTGCCTTGACGGCGTCGGGGGTCGAACCGAAGCCGTTCCCACTGCTGCTGCTGGTAGCAGACGGGCAAGCTGGGGCCAAGAACGGACCAAGACCAGAAACGACGCGCTGTCGCTGGTGGTGTTTACACTTTACCGGGCCATCCTGGCCGGGGTGCGGAGCTCCATCCGCGTTGTGGTGCAATCCATGGCATGATTCCGACGTTGGACTGCGGGGACTGGACTCGAAGACGGCAGCTTGGGTTGGTGTCTTGTTCAGTTGTTCTCGACCTTTCAATTCTTCCCGTCCCGTCCGTGTCTGGTCATGGTCTTCCAAGTTCCCGTCGTCGTGCCTGGCAATTTCGGGGACGACATGGTGGTGTCAGCCCAGCAGGACGGCGGCGGCATCTTCGTATCGTGATGTGATGGGACATTTTCGCTTTTCGATCGATGGATGGCAGCAGTGCGGGTTGACAGTGTAGCAGTGAGCTTGAGACGGTGGTGTCCTTGTTACTGACGGTTCAGTTTGTGACGGTGATGGCCGAAACGAGATCAATTCAATTTTGGATGGAGATGGTGGGGTTGGTAGCGACACCCACTGAATGGACTCAATGGAGGGGTTGGAAACTTCCTTCGGAAATCTGGTTGGCCAATTGCTACCAAGACCCGGTTCTTGCCCGTTTTTTCTGCCAGGTTCGTTCTTTGCAGAAGGTGCCAAAGTGGGTGGGTGCGCCAAGTTCGGTCCAGGGATGGGTCAGTGCGGCATCGGCGTTATCTTCGGATCAGATAAGATGGGATCAGTGGGACTTTGCGTTATTCCATGTTTTTTTTTTTAAACGATCTCGACCACTCATCCACCACACAGGGCCCGAGTCTGTCTCCTCTTTCCGCCTCTCCGAACCGCGGACATGGGTTGGGCGGTTGGACTGAAGAAAGGGCTGGCGGGAGTACGACGCCGGATGGAGAGGAAATGGGCAGGTGAGAGCAAAAAAATGTTTATCAGATCGGACGACGGTGGAGTGGGGTTGCATTGGCATTGTCATGCCCTAGTTCAAGTTGCGGTCCGCCTTTTGTTTTTTTCCCAGGATTGCGTCAACGGCCAGGTAGGTATTGTCCGTCTCGCTTCTTTCGAGATCGGCCTTTTCAGGTGTTTCAGGACCTGACTGTCATTGATGGTCGACTCGAGTTGGCCATCGAAGTCGTTGTCAAGTCTTCACTCTGAATACCACTACCAAGTATCGATGCCTACCTTACTTACCTCCATGTTACCATTCCGCTGTGATGAACTCCTGAGTGAGTGGGAAAAACAAGAGTAGATCACAGCTGAACAAAGTCTCTTCAGTGTCATCCACTTTCTTCCACACCTTCACACACAGTACACCCCAGTGGGACAAAAATTTGACTCATCTCCATCCGTACCGTACTGGGTTGTTTGGTCCGACCCGAGGTGCACTCCGTTGTGGGGGACTATGGATATCTGTCATCCAATGGTTCGGCAATGGCCACGTCTTTAGCCTTTTCTGGAGCACCCTGCGGCACAATATCTGATGATCTGATAAGATTTGATCCTACCATCAGCATCCATCAGCATCCATCAGCGACCTTGGCACATGGAAAATGTCGGATCATGATCCCATCACCCAAGACCAAAAACGCCAGATCATTCCCTGCAGTCTGCACGTGTCGCCGTTTTGCTGGTTCCGTTTGTCTCATCTCCGAGTCTGTTGCTCTCACGGTGGTGTTGGGAGGCGTTGGCTGGAGGTGACGGCCCGGGATGTTAAAGTGGAATCGCCTCTGTAATTGACGGGAACTGTTGTCGTTGTCAGCGGAAGCAAAAGTGGAAGCAGGTAGAGAAGCAAGGGAAACTTCAAATTGGCAGGTCAAGTGGCATGGAAGACCAGCAAAAATTGCCTCAACGTTCTTGCTCCATCTGCGACCCTTTGTTGAACTGAACCCCTCATTCCACTTTCCATTTTTGTTCGTTCGTGAGACAATCGCCAAGTGTCTGGACGGGAAGGCGCGCAGGTACACGAGGTGAGCGAGTGCCGTGTGCTGAGCTGGATCACTGCATGCAGACGGGACAAATTGGCGACTGCACTCTGCATGGTCCCTTCCTCGCCTGGCTGGTCGAATTGATTTCATGCAAGACGTGATTGCTGATTCGGCTAATATCTTAACAATTCTCTACCAGCTCACCACTACATTCAGTTAGGAAGCCATCTGAACCTGCACGTTTCCACCACAGCTTGGGCCAAATGTTTCTTCGTTGCCGAACAACATTCAAACCCCCATCATCTTCTCCTCACGGTTTTCTCCATCCGAGTCTCTGTGCGAACCTTGCCATTGTGTCAAAAACTCCAACTTCTCCATTCCACATCACCTCATGGCGGGCCAGAAACCAAGGCTTCCGAAACAGTAGCCCGAACCCACTACGCGTCCACACAAATGCCCGCCGTCTCCTCCAGAAAAGGCTACATCCGCCGAAGCTATCAAAAAACGATCATCACTCCAGTCACCAGTCACGGCCCTGCATGTCCCTGCCGATCAACATTGCTCGAGTCCCCCATGTGTTGTTGCCAAGGTCCAAAATCTCTGCTGGAGTCGCCGCTGGAGACTGACTGGAGGCGAGCAAGCGCTTCGGCTTTACGGTTATTTCCTTCTCTTTCGTCCTCTCGTCTCCTGGAAATCCTTCGATATAGTGTACTGTGTATCTGATCACGGAAAGTGCCGTTGCTTTCAGTCTTGTTTGATGTTTCAGAGCATTTCGCTTCACTTGACGACCCAGCCCTCTCTCTGTCTGATCTTGGTTTCGGATATTGACGAAGGTGTTGACAACTTCAAGCTCTGTTTTTTTTCCCTCTGCTATCTGACAACCTGTCTACGTCTATTATGCGTGCTTACCCGCGCTCGTCCAGGACAAGTTAACCTAGACTGCAGTCGGACCAGACCACCAAAACCATGACATCGCGGTAAACACCAAGACGCTCAGGCTATGGTAGAAGTGCTCCCTGGGATCTCAGACTGATTGTTTACAACATGGTGCTCGAGTGAGTGTCCATGAGGTTTACTTCAATTTTGTGGCTTTTGTTCACCAGTTCCTTTGGGGCACATTCTCAAATTGGATTTGATCTCTTTTCATTGACTTGCGAGCTATAATACGGAGGGAAGGGCTCAGTTGGCCATGAATATCTCCCGTGATGGCTCAGTTAAGCACCAACCCTCTGCCAGAAAAATCAAAGTCCACGAGGTCCTTGAAGAGGGAGGAAACTCACTGTGCTCTATCAGACACAAACGCTGGCTGGACCCGTCTTCTTCGAATACCAATCAGGCAGTGTGGCCATAATATCTAACTTACAAAGTCTTACAACATGGCCATATCCTTCATTTTCCTCACTTCACTCTTTTCCTTCTCATCTCCCTTCGCCTTCTCGTTGTCCTTCGCTTTCTCCTCGCCATTCTCCGCAGCACTAGCACTGCCACCAACACCAGGACCATCATTACACTCCTTCTTGTGCCGCTTCCAATCTACCACCTGGCATGCCTTTGAGCAATAATGTGCTTTTTTGCACTTTGAGCACTTGTTCAAGTCGCCTCCGTTGTCTCTGTTCTTTGCTTCATTACAGAAGATGCATCTGTAACTCACAGCAGGCTTCGTCGAAGCCGACTTGGTGCCAACAGGAGCCGGGGCTTGAAGTGATGTCTGACTTGAGGTGGTAGGCTGCTTGGGACGCAGAGCCAAACTAGCCGTGTTGGCCGCCAGAGCTTGTGTCAGGGCTTGTGTCCGAGCTCGAGCTACCTGAGCTTGAAAGGGATTGGCCTCTTGAAGCAACTCAGCTTGAGTCTTAGCTCGAGTCAAGCGAGTGTCTGTTGAAGCCGTAACCGGAGCCGAAGTCGAGGCTGGTCTCAAGATGCCTTTAGCAGATGCTATCGGGCGAGGACCAGTCGGAGCCATTGTTTGAGACGCAGCTGGGGCTGAAGCTGATGTCGGAGCTGAGGCAGTAGCTGAAGTTGGGACCCCGCTGGGAGTGGAAGCCGGAGCTGGCCATGTGGGATTGGTTCCTGCTGCTGAAGTTGCAACCGCACTCGGACCCGAACCTGCCGCTGCCCCCACCACGCCGCGGCCAGGGATGACATCTGTAACTGGAACATTACGAGGATGGAGAAGAGGATCCCAACTCATCGGGTGGTGGTACGGGTCTGTAAGTCCTGGACATCCAAACGGTAGACTGATCGCCGCCCTAACAAGATGCGGCCGGATTTCGTTCCATTGTGGAATTGGGTGGTCTTCAGCTACTGACCAACTCTTGGGCAGTTTTCCCATGCTGCACGAACAAAATACCGGATCATCTTTCTGAAGAACAGTCGCCACCGGTACTCGCTGCCACTTCTTGTACTCGCAAGCCGGCCCATGCTCCCATGCTTGACCGCGACACCGCTCGGCAAAAGCAGGCAAAGCCTCCTCCCAAGTTCTCATTGTATGAGACATTACCTTGTGGGTGGAAATGGGAACCGGTGACTTATTCTTCATCTCCGCGAAGGATTTCGGCAGTATCTGGCGCAGCTCCTTGGTGGTAACTAGCACAGCGGTGTCCAGTATCACAGTTCCGCGGGCCAAGTCCAGACAGATGCCGTTTTTGGCAACGAAGATGAGGATTTGTCTCTTTCCAGAGCCACAGTCAACACAATCATCATGGTTGTGAGCAAGCTCGCTGATTGCAAACATACCTCTATGCAGCCCACCCTCCATCGGCCTGATGTGCAGATCTGTGTGCTGCCAGATGGATTTTGGCATTATACCGGCCGCCAGGAAGAACAACACGGACAGGGACAATCTGAATTCCAACCTGGGATACCGTTTGAAGGCATCCATAAGTTGTTGGCCCCTTTCCTTGTTGTACTTTTCCTTCTCCTCAGGAGACGCGCTCTCCGGGAGTAGGTCCTCGTATGGACAGATCTGTGGTTTGACAAAGGCTTCGCTCAGAGATAGCTGGTCTTGGTTGACTTGTAGCTGCAACCACCAGAGGCAGAAGCGGTCAGTCCTGTCGGAGGAATGGTCCGCAAGGCAGCCAATGAGAGGGCCGGATTGAGCGATTCGAGGAAGAGTGTCCAGAGGGTTACGCGAGGACGACGCCGGCAAAGACAAAGAGGATGGACCAGAGCTGTGTATATAAGAGAGGAACCAGTTCATCGGGATTTGAGTCCGTTGCTCCAGGTGCACGGGGTCCATGGAGGATGGTATGGTAAGGGTCCTCCAAGGGTACCGATTGACCACCATGTCGAGGTCAATGTAGCCTCCGGCTCGATTAGGGAAGATTAGCTTTTTATGGCGGTTGGTGGGAAGCGGAAAGTCGATGAGGAACTTCACGGGGGACAAGTGAGAGGACTCGGGGTCGTGAGACCAGAAAGATGCGGTGTGATCTTGGGTGATGGTGAGTTTATACGAGAAAGGCGTGACCGCCACCCAGCGGACTTGACAGTTCTTGTTCGCCAGTCTTTCTAGAAGACTTTTGGTCAAGAAGGTAACTCTGGTACTTATCGATTGGATGTGTTGGTGGTTGCCGTCCATCTTGGCCATCGTCGTCGTTTCGATTGCCGCGGAAGGCACAGGCTCCTAGATCTGTGGTCTTTCCGCGGCAAAACCGCACATCCTCGTTACGCCGCTCTGGTTGGGCATGTGCTGACTGATGTATACACCAGATGAGTCCAAACCCAAGTTAGCCTCAAAGATCTTCAGGTCCATGCCCTTCAGACTTCCGGTCGTCGCCAGGAATGAGAGCTCGTTCCGCCGCGCAACATCAGGGCCAAGCGAAGGCACCATTTCAACCGTCACCAACCCCGTCACCCCGCCCCTCATCAAGATGCTGGTGGGAGCCATGAAACTGACAAACAAATCGCTCTGTCCTTCCCACCCAAGCGGATCGGTTTCGATGTCAAGACTGAAGAGAGGAGTAAACGGCCATCCTGCGGTCTCGACCTCACCAAACCCTATTTGCAAAGAGGTAAACAAGTGGCCAGGCATGTTGTCAGCAACAGCTTTACGTTCCCCATCAGGCGTAGGACGAATGCAAGCCTGCAAAGCCGGGATGTACGACGACTGCTTGGTCCTGCTGCCAGTCATGTCCACGCCCGTCTCCAAAGTCTTCAGAATAATGTGCAACACGTTAAGTCTGTGACGGGGGATCCGGATAGTCACGGCGAGGGTGCTCGGAATGTTGACCCAGTTGTAAAGACTGGGGCTGTGGTGCTTGCTATAATCGGGAGTTGCCTCCTGGGCGAGGTTATACACTCTCGGCTTGATCTGCCCGTCGTCGGGGTCAGTGATGGCGTGCTCCGGGGAGGAGTATACGCCGAAATGGTGAAGGATGGTGGAAAGCTCTTGGTCAAACGATCCTTTGGGCTCAACATGGTTGACGACGGAATGCTGAAGGGATTCAAGCATTACACCCAACGTCGTCCGCCAGACGATGGTCTCCTCGACAGAATCGTCGGTGCCCTCTTCAGAATCCGTGCCAGGCTCGTCGGAAGACCTGCTCTTCCAGGTTTCGTCAAAGCATACCCCGGACTCAGCTTCAGACTCATTGGGGGATAAGACCGGTGGCTGGCCGACGAGCACGACTCGGGCCTGGATCATCTTCAAAAGCGCCGCAAAAGTCGCCCGGTTATACGTACTCGGATTCAGCAACTTGAACCCGCATCCAAACCTACTGGAGGCGTTTTCATCAGCACCAGCAGCAGAAGTACCTGGACTACCGGCACTGACGCCATCGTCCTTGCCATCGTCCTTCTTCTCGAACAGGTACTTTGACTCGTACATCCGCGAGTAGACCTGCATGAGAAACTCAGCGAGCTCTTCAGCTTCGAACCCAATGTGTGGCAATGGCATCTCGGTGCGCTCCCTTTCCCATTGAGCCTCTTCGTCTCGGAATCTGCCCCGGAGTTCGGTTTCCCATTCCTTGAGCGCCTCGTTTTGGCCTTTTCTTGCGTCGAAGACTTGCTTCCGGACTTCAGGGGTGAGCTTGCAGAATTGCTCTAGGCCTGGGATCGTTGCCTCGTTGGCGGCGCTGGCGGCGGTCTCCTGAGGAGGGTTCTTCGCTTTCTCCTTGCCCTTTCCTTTTCCCTTTCCCTTCCCTTTTCCTTTACCCTTCTTTTGGCTCTCCGCTCTTCTCCGCTCCTCTTCTTCTTCGCGTTCACGAGCGTCGAGAGCCACCAAAGTCTGCAAGGGCTCAATCAAGTCCCTGTACGTCTCCTCGCTCTTCTTGTACTCGCTGGCAAAGTGGTCCATCTCTTCACGTAGAGAGGAGGAGGGGCCCGGCCAGGAGTCGTAGTAGCTGCCGATAGTCCACTCTTTACCGGTGCCGTTGCTGGGATGGTGGCAGACGGGGCGCTTCCAGGTTAGACGCTGGTTGAAGTAGACTGCCGCTGGGGGTGGATTTGACTGGCAGGGCGCATCGGAGGCACCAGAGACTGAAGGAGTGGGAGGAAGAGGAGGAGGGTCGGAATTGGGCGAAGAGAAAGTAGGTGCGGGAGCAAAGGGAGAAGTGTTGGTGTAGTATTCGACCGGCGACAGACCCAGCAGGACAGACATGGTGGGGAGATCACCATGAAGGAGGCTGTCTGCTACCTCTTGGGAGCTCTTTGGTCCCTGACCCGGATCGTCACTGCTCACACACCGAGGCAAGGGAAGTGTATGCTCGGTATACAACGTTGCTGCCAAGCGGTTGTTGAGGAGCGGAGAGGTCGCGATGAGCACGTTCAATGGCCCAACGTCGTCAGCCAAAGACGAAGTGTCGATGACATCAAAGGATACAGGTGCCAGAGACATTGTGCTGTGCGACTCGCTCGGCACCGCTTGCCTGTACTCGTCGCTGTCGAGCACCAAAGGATCGAAAGAATCCCGGAAGCGATACCAGTTGCCAAAAGCCTGGTCGACGGGATTTCCAAGGGTAGCCGACTTGTGGTGTTGAAGAGTGTGCGCAAAAGCGAGCGCGTCACTGACAACGAAACGAAGACTGATGCGGCCTTTGCGCCAAGCACGGCGAAAGGAGTCGCACCAGTCGGAAAACTCTTGCTTGGCGACGGCCGCGAGGCGGTCAACTTGGCAAGCTCCTTCTTGCGGGAGTGGCTGGCCGACGATGGGGAGGTATGCAGGCGCCAGGTGGAAGCCTTGCAGAGGGTCCGCAGAGTGATGGATGCGGTACCCTGACGACGGAGTGGTAAAGAGCGGATTGATGAATCCGCCTGGAACGCCCGGATCGTCGGACCTCTTCTTGTCTGTCTTTTGTCCTCTTTGCTGAGCCTGCTTTGAGGATTCTGCCAGGAACTCTTTCGCCTTTTGCTTCCCCTTTCCTTTGGCCCTCTTCTTCTTCAGCTTGATCGTCTCTTCCAAGCCAGGACCGGTATCAGTGCTTTCGTCATCTGCGTCCTCATCCTTAACCCATTGCTTTGTGCCCGTCGCCCCCCACCTCCAGAAGTCCTCATTCGCCATCGTGGCATGGAAGGTGGCTTCTAAGCCAACCGGCATTGCGGCTCTGAACGAGCACGCAGCTGCTCTGGAAGGGACGTGGGGGTTTCCCACCTGTTCTTCTTCCCTTCTGTAGAGAGCGGCGGCGAGACGCAAGAAGAAGCCTTCCGTCAGGGCCTTCTGCTCCTCGGAGTGGGGATCGCAAGCCCAGGCTTCCCAGATATGAGTGAGCAGCTCTAGGGAGCCGGATTCAGTGAAGCGAATGCGGGAAATGTCATCACCGGTGGTGGTACGAGACTTCTCTTTGCCCTTCCCTTTACCTTTTGTCTCATTGCCGCACCTGTCGCAGCGTGGCGAGCAAGGGCAGGGCGGGAAGCCCTGGCCCCAACCAAAAGGAGTTTGGTTCCAGGTTAACATGGTTGAGCCAATAAGGCGCAGGCCCATGGCTTGCGAGCAGACGAGTTTGCTGAGGCGCTCGGAAAGGTGCTGGTGGAAGTAAATTGCGAAGAGATCGTCATTTGTGAGCCGAGTGTGAGGTGTCTCGGGTGAGTTGAAGGAGTCGTCAGGGTCGTCATCAAAGTCCGACTCAATGATCAAGGTGAGAAGCAAAATATTGCGCGCTGCGGAACAACAAAACATAAAGTGATTAGTTTACCTTCCGAAAATATGGAGTGGAGAGAGGAGAGGAGAGGGAACAACATACCGATCACCAACGGGTCAACATCACAGCAAGTGATATCGAGCTGGCGCTTCATGTCCGAGTGAGCCGTGAAGAGGACATTGCGAACATCGCCAGAGCCAAGAAGCAGGATATTCACGGGCTTCTCTTCGCCCTTTCTGTCCGGAGGGATGTTCTCTGTCAGACAGCGGGCGGGGGTATCGCCAAAGGGGTGGAACGTGTGGGTAACGTTCGGGCAGGTCGGGGTCAACATCTTGAGTTGATTTTGGCGAAACGAAATGATACGCTCAAATCATGGATGACAACAAAAGAAAATAAAGAAGGAGGACGAAGTGTCAACCCAGAAGAGACTCAGATCCGTTGCGCTGTTGCGACGGTGAGATTGTATGAGGTATGAGGTTGCTGCTGATGGACAAAGAGAGGAAGAAGAAGATCGTGGAAGTGATCTTTGGTCGATGGATTTATACTTCGCTTTGTGCGCCAGGCGTGATACTGAAGAAAGAAAGAAAGAAAGAAAGAAAGAAAGAAAGAAAGAAAGGAAGCGCAACAGCAATCCCAGTGCCTTAGATCTAGTCGGCTGCGTATTGCGACGCGATCTGAGGTTTGAGTGAGGTTGTTGTTGTTGCAGAAGGCGAGAGGAGGAGGAGAGAAAACTTGAAGCTCTGAAGCGATTTGAGGTTGATGAAGTTATCAGTACCCTTTGTGCGTGGTGCGCCTGGCGTGATACTGAAGAAAGAAGGCGCAACAGCAATGTTTGAAGAAAGCCTCAGATTCGCTGCGTATCGCGACGAGATCTCAGGTTGTGTGAGGCTGTTGTTGTTGTTGCAGAGGGAGAGGAGGAGAGAAAATTTGAGAAAGCGATTTGAGATCAATGGATTATACTTTGTGCGCGAGAGAAGTGGGGGTAGGTTTGCCATTCACCAGTCGCGCCAGGCAAAGGTCGAGGAAGGTAAGGGGACTCACGTGAGTTGACTGAGGGTGGAAGAATTAGGAAGATGGAAGTGAAGGGCAGGTAGGCCTCGAAGATTAGATGGATAGTAGGTACCCAGCGTCAACGCCAGGAAAGTCGAAGGCTGAGTGGCTGGCCAGGCAACAGGCAACAGGCAACAGGCACCAAAGGTGAGTGGCTATACGTTGTACTGGTTGGAAAGGCGGTGGGAGAGAGGAAGGCGGGAAGGAACGCGGAGGCAATGGTGGTGGGCCGATTTGTTTACTTCAAGTTATCTATTCTATGTGATCAAGGTTCACTGGCAGTTGAGTGTGTCAATGGGGACAAGGAACCATAGGGCTCTTGAAGATTAAACCTACGCGCACCTACCTGTACTTATATTGTTTTCTTACGGCGACGCTGTGAGTGCCATCACAGCAACTACCTCGACTTAAAGGTCAAAGTACATGCAAGATAAAAAGAACATTCGGTCAATAGAAGTGTAAGTATATCCCATTTGTCTCTGTACAGAAGGAGGAAATTTTGAGAGATGAGGATGTGAAGAACCCAGATTTTCGCTAAAGTTTAGAGTACCTTACATATATGTAGGTCTTGCTGAAGCGTGTGCTGAGGTTTTCTCTACTGGAAAAATCACACAGTTCGTGCATTGTGCATATCAGTGTCCCAGTACCGTACCTAGGTTTGGAATAGTTTCAAGGTTCTCTTGACGCGGCTGCTGTCGCCGGCTTAGTCCATGTCCATGTCCATGTCCCATCTCGGTCATTCTCCCTTGTAGTAGTATAGTAGAATATTCACCGTGCCTAGTGGTACCTACCTACCTATGTAAAACTAATGTATTGTGAGAAGACTCTGGGTGTTTTTCGCTTCGACCGCTACGTCCCAGCATCACGTTTTTTTTCTCTTTTTTTCTTGTAGGCCTTCAGTTTGTGTTACTGCCAGCTGTAAAGCTGGCGCCTTCCCCAGGCATCCATTGCCAGCTGGATTTACAAGATCATCATGAGCTTTTTTCCATCTTATGTATATAGGGGCACCTTTACATTAAGTTCAAATGCGCGTTATGTAAACTGTAGAGGTATATTGTGGACGAAGGGCCGAGTCGCCGAGTCGCGGCCATTCTAGTCAGATCTATTACTCAGCTTTTCTTCCATCTCCTTTCACTCACTTACCTTAAAGTCATTTTTCCAAGTGGAAATTTGTTGAAGCCCGCCATGCGTGGGTACGCCGCGGATAAGAGAAGGTACCTCTAGGCAGGAATGTTTCCATTAACCTGGATGTTGAAGGGTTGTTTTGTGGTAATTGGTACCTTACATGATGAGGCTAGGGTTCTTCACTTTGCCGCAGGTAGGTAGGTACTTCAAAGCGGACCTGTGAACAATGTTTTGCACAAGCCAGCTACCTACGTACGTCACCGAACAAGCTTTTAGATAAAAGACGATGGAGCTATTATGTGTTTCTGCAGAATCATCCGTCGACAAGCCGTACTGTAGGGTATTGAAACAATTTCTTTGGCAAATGTAGGTATAATTGTGTACAACCGATCAGGTTTCCCGGTAAATGTATCATTGAAATTCGAATCTCTCGGACTGTTCTGGAACCGTAGTATTTTTGACGGAAAGACTTTTTTTTTTTTTACATCCAAAATGTTTCTACATAGTGTACCTGTACCTCCCTCCACCTCCATGACCACTTATGTCATTTGCCCGCGCGCCCGGGTCAACAAATGCGCACCATTTGAATGACTTCCTCGGCCATTTTTCATATTCTGTTGTACTGTTTCGGCCCCCCAAAGAACTCTTCAAGGGCATCATACAGGGCAACAGCGATTTTGTCAGAGCCAGGGACCAAGTGATCTCTCAGCGGCCGTACGGCGGCACGGTAAAGTCGGGTCTTATCGGCATCGTTGTACACCGTTCCCACCATGGTCCATTCTCCCAACGCATCAGGAGGGGCCCGGCGCAGGATGAACTGCTTCGACGATCCCCTGAGGAGACAAACAACATCTCCGTATTCGGGGATCTCCGACTTGCTGCTGCAAAAGTCAAAATGGCCGCGCCGAGTCGTGAAGGGCACCAAGCCCTCGAACTCATTTGCGGTGAAGTCGGCGTAGGAAAGAACGGAGGGCGAGGTGGCGCACAGCTTGCCGAAGATTGATGGATGCCCCCCCGGTTCCGGTTTGTCGCGGGATAGCGCATTGGACAGCGCTCCCTTTTCGTAATTGACCCTCCCATAGCCCCTGTCTGCCTCGACAAAAGCTTGGTCGAAGTAGTCGCTAAGCTGTCTCCTCCAAGCTCTGTCCTCAAATGGTTCAGGCGTCGTTTCAAAAAGCATTTCGAGCCAACCCTCCCAACCACGAAGCGTCTCCCTGACTCGTTCTATTAATGCAGAGGTGGTGGTGGTGCTCGATGTCTTCTCTGCAACTTCCAATGGCGAGGCAATGGCGAGTATGACGCCCACCAGCAAGGCGTCCGCCTCCAAGACTCGGTTGCCTTCCAGGAGTTTGAGTGGAAGTGGCTCCTCGGTAACGATGCAAGCATCCTCAAAGCTCTTTCTTCGGCCCTCAAAGTTTGGTACCCATGATGGACACGTCCGCCCGGTCCGCTCCCCTGTGTGTAGTGACAGCACGTCAATGATTCCAATTTCTTGGAGTATCCAGACAGTGTACTCGTGAAAGACTTCCTCTCGATGCTTCGTGTAATCAGGCAACAGGTGGGTTGGTAGCTTCATGTCTTCCGGGCCTAGAAGCAAGCCGATGAACGCGTATAGTCGGTCACGCGGTTCGGTGGCCTTGAACTCCGAGAAGATAAACAGCAAATAGGAAAGCTGGATGTCAATAGGCCATGATTCTGCCGTAGGGTCCTGAGCGAACATCTTTTGTAGCACGCACCATACGTGGTTGATGTTGTGCAGCCCATTCCACACCAGCCGCGTATAGCCGGTCTGTGGCTCCGAACTGGTGATGTTCTCCGGATCAGCTACACGTTGCTGAACATCGATGTAAGCCTGAGGAGCCCAGCCTCCGCGCTCCTTGCTCATGACGGAATACGGCACGGTGATGTGTCCGAGGAGGAACTTGACTCTCTCATGGTCCTCTTCCCAAGTCCGGACCGCCACCTCTTGGATAACCAACATCCGAGAAACTCAAGGTCTGGTGTACAGCGTGCTCATCATTGGGTAGTACATCTCGTACAAACTGTCCGGGTCTTCCTCTTCCTGTTCACCCTTCTCGTCGGGCTTCGTGTTTGCAATCGCGCGGCGCCACTCCTCCTCGGTGTAATCCGGACCGTAATCTCCTAGCCAGATATGCACCTCGGCGGCAAAAGCAAAAAATCTCGCATGCGACTGACTTGAGCACTTCGCTCTGCCATGTCTCGTTGGTTGATACAAACGCTGTCGGTCCAAAAACGGCGGGCTTCGTCTTTGCGACGTAGGTAACTCAGCGCAGAGCGCAGGCTGAGGATGACGGGATAGGTATGGCCGTTGAGGCTGATGTCTTCTATCTGGGTTGGATCTCCCCAGGTGTAAGAGAGGGCGATGTAGTCATTGCAGGCCTTGTCGAGGTCAATGTGCTCGAGGGTACAGCGGATGAGCTCTTCGGAGGATCCGGGGTGAAGAGTGACGAGCCGGATCTCGTTGGTCTGGAGAGGGTTGTGGGTTGAGGGGCTGGAGGTTTTGAAGGATTCCATGATAGTGCAGGTTGTCTTTAGGTCAATTACCAAAATGAAACTGAGCTGAGTGTAGCTTGCAGAGACAATCCAACGACCTACTTGGGTACGCTATAAGTACTGTCTGGCCATGATGAAGCGACGATGAAAGTAAAACGCCTCAGAGACATGCCTTCGATCCGTCAAGCGGGGTCAAGATTTCTAGACTTTCGGTTCCAAGTCGTTGGGTTCTCAAGCCACCGTCGATGTAACATCCTGATGGGCTTAGCTGCTTTTCTCCCCTCACCAAGCCAGCACATTGTTGCTTCTTGAAGAAATGATTTGCCGGTTGCGGCAAGCCCAAGCGCGTGGACAGAAATCCAAAGAGGCTCACACTTTCAACACTGCTTGACTGAGCCTCTAGCTTTGACCAAAAAAGGAGATTTAGCAACAAACTAGGGATAGAAACCGGAGAATACCACTGCCTTATGGGAAAGGATCCAAGAAAAAAATTGGAAATAAGGAGGTCATTGATGATAGCAGAGGAAAAGCGAGCAATGATAGCGACAGGTGTATCAAGAAGGCCAATCGAGAACAGTGTAGACCGTTGAAGAAAGGAAAACTCTTACCACCAGTTAACATATAAGAACCAGATATCTTCATGAGGAGAGTGACCATTCTATCCACCAGACCACACTACATTACCGTTCTAAAGCACCAGATTGAAGTCAACGCAACTCCCAAGCCTCATCTGTCATTACACGGCAATAACAACATCACCACACCATGTTAGCGCCAGTAGGCACCGGCGTCCTGCGCTACACCTACCCCATGGGGGACACGCCAGCTGTGTGCTTGACGCAGGACATTCCCCCTTCATTTCGTCTTCGCGCTCGCTCTCGTGCCTATCATGGGAAGGAAGATGAGAAGGAACTAGAGGGAAAAGAAGCTGAGGACAACGACAAGAGAGAAGAAGACGGGAAAGAAGAAGACGAGAAGGAAGAGGACTACGGAAAAGAAGAGAAAGAGCAAGAAGGTCTTGAAGGAGAGGAGGATAATGAAAAAAGACAGACCGAAGATAAGAAAAGGGAAAAGGAGAAGGAACAAAAGGAAAAGGAAAACGACAAAGACAACGACAGTGACAACAGCCGGCAAGAAGCCCCAATCAACATCCTACTTCTCGGATGTGGAGATCTTCGCAAGATTCTCTTCACGATCCATCATGATGGTAAGTCTCAACTGTCCAGTCGTCCGATCATCTTGTAGCATGACTTCGCTAACTCCTGAAAAATAGCAGTCGCCGACTAGACATAACCTGCTGTGACATTGAGCGAAGCATCATCGGTACGTATCATTCCTAAAGGATGGAAATGAGCTTGAAGAGAAAGAAGAAAAGACATACGTAGGGAACCCAAGAACTGACCTCTTTTTACTTAACACAGCCCGCAACATCCTCTTCTTAACCATTCTCATCGACAAAACGCCCCTCACTTTTGACTTCCTGACCGACCTATTCCCCATCTACTACAACCTCTACCTCCCACCCCGCCTCGCCAGCCTCGTTGCCTCACAAGCCCGCAAACTAGTCGATATTTCCGACTCCCTCCAAGCCTGGCACGCAAGCCCTTACGGCGGCGGCAGCCTGGGGGGAGGTCTTTGCTTCTGTGACTCGCACTCCCTCTTGCGCGTCCGTGAGATGTGGCAATGCTGGGCTTGTTTCGACGGAGGTAATGAGCCAGCGAATACCGACCTCAAAGCCAAGTTCGAAGCGAACCTAGCTGACGCCCGAGACGTGAAAGCCGATGAGGAAAGGCTTGACAGCACTGTTAGTGACCTCGTCTACACAGCAGTACGATCAGCTGCGCCAAGTGCACAAGAGGACGACATGCGCCATTTGGACGAACTCCACCAGTGGTTTTGGAAATCTGGGTGTGTGACAAGGCATGAAACCGCCGCGGACAGGAGAGAGGACACGCAGGTAAACCCGATGTTCGTCACGCCTGATTCGGATGGGCATGTGAGGATGCACTGGGGACTTGACCCGCTCCTGGGGTTTCCTTTAGCGGAGGCGTTTGTGAGGAACGAGGATGAGCCTGAGCCAGAGATATGGGAAGCGGAAGGAATGACTGCACACGCGAAGGTGGTATCGGTTGTCGTGGGGAGCTTCGCCCTTTGGTGTCAAAGTTTCCAGAAAGCATGGGCAGAAAGAAAGAGAAAGGTGGTGATGAGGTGGTTCGTTGGTGATGCGATTACTTTCGGACATACTTTGCAGGGTCTTGCAAGGGGTGTCTCCTCAAGATCTACCCACTGGTATCGCAGCAGACACAGCTTTTTGCCCTTGAGGATTGATGGGGAGGATTACAAGCCTGGCGGCAGCCTTACTACCTGCCCTGCCCCGTTATCCTTCATGGTCATCGACACCTCCAACCTCATCGATGACCTTGGCGCACTCAACGTGCTGATGGCCACCTCACCGTTGCTCGAGAACAGCGCGGCCGCCACGATCTACACCGAAATGCTCACCCGGTACCACCGCACATACAAAGGCGAAGCCGACAACCTCCTTTGCGGCCCTCTCTCCACCGTCGCCCTGCTCCTTGGTCTGGTTTGCGTAGAACATTTCACCAACACCGCCCCTTACCCAGGGGCAACGCAGGACGCCATGGCCTACAATTGGATCAAGTACGGATCTGCTCTGCCCCCAGACATGCCCTCAAAGCTGTACCAGACTTACGAGCGGCTGAGATGGAAGCGACCTATGGCGCATTAGGCGTGCGCTTTTGACCCGTCACCATCTCCCAATGAATCCATCTCATTCCCCATGCTCCCCATCAAGTTCAACGACAAGGAGCTCGTCGGTCTGATTCATCAGATGTACAGAAAAAATGTTCTGGGACGATTGTCAAGGCGAGATCATTGCCGCCATGAACGACCTGGACCTTGGAGGAGGCGACGACGGCGGCGCCAACGAACGAAGGTCAAGCCACAAGCTCTACACGCCCGCTAGCTTTGCTGCTTTCCTGAAATTCATCAAGAGCAGGGTGGAAGTGGATGACTGGACCGCGTTTATTGAAGCGATGCTCATCCTAATTGAGCAAGAGCCGTCCCGGCAACCGCCTGGGGACAGTGAGCCGGTCGCTGATTACACCCCGGAGTTGAGGGCCTGGCTGCACCTGTTTGGCGTGCGTAAGCTTGAATGGATCAAATGGAAGGCTGCCGACGACGCCGGAAACTTGGTGTCGAGATGGGAGCGGCTTTGGCAGTTGCGGACGTGGAAGTCCATTCCGCCAGTGATGTGCGTGACGGTGGTGGTGCCCAAGGAGGCGTTACCCAGGGTGGGCAGGTTGGAGATGGAGAATTTGAGACTCGGGAGGCCGAGTTTTGTTGAATGTTCCATTTACAAGCCAGGCGACAGCAAAGCTGCTACGGGTTCGCGGCGGTGCAACTCGGTTATGGATGGCCGCAAAATGGCGGCACTCGCGTCAGAGGCCCCGGTTCGATCTTCACAGTTGAGCCCACGCGTCCCCCGGGTTTGGGAGGGGAATACCACTTGGCCATGTCCTTTATGGTCCCGACATCTGTGCTTCTTCAAGATGATCATGAGAAGTTGATGGTCAAGGTCCAGTTCCGACGGACTCCCAACACCGGCGATTATGAAGGTGATCTAGGACCTGGATTGACCATACACGAAACGCCCATCCACAACTACGACCAGGTCGTCATCACCAGAAGCCCGCCTAGGCTGACTGGCACTCCAACCGTGCACGAGTTTCCCAGGTCAGTACCTCCTCCAGATATGCAGGCCACGACAACCATCACAGGCAATATCGAAAACGGCACAGGTAAAATCACCTCCCTGACCGCCCGCATTCGCTTCATATGTCCCGAACTGAACTCTCGTCTCGCAAACGGTTACACCGCCCACTGCGGCCCGGTATCACCGTGTACATACCTCATCACCCTCAAGGGCACCCTCACTGCAAGAGTCTCTAACATGAATTCCACAAAGTTGGATGAGCCGGTTCCTCTGTTCATATCCGCACCAGAAGAAGGGTGGAAATGGGAATTAACCTTCCCCTTTTCGTTCCCCTTTCTTTCAAACGTGACCCAAGCACAACTCATTACCGGCCCCGTGAGTCCTGCCAACAACTTCATCGAGCTGATCGTCCCTGTCATCCGCCCGGAGGATTTCCGGGGAATCACCGCCGCTTCCCCATCATGGATCTACCCCGTTGTCCTCCCCCTCCCCTCTTCATCCCCGCCGGTGCCAATCTCATGGTCCCTGCCCTATCTTCCCTGCATCGACAAACTTCCAGTTATCGACCTTGAGAAAATCCGTAAGTCCTCGGAACCCTCCTGGAACTGTTTCAAGCGGTGGTTCGACAATTACACCCACAGCATCTATTCCGATTGGGAGCAGGAAAAGTTGAACAAAACGGAACCCATACAAGGACACCCGCTGAGCGCTGGAGAGTCATCCTCGATGCTTTGGAAGAAGATGCTGAGGGTCATGTTTATGCGCTTTGCCGGGGCCTCGAAGAGGAAGACTACTTTTGCCCTCTGCCGCAAACCTCAAATGACGGTGGAGATGGTCTTCTTTATGTCGCGTCTGAGGCTTGACATTGCAAATCGGTGCTTGGTGCTTGACGGAGGAGTTCTGGTGAGGACGGCGGAGACGAGTGGGTTGATGGATGAGTTGGAGGAGGTGTTCAAGAACGCTGATGCTACAGCGCTAGCGGATGCCGAGACTCAGACACCAAATGAGCCGGACAACTCCACTATGCGCCACTGCGAGACTACACCTAGCGGCATCCAGATCTGGAAGGAACTCCTCCCAGCTTATGTCGAGCGTTGCCGAACGTGGGAGCATGACCCCGAAAGATGCGAGTACCTCCACCGCGCTGGTAAGACAGGAGTGATCACCCCAATGGATGTTGATGGAGAGGAATCCTCGGTCCTTTGCAGCTGTGGCAACGGGCGGCTCCCGGACAATGAGAGAGTCCCGTCGGAAGTGTGGGAGATGACCAATAGGCATCTGGTGAGGGTGGCCATCTCCCTTCCGTTTGGATGTCCATTTGTCGAGGAGCCGTATCTGCCGGAGGAAAATCAGGCTCCGCCGCCGCCGCTGCCGCCGCCGGGTAGTGCTCCTGAAGTAGTGTGCAAGAGCTGTAAAAGAGAAAAGAGAAAGGACGGAGGGGAGTTGGATCAGACTTGTCCCGTTTGTAGAGGAGCGAAGTACTGTTCCAGGAATTGTCAAAGGGCTGATTCAAAGAGGCACAAGAAAGAGGAGTGTACGAGAGGGAAGGGAAAGAACAAGTGAATGTAGAAGAAAGATGCAGAGAAACATAACATAATAGCAAGCTTGTAACATAGAATATCATCTGAAACGTTAATGACGTGATCCCCAGTCTCATCTGTCTTTCCTCTCCTCCCATTCTGCCTTGACAAACTCGGCGCAACGTTCTGCAACCATCACCACCGGCGCCATCGTATGCGCACTAGGGATCTTGGGAAACACGCTAGCATCTGCGATTCTCAAGTTCTCAACGCCGTGGACCTTGAGCTTCTGGTCGACCACTCCTTCTCTTGGGTTGTTTGACATTCGGCAGGTACAGGAGACGTGAAGGCTGGACACGCAGACGCGGGAGACATAGGCGTCTATCTCCTGATCTGTGACCGTGCGCCAATCGAGCTTTTTGGAGTCCTGGTGGGTGATTTGTGTAGAGAAGGCAGGAGATGGTTGTCCGGCTCCAGGCAAGAGATCTTTACCTGGCACAGGGACCGGTTCTTCATCCGCCGGCTTCTCCTTTCCCCAAAGTCTTTGCCATAATCCCGGCTTGGATTCGTAGATCGAGTCCAAGTAACCCAAATCCATTCCCGGTGCAAACGCCAGCGGGGCCTCATACGGATACCCAGTCTTGCCAAACTCCTCCGCCAAGCGCATACTGAATCGCACAGCCTTCTTCATAGTCGCTCGATCCCTCTCATCAGTCATCATTGGATAGAAGATCTTGACATCCGCCAAGGGATCGGCCGATGCAAGCTCGATGTGCCCTTTCGAATGCGGCTGTACGAGAGTCGTGTACCAGGTAAAAAATGCCCTGCCCGGGACGTTCACAGCGAGACAACTGATTGGGATTATTATGATCTCGACATCGGGGATGTTCCGACCCAGGGAAGCGTCCATGGTGTCCTGGTCTGAGGGGTCTCTTGTCCGGACGGTCAGAGTATCCTCGTCAAGTGCCGATGTGCGTACGAAAATGCTTCTGGGTGTGGAGCCACTGGCGAGTAGGCCCTTGCCGAGGAAGAGGTAGAGGAGGAGGTGCCACAGGAAGACAAGGGCGTTTTCGAGGCAGTGGATGGTGTGTTTGCGTGGAAGTTCCATGATAATGGGGAGATTCACGTGGTCGGAAAGACCTTGTCCCACCGCTGGATGGTTGCGAATGACTGGAACCCCGATAGACTCGAGCTGCTCGGGAGGACCGATGCCACTCAGCATCAGCAGCTGGGGTGTACCAATGGTCCCAGCGCAGAGGATGACCTCCCTCCGAGCATGAACAGTGTGTTCGTGGTCGCCGCTTTGAATCCTCACGCCGATCGCGCGTGTCCCATCCTTGTTGAAAAGCAGCCTCGAAGCCACCACTCCAGGACAGATTATCAGCCTCTTCCTCCGCTCCCTGGCCACCTCCCGCGGCAACCAAGCCTTGTAGGCTGAAAGTCTCTGACCTCTCCCATCAAGCGTCTGCTCCAAAGGCATGATGCCTTGCGCCTTTGCCTCGGCAGCATTTACACCATCTCCCACGGGTAGCCCAACCCTCTTCGCCGCTTCTTCAACAAACGGTATGCATTCCAGCTCAAGCCCCGGCTTTCTGATATCAACTATGCCTTCAATGCTTCTGAAAGCCGGTTCCACCTTTTCCCAACTCCAACCGTCAAGTCCATACTCCTCGGACCAAGCGTTGTACCCGCCAGCCACCCCCCTCGTCCAAAGCATGGCATTGATGCGACTAGCGCCACCTAGAGTTTCGGCAGTCCAGACGGCTGCGCGCCGGTTGTTGGCTGAGGGGATGGGTTCGGAGTGTCGAACAACGGATTGGAGGAGAGGAAAGTTGTAGTTTTGAGAGAGCAGAGGGATCCGGGAGAGAAAATTGTCGCGTATTTGACCGCGTTCGAGAAGGAGGACGGAGACATTGGGGGATTCGGAGAGACGCAGGCTAGGACGCAGCCTGCTGTGCGCCTGGAGGGGGGTCAGGTTAGATGGGGTCTACGAGGATGGGCGGGGAGGACTGGACTTACCGCCGACGACAATGTAGTCAAAGGTTTGGTTGTCGACATCGGCCGCCGCGACGGTCGGGTAGGACGACCCGAATGGCCACATGCTTGCCGTGGTTAAGGGCAGTCAAGGGCAGTCGAGGGCAGTCGAGCAAGGCGTCAAAGAGACGGGAGGAAGTTGGAGACAAGTCGGGAGCACATCCTGGCTGGACGTCGGGGGTTTGTTGATTTCCGATAAAGCGCTGAATTACAGACGGTGTTGCGCTGTAACGACGACATGCGCCCCTGTAACCTTCCGTCCCGTCTCATCGGGGCTGACTGTCAGGGAGGGAAGCTTTGTACCCATTGAATTGATGGTGAAGGTGAAGAGGAGGAAAATCAGGACATGCAGAAGCCCTACCTACCTGTAGGATGAAGGCCAGCCTTCAAGACTACCTACTAGACATGAGAATGTTGGGTCTTGCCACTCAGGTACCTGTCTTTTCCGCATGGCGACTTGTGTCTTCCATTCTGAACCACTTGCTCGTTCCTGTCTTGTCGAGCTCTTTCCCAGGATCTGATATGAATGGGGCCTTACTTCCGTCTATCTACCGTTTATATGCCCTGATCCTTTTGTCTTAGATGGTGTATGTGAGGTGGGTGCTTTCCACTTGGTGCTCTATTGCCAAGCCCGTCGGTCAGCGGCCGGTCCCCAGTCCTGAGATAGCTGGGATGAGTGTGCCGCGGCAGAGCATGTTGCTAAGAGGAAAAGTCAATAGTAAGCTCAAGGCCAGCGAGACAGCTACATATCTCAGCTTGAGCGGACGTGCAGATAAGGCTGATAAGAATTGTTGCAGGGGTACGATTACAGGGGCCCTCCAGCGGATCTTAGCGGGGCTACCTTAACGGCCAGCAACCGCAACGTCATTGGCGCCAAGGCTGAACCACACGCTGATCATCCACTTGTTCTTTTGATCTTTCATGGTCACAGTCCACAACACGACACCGTCTCGCTCTCGGTTCCTTATGCGCCCAACAACATGAAGACACTAGGCCAGTCATAACAGTTATACAAATTGCGGCAAACACCCCGCCCAGACAACAACCATGGAGGGTGACACTGCGGCCCCAAATGGCGGACACCAACAGCACGGCCACGGTCCCCACGTCGCCGTCGCCAACCACGACACCAACACAACACAAGCGCATGCTCCGATAGCCGCCGATTCAGAATACCTACAAGTCAACGATAGGAAAACAAGCGTTGAAGATGGTGGCGAACACTCCAGCACAGCAACCAGCCACCTCCCATCCCCGCGCCTCACCGCAACCGACCTGGCAGCTCGAGCTGTCCACGACATGAACACCGACATGACATCCGCGACAAACGGCTCAGATCCCTTGAATGACCGCCTTACTCCCGTCAAAGAGACATTACCATATGCTACCCCGACCGAACCATTCGTACCTTTCGTCCATCTCCCGACACCCGAGCCCGACCCTCAACCAACAGCTCCGGCGCAACCCCTCAGTCCCAGCTGCTCCAAGACCCGAAGCCGATCAGGGACAAAGACAGGTGCCCATGATGGAGTTCGCCGTCTGTCCGCGTCCAAGATCCAAGAACTGACAAACGCGCCCGAATCTCTGCCCATCGCGACAGCTCCCGACCGTCAGCAGCCCGTCGAACCTACATTCTCACCAACCCTCGCCGAAGTGAGCTCCAGACTCCAGTCTCAGCTGGGAATCGCAAATGGAAATGGTCCCAACACATCAAGCACAAGATCACACCCACAACAATGGCCTACAATCGCCCCGCGAACCGTGTCTACTCCACCGGTGAGCAGGCGTCTCACAGCCACAGCAGCCCCTCAACAAGCTCGTCCATCGCAGGAAGCCTCGATCCGTCGCAACTCATACCAGCCAAATCCTCGACCGCCGCCTCTCGATCTCGATGGAACAAGCAACTTTAACCCTGGCGCCGCCGAACCTAGGGCCGCCCCTCCACCACGTCAGCAGCCCGAACCTGACGCGGCGCCCCCATCGCCCATACCGCAGAATATCCCTCTACCGCCTATGTCGGTTCCTACACTCTTACAACTCGAGTTGGCTGGATCGCGACCGAGTCCGCTATACATCCACCACTCGTACACTAGCGACATACCGTACGAGTCGAGCGCAATCAAGTTTGAGCGGTTGAAGAACTTCTTGGTTGTGCCCTTTGTCCTCGAGCGATCCATAACCTTTGGTGCTTTGGCTTGTCTGGACGCTTGGCTATGGACCTTCACCATCCTACCCATGCGCTTTGGCATTGCTGTGTCGATTCTGCTTCAATGGTGGGGATACGTTATTGCCAAGGAAACTCGATGGGTGGTAGGATTTGTGTGGTACGGCCTGGGACGGATGTGGAGGCGAGGTCGCCGTGGACGGTCAGAGTCAGTGGCGAGTACGGATGGTCAGCGGTCACGCAGTCAAAGTCGAGTACGGGACCAGCCGGTTAATAACAGTACGAGTGCTACCACCACCGGCGCCGACACCGGCCATCCCAATCTCAACCTCCGCATGGCCCCCGGGACTAAACCCGCCGGTCCCAGCCGCCGTGGAAGAGGCTTCGGCCACCGTCGAACCAAATCCAACCCATCCAACCTGACACACTACAACAAAGCCGACCTTCTCCAAGGCGCCGTGGTAATCGTCTCCTCCATAGCCCTCATGTCCCTCGACGCCTCGCGCATGTACCACTCTATTCGTGCTCAATCCGCCATCAAGCTCTACACCATCTACAACCTCCTCGAAGTCGGCGACCGTCTGTTGTCCGCTCTCGGACAAGACATCTTCGAATGCCTCTTCAGCAACGAGACCTTGTCAAGGGACAGTCTAGGCCGCAGCAAGGTCTTGCTCCCCCTAGGCATCTTCTGCTTGGCTTTGGTCTACAACATTCTACACGCGGTTATCTTGTTTTACCAGGTGATAGCGCTGAACGTGGCTGTGAATTCCTACAGCAATACCCTGCTCACGCTGTTGATGAGTAACCAGTTTGTGGAAATCAAGTCGGCTGTGTTCAAGCGGTTCGAAAAGGAAAATACCTTCCAGATGGCTTGTGCTGATATCGTCGAGCGGTTCCAGCTGTGGATCATGTTGTTGATTATTGCCATGCGCAACGTGGTGGAGGTCGGCGGGCTTAGTGTGCCCGGGGCTGGCAGCGAGGATTCAGGGCCGAGTTCGTTCCCGCTGCATACGGCGAGTATATTGCCTGCCAGTTTCACGATTCTGCCGAGCTGGCTTTGGAGCGGAGAAGTGCTAAGTCCGTTTGTGGTGGTCATTGGCAGCGAGATGGTGGTGGATTGGATCAAGCATGCTTATGTCAACAAGTTCAATAATATCAAGCCAAACTTTTATAGCAGGATATTGGATATCTTGTGTAAGGATTATTATACAAACGTAAGTTCTCCTGTTTCCCTTCTTTTCTTTCGTCACTTACTAAACTTTCTTTGTGTTAGGCCTTCGTAACCCCCCAGCTCACCCGGCGTCTCGGCCTGCCCCTTTTACCCCTATCCTGCCTCTTCATCCGCGCCTCCTTCCAGATCTACAACATGTTCGTCGCCGTCCACGTCCCGACACCACTACCGCCTTCGACACAAACCTCGCTGTCAGTCGACTCAGCCACGCCATCACCCGCCATGCTCGCCGCTTTAGATCGCCTAGACAAGAAGATCCGCATTGCTTTAGGCCGAGCAGTCTACGGCAGTTACCCCTTTGGAGAATCTGACGGTGGCGGACTAGCTGATAACATCAGCTCCAACTCCAACTCTTTTCCCACAGAGGACATGCCAGAACCAGCTGGTCTGGCAACACATATCTGGTCCTCAATCTCCCAATACCTACCAGAATGGAAGTGGACCTCCGACGACGTCATAGCGTTCTTCACCATGATCACTGTTTTCTTGTTAATCTTCCTGGTGCTGCTCATCTTCAAGTTACTGTTAGGGATGTTATTACTGCGATACTCAAGGGACAGGTACGCGAGGATGAAAGCTAAGGAGGCGGCTATCGCTGCTGGACAAGCGGAGAAGGAGTCGTACGAGACGAAAGGGAAGAGGGTCGGGGGTTATGGACAGGTTGAGGTGGGGGAGGAGAGGAGGAGGTGGATATTTGCTGATGATCCGAAGGGACTTAATAAAGTGCGGGAGAGGGAAAAGGGGGGTGGTGGAGGAGGAGGGAAAGGGGGTGGTGGGAAACAGGAGAAGGACTTGAATACGGTGATGAGGTATGAGATGATTGCTAAGCGGATATGGTAATGGCACTTGGGCTATCGGACTGAGAGATTAAAAGCGAGCGAGTCGGGGATTGTTTATTCGTTATGGTCTGGGGAGAGGAAAAGAAAAGACGGGTTGTTATCGTTGTATCATATACATGGCGTTGGAGTTTGGCGGGAACAAATATAATACAGCATGATTCCTTCTAAATGGCCTGCCGTGTCATTGATCTTGCGTCGTATGCTGGCATTTGTGTTTGGTAATGCCGCCTAATGAAGCTAATGGATTGAATCTGACAGTAACTGTAACTCATAAAAGTGAACGGATAATGATGAAGAGAAGACTTCGAGAAGAGCAACGTAACCACTGCGGTATCAACCATTGTGTAATCAAGAAAAGGACATGTATCCAATCTGTAGTGTAGAGATATGTGAGACGACAAAACAAAAAAGAAGGAAACCAACACCAACCAACCACCTTCCATGCGCCGTAATTCCTGCCCCTAGTTCATGACCCTTGTGCCATAGTCTGTTTAGGTTTCTTCCGCCGTAGCGCCGCGTGTCCAGCACATGTTGATTGCTCCTGCCCGTCAAGTGCCAACTGTATCCCGATACCTTATCCAAGCCCTTTAATCCCATTCCGTAACCCCAAAATTCCACCTCTCGCTAGCCAAAACCCAAAATCCATCTCTTATCATGTTCATATCCAGTTTCATCACAAATCATATCTCATCCCATCATTCCCTTCTCCATGTCGACCGAGTTTTAGTTCGCCACGCTCGCAGCCCTCCTAACATGACGCTCCCCGTGTCCCTCCTTGGAAGTCCTCCTCTCCCTCTCCCGCTCTCTATCCTTCCCATCTCTTTCCTTCCCACCATCCCTCTCCCTCTCCCTCTCCCTCTCCCGGTCCCTATCCCGCCTCTCCTCCCTCTCCTTAGTCGCAATCTTCTCATCCTCCTTATCCTTCATTTTCTTAAACAGACTCTTAATCATATTACTCTTCTTCTTCCCGGCACTGTCTCCATCATCAAGATTCACTTCCTTGCTGCTGCTGGTGCCGACTCTCGAAGCTGACTTTCGCTCTCGGTCCTTGGTGTCCTTTTCCCTTTCTCTGTCCAGTTTCGAACGGGAGCCACCGCCGGCTTCGCTGCGAGTGCTGGTGCGGTGAGAGCGAGAGCTGCGGTAAGAGACTTGTGAAGAGGCGCCGACTTCGCTTGAGCTGGTGACGGCTTTGTCTTTCTTGTCGCGTGACGACTTGCGGTCAGGAATGTCGAGGTCGTCGCGGTGGCGTCTGCTGCTGCTCTTGTCTTTGCTATCCCTTTCCTTTTCCTTCTCCTTTGCATCTCGTTCCTTATCAGACTTATCAGAACTGGAATGCCCCCCAACAGCATCCCTCAACCTCTCCCTCAGTCCACTCGGCCTATACTCCTTCTCCTTCTTCACCGTCGTCCGTCTTGCCAATCCCACCTGGCTCACCGAATCATCCGGACTGACTTCCCCATGCACCTGCACCTCATCCTTATACTTCTGTCTCAACGCCTTATCCGCCTCCGGACTCCTCAATTCCACCTCCGCCTCTTCTTCCCCCGTAACCACAATCCCGCGTCTCCAGCACTCGATAGTCGATAAATCATCATCCAACACCAACGCATCATCATGTCCCCCCGCGGCAGCACCAGCTCTCGCACCGGCATTAAAGCCCATAGCACCCATACCCATACCATTCCCATTTGTTGCACCATTCCCACTAACAGCATTCATCTCCACAGCCGCTTCCTTTTGTTTAGCATTCCCCTGCGTAATCTTCCTAATAATCTTCCACCCACCAAACATAACCACCATCACGCCCGCGGCAATTCCCGTGCCAATTAAAAACTGCGGTGAGCAAAGCAAGGCATAAATCGCTGGACTTCCACCCTTTAGGAACGCCAAAAAGGCAGGACTCATCTTCCCGATGATGGCACTAAGTTCAGCCAGCGACAAAGCGACGGCAGCTGCTGCTTCAGGGTTTTGTTGCAAGTTCTCGATCATGCATGATGCTGAAGCCTGTAAGCAGTGCGCTTCTAGAAGAAAGGATTCGATGCGGGAGATGAGATCCAGCGCTTCTTTTTGTTCGGGTTCTTGCGGGGAGAAGTCGGGTGCGAAGGTAGGGATTCCCGGTGGTGGGACTGGGTAAGAGCGGTTAATGTTATCGTAGGAGGAGCGGTGTCGGCCGCGGTCGAGGTCGTCGCGGAGGTGCAAGTCGGGAGGAAGGTCACCGTAGGCTAGGTCGTGGTCTCGATCTCTACTGCTTCTGTTCCTGGAAGAAGAGGGCGGGGCTTCGGATTGCCGACGGTTAAAGGGGTTGCGACTACGACTTCCTGAAGCGGCGACGTCAAAGGTTGGACTGGCGGGCATGGTATTGGCGTGGTTAAGTGTTGGTCGGCCACCGGCGAGTTCCAGATCCTTGCTGTATCCCTTCGGTGGCTTCGACGGCGCTGTTGACGAAATCTCCGTGTACGTCTTGAGGTTGTCCACCGTCAGGGCTGTCGAAGGAGTCGGTGCTTGAGACGATGATCGCTTGCCGCGGTGGGACTTGCTGCGCGAAGCGGAGGTGTGTTTAGAAGCGAAAGAACGGGTGTCATCGTCGTGGGATTTACGGCGTCCACCATTGCTGTCGCCGAGAAGTTTGCGATCCCTGATGTTGCCGCCGTCGAGCTTCTTGACAGGGCCTCTGCTGTCGTATTCATCGTATCCTCGACCGCCTCGGGGAACTGTGATGTGGACTTCTCCCCGTGATCGGCCGGAGGAATAGCTGCCGTTGTTGAAGTCGCGCTCTGCCTTTGCGGCTTCTTTCCTCTCGCGATATGTAGCTTTGGCATCCTTGAAGATGCCCATCAGCTGCCTCCCCTATATCAGATTTATTATTAGTAAATGTCCAATTGGTTGATGAGACAAGGTGGGTGACACAGGTGTCAACGGTCTGCCCGAAAGACAGACAGACAGGGGAGTCCTTACCGTGCTGATGATCTTCCCCGAGTTGTTGACGATGGTGATAATTTCTTCGCCTGGCATCTTGGGCGGTTGGTATATCTCGTCTTTAGGTGTCGTGGTGTTGATATGATGGACCTGAAAGGACCGAAAGCGTGCTGTAGGCGTTGTAATGGCGGGGTTACCACGCCTAGAGTTATCGAGTGTTATTCCCAGCCAGTGGTTGACTCGATCGTGGCTGGCGCTGATGGGTCTTTTTGGAGCCGGTGTTGTCGTCGAGGGGTATAGGTGCAGCTGACTCGAGAACAAGAAACCAGGTAAGGTAACAAAAAACGTATTGTAAGGGAATATGCTCTTGGTGAGTCAAAGAAGAAAGATGTAAAAGAGTTAAAAGTTGTTTTTGTCAAAGGATGGCGCGGTTCGCTTGTGTCTTTCGCTTGTCGGTGCCAGCCCCCTGGGAGTCAAGTGTGGATACAGCGCCACTCTTCTCCTCCTCTAGGAACTGAAGATGTTCCACTCTCTGGGCTGAGCTTCGATCAGATCAACTGAGGCAGCCGGGATCTAGGTTGTTGTATGTTTCGATTCTAGGTCGTCGTATGTAGAAGGTGTAAACATGAAGAGTCCAGTAAGAAGTGAGAAGAAAGAGAGGAGGAAGAGGTAAAAGGGGAAACAAAAGTAAAAGCCAAGGAATAAAGTCAGGGCGAGTAAGGTCCGGGGATATTACCATTCGTTAATTCGTCATGCTATGACATGTCCTCCCCTTCGTAGGTTTTTGTCCGTGGTGGACGATTCAGTCCAGTCATGTGTAAGCCACCCTTCTCGGAATTTCTTTTCTCACTGGAGAATAGGCAACCTGGAAAGTCAAAAGCAGGGAGGGGACATGGACAAGGGGCAACGATATGGGGATGAGAAGAATCAGAACGAGACCTCCTCCACTGAAAGAGGTATGTACCTTGTATCGATTCATGCTTCTTCCAACCCGAGCGAGTCTTGTCCTTGCAAGTCCTCCCACGTTTCCCCGTTCGGAAGACAAGAATATCGACAACCGACAGCCAGCCAGCATGTCCAGTATGTCCAGCATGCCTAGCATACCAACGCAAGCAATCAACGCAAGCAAGCAAACAGCGGGAATGGCGGAAGGATGATGATGCGTCCAAGGTATGTATGCGTAGCATTTTCAGGGCTGCTTGCTGCTACTTGGACTGGAGTTGACGGCACTTGACCAGTCAATGTTTAATGATACTGACCTGTATGTACATGTATTGATTAGAGAGTGACAATGATTGGGCGAGGGATGTCAGAAGTCGGGCTTCCTTGCAGTTGTCACATTCGATGTTCGAGGAATTCCCGACTGGAAGCATGTTTTCCTGCCTCTGGCGGCCGTTCCTTTCGTCCCATCTTCCCCCCTTTCCGATATCTTGAGAAACATCACAGCAAAGAGGGGTCCTCGATCGGATGACTCCAAAGCCCCGCAGGATCGGGGAAGAACATGAAACTGAAACTCTCTTCACCCCCACTCCCACCAAAGAGAAATGTTTGTGGATCTCTTCACCGCTCGTCTCTCCGCCCTCGATTTCCATGCGTGAGCAAGGTGGCCTGTGCTCCCTTCGGCTACCTCCCGGTTCGCTTGGAAAGTGAAGAAGTCTGGAAACGAGGCGCTTCACCTTGTTTGTGGCGCGCTTACCATGATCAACCAATCGAGTCTCGAAGAAGTATGTGTGTGGAACCACTTCAACGGTTCCCCTGCCACTTTCGAATGGCCAATCGTCAGTGAGGTCGGCTATCGACTGAGTCCCAGCCAGTGTCTCCACCGCTCGTCTGGTCTCAATGGTCTCGGTCAGGAACACCCGCGGCCACACCACGGGAAAGGTGAACAAGGTGAGACGAAACACTCGCCTCGCAACTCGCAACCAGAGCGACACGCGGAGGATATAAATGGACAAGCAAGAGAAGATCATGATCTTCTCCAACTCCATCGCTGAAACAACATCAGCGCCAATTTGCTCCGTTGATCGGGTTGGTGACAGGCCCGTCAACCACCTGACGTGTTACAAGTAACGCCTGCACCCCGTAAAAGACCTGGTGGAAGCGAACACTGGCAGTCTGGCGCTCTGCAAGACAGACAAGCAGCGAACAGCCAAATCGTCCAATCAACCACCAACCACCTCGTCGGCCTTGCTCTCGAGGCCGTGAGAACGGTTCGTCAGTGGTCGGAATGGATTCAGACTTCAAAGAGCTTGGATTAGGGCGGCATGCCAAATCATCAATTGCCCCACTCGCACCTCGTGGGCTTTGCGAATTGCGAATCTCGCGAGCGTCGTCGTTGCTTGTTAGGTCCGCGTTGAGTGCTTGCAGCAAAAGAGTCGAGAGCTTCATTTTCAAGTGAGATGGATGACCGCGCAAGCTGCTGGCGTGCGCAGCTACCTTTTCCCCTCACTCACTCACATGCTTATGTTCTTTCCCGGCTCGCTGTCTCTTCGAGGTTCGCAACTCTGTCTCCATGTGGTCTGTGTGAGTCGGCTTGCGCATTCTTGCAAGTCGCAGTATCGGCGGGTAGAAACAAGAAACGACATGGCAGAAAAACAAATTCATTTTTCTGGCGTTACCATTCCCAGAAAATGTGCCCTGCAATTGGAGACACGACAGCAATCCGATCGGGGTGGTGTGTGTGGGTGCCCGTCTGAGCCATGGTGATGGGTGGCGGTCCGTGCGTGGGATGACTGGTCCGGTGGATGAAGCTCGAAACTTGCATCACCATCGTTGGAAGTTTACAGGTTGGAGGACAGTGCAAGACCACCCGCTAGGAAGAATAGCAAGATGTGAATGACAGTGTCGAGCTTGTCAACAATCATGAGTACGGTGCAGTACCTTGACCCTGGCGATGTTATGCCATCCAGCTGGTTGAAGATCGTTTTTCGCAGTTGGGGTATCAAAGCAACAAGACTGGACAACACAAACATGCGGACAATACAGTGAACAATCAAACGCTTGAAGCCAAATTGCTAGATATCCAGAAAGAGTAACCAAATGCTGTGTCTATCAAGCCTAGGAGTGTGTGAATATCCAAACCCGTCAACGCTATGCGATCATAAAAAGTATCCAAATTAACAACGCCAAACATTGAAATTCAAAGCATCAACCCGTAGGCACCTTGAAACATTTGTCCGAATCTCCCAAGAAATCATGCAAATGGTACCAAAGCCTAAGGGTGCATCCGTTTACAAACGACGAGATGAGAGGCAGGGAGTTGAGAAGAATGGGAATCATGTACGCTCAGGCCATCATCATTGTCCGCCTAGGAAATGAAAACTGGAAGCCGGCTGCCTCGAAGCTCGCTTTTGGCAGACTGCTTATCCTTTTTGTCAAAGTCGTGCAATTGCAGCCAGCAGAGCATTCTGAAAATGAGCGTGCACCAGATAGCCTGCGCGACGGCTTCCTGTGTGGGCTCCAGTGCTTGCGCATCCAATGCTTGCGTAGCTGGCGAGAATGGCAACGTCCGATGTGGCTCGCTTGAGTGGAAGGTGACATCTGGGGTGAGAGGAGGAGTGGCCGTCTTTTGACCTGTGACATAGCCCTTGTTCAAGCGCTTGTATGATAAGACAGCGCGGCTTCCGACCTTTTTGAGAACGTCCTCAAAGTATGTCCCCATGAACTCACGCTGTCTGTCTTCTGGGTTGGCCTCACTGAGTTTCTCGAAAAAGGTCAAGGCCGTGGGCTTCTTCGCATCTTTCTTTTCCTCCGTCATCGCCGCTGCCGTGGATTTTCCGTTGATATCGCCCGGTTGCTCCGTCATCGGTTCGTTTATCATCTTGACGATCTCTTGGAGATGTTCACGAATGACCATGTTCACAAGACCGCGGTCGCATGACAGGAGGTAATCGTCACACTCCTCAATAGCGTCGTGTAGTTGGTTGAGGAGAGGAAGATAGTAGCCAGAAATCACCGGTAGCTGATCTTTCGGCTGTTGCCCTTCCTCCGCTTTCTTTCCCTCTCCTTGTACGCCTTCCTTCATCGTCATCCATGAGACCAGTCGTTGTAGTGACAGCATGTCTGAGAAAGTGGTCTCTCTCTGGACTTGCGGTTCCCGGACCTCAGCTTCCACTTGTGCTTTTTCTTCCGGGTCTTGCTTGGTTTTGGGCTTAGTTTTCCGCTCCCGTCCCGCCTTTTTCGAGTCTTTAATCTCATCTTTTCGTTGATTGACGTCCTTGTCGTTTCGATCCAGTTGCCTCACGACTTTGCCAGCCAGGCGTTTAAGAGCGCGAGTCTGTTTTGAGGCCTGCGCATACTTTGTGTCGTTAACTTTGGCCTCGAATTCTCTGATAAGCTTCGTCAAATCAAAGAAATCTCTGTCCCAGTTATAGGGCGTCGGGTTAGGCAGCATGCGGTGATAGCTATTTCTCATATGAAGAGGTTTGCCAAGCATACCGATGATCTCGAAGGGCACTGTGAAAGATGGGTGAGCTAAGAATCCATAGAGATTGATAGAAGGTGGACTTGCCTGCAAACAAATGTTGATGTACCGTGTCCGTCGTCTTAAAGTAGTTCGCCGTGCTGGTGTTGCATCCGAGCTGGACCATGGTTTCTGCAATTTCCGCCATGCTGCCTAACTGGAGCTCATCGGGATCCTTGGCGTCAAGCCTACGAAGATCCTCATCCTCTTGGAAGATGGTGGGAATATAGCCAAAACACAGTGACTTGATGCCATCCACAGGTATAGTTCTGTTCTCTCGGAAGCGAGCCTTGCCGGATATTTGGAAAGTGAAACAGAGGCCAAGGTCGGGAACAGTACTGCCGGTAAGCATGTAACCGTTTCCCTCGGCGCGGTATTTGTCCCTCGACCGATCGAACTCCTTCCAGTAGATCCCCAGCATAGCGGCAATCTCAACTATGTGGCACATGGTGGTAATGGCGTACGGCTTTTTGACACCGGCGGGCATGTTGTCCCAGCTATGGTGTTTGGGCTGAAGGGCAACGACCAAGGTGTGCTGCTTGGGTCCTGGCAAGATAGTGGGTGAATCTGCGCCGGCATCTTTGGCATACTCGTCGATATTGTCGGCAATATCCCTTTCTTTCTTTCCATGATGATTGTTGACGGTCTGCTTGTGATACTCGTTGACCCAAGAAGTACTGTCCTTTTCCATGCCGTTGATTTGTCGTAACAACTTCAGCCAGGTAGCTTCTTCGTTATCCGCCGTGAGTACGCGGTTGTTATGATGTTGAGGCTGATTGTTCGCCTGTTCTTTCCCCTGTCGTATCCAGAGCCAGGCTACCGCTTTGCTCCTCAAAACCTGGCGTAGCTTCTCTTTGAGCCAGGTTTTCCAGGTCTTCAAGATGCGGCCCTGTTCCTCCTTAGCTTCGGGCTCGTCCTGTTCTGTTTGAGTCCAGATCCAGGCCTTCCATTTACTCTCATCGCTTCCCGTCAGGAACCGGAGTGGCTCTCCCGGCACGGGACCTCTTCTGTTGTCTGGTCCGCAGACGAAGATGACGGGTGCTTTGTACAGAACCTCAAAGCGAAGCTCATTAGGGCGAAACTTGCGCCTTAGGGTATGGAGCCAGCCGCCGCTGAGGCTCTTCTGGCAGTTGGAATAGCCCGTGGCAGACGCGAAGTACTGTTGGAGAACTTGTAGGAATGTTCCTATCAACGCCACGAGCGAGATAACGAGGGCGGCCGTTTCGACCTTGTCATCGCTGTTGCCCATGTTGTCGGTGTAGGAAACGGCCCCGGATGCAGAAAAGTCGAGAAGTCACTATGGACGAATCGAGCTGGGAAAGGGCATGGGTGTGGAATTAGCTGTCGTTCAGGCGTTCGTGTTTCTAAACCGTCTTACGAATGGCCGTATGTGGCGTTGGACGAGATCGTGATGTTATCGTGGGAACAATTGTCTTGGTCGGTGATCGTGTTCTCGTGGTTGTCGTTGGCGTCGTTGAGTCGTAGGTGCGAAGAGGCAAGCGAAGCCTAACGGGAGAGGATGCTACTCTAGGTAGGTAATGGACATGATTTGGAGCAGAAAAGAGAGCTGAGAAGTGTCAGAATCGTAACAGACAGAAGAGGTTTAGTAGGAGGCGCAGCAACATGAGTTGTGACAACAACATACTTGGATCTTGAATGTTAAGGAGGAGGAGGAGTGAGAGGCTCTGCCGCCGCCACCGCATGTGCGACGGTAAACAATCCTTTTGAGTGCGACATGCTGGAAAGAAGTTTGGAGGTGATCATGTCCAGCGAATCTGATAGGGTAGGACGGGGGCGATAGGGGTGGTCGGGGCGGCCAAACATGGTTCTTGTCGTGTCTGTACCCGACGGGCGGCCGAAGAGGGTCGAGGTGAAAGGACAAGGCCACCAATGGTGGTGATGGAAAGTTGAAGTTTGTTGAGAAAGGTTGCATTGGAAATGGACTCAATGGAGATCAGATGGCGGAGGCGCTGCGCTAAGGTTGCGCTAGGCATCCGTCTGCAGCGGGCAGACAGCTGTCACTTTTGTCGCTGTTACTTTCTTCCACTTGTTGTTTCGTTCTTTCATCTTGAGCATCATAAGATGACTTTTATTTTTGCAACTTCCATGTTTCGTCCGTTCCTTCTACTTCAGCTCTCGTATCCAAACAGGAAATATGAGCGGTCAACTTGACAGGGAAATGAGGTGATGAGTCTGCCGTGTTCAGCATCGATTCTTGTCTCTTGGGAAAGATTTCCCTTTCAGCCCCCAAGTACCATCACGTTGGAAGGTTCTGACTCTTTTGGTCTGTTTCATCGTGGGCGACCTCCGTAACCACCACAACCATGTCTCCAACTGTCTTCACAAGACATCGCCACAATGCAAGTCCATCGTGGTTTCTAAATGAAGACCAAAAGTTGCCCAGTTGAGCACAATGAGTTGGCCTTGAGCTCTTCATGATTGCTGCGCCTTCTTGCTTGCGTGGCCAAAGAGGGGGTTACCCACAAAGTGATATGTTTGCGTTTGACAAAACAGGCAACATCCCCTCCCACTTGTGACGGCAACCAAATCAATGTATAATTATTCAGTTGATACGCACAGGTCATCATCCCAACCAAGAATCGGTATTCGGGTTGCCAAAGACCTAGATATGTGCCTAGCATAGCCACTTGTACGGGGCCGGGGCTTCCACCGAGTCTCGAGCAAAACGAGGACGGTTCAGTCCCGTCTGTGCTGTGTAAGTAGTGATAAGGAAGCCCCGCCGTCTCCACCTCTAAAGCCGGGCCGGACCGGAGCGAACAAGGCCCGTCCCGGCGTGCTTGTCCATTTCCTTCCTGGGATGAACCGCGGAGCCTTCCAGCACAGGAGGTAACGACTTGCTCTTTATAAGATAATATTTTCTTCTTTCCCAGCTCAAGTTTCCCAACACGTCGACCAACTAACTACAAACTGATAAACTGAAAATACCCCAAAACAAACCTCCTCGTTTACTTCTCCAAACAAATCTCTTGCAAGTTCCGCCGAATCAAGTTCGCACACGTTTTTACGAAGAAGGGTACTTTTCTCCTTGATCCCACTACACACACACACATAACCAATATTAGCATTAGCATCATCTTCCTTCAACCTCCCCCACACCCAAATCACAAACCAAAAAGAAAAAAAAAAACTAAAAAACTTACATGCTCAACAATACACCCTCCCTCCCACCTAAACCGATCCACAACCTCACCAATCCCTCCGGCGCGATAATTGACCCAGCTCATAACGGGACTCTGCTCACTTTTGATGGTCGACCGCAGATAGGTGTGCGAAGTCTGTTGCCAGATCGGGGAGAGGATGGACCAGGCGGATGCTGCGCCGTTTTTGGCTAGGGGGTTGTGGTTCTTTTTTCGTTTTTTTGGTTATGTTAGTTTTGTTTTTGTTTCTTTCTCAGGGGTTTGGATGGATGGATGGATGGCCGCCGGTCATGGAAGAGGTGACGGAGGCGAGGACAGCAAGAGGAGAACAAGGCCAGGGGTACGACAGAAGCGAAGCTAGGTTGACACGGAAGAGAAGCAACGAACAATATAATCCTCAGCGATATACTCAAAAGCCTTTGTGATATTCTTCTTGCCACCTTGCGCGCCGACAAAGGCTTGGACGAAAGTATTGAATCGCGCTGCCGTCTCGTTGGCAGTGGGTGCTGGATCGAGGACTCGCTTGCATGGAGGAGGAGCTGTTGCACGCTCGAGGAGGAGGGAAGAAGGGATGGTGTCTGTGATGGGGGCGGCGAGAGTTGGCTGGATAGCCACAGCGAAAAAGGCGGAGATGATGGTGAAGGGACGCATGATGGATACAAGAGAACGGAACGAGCGCTGGCGATGAATGAGGCGGTAGAAGTTGCAGACTGGTGATGATTGCAAGGAATCAATGGAAGCAGTGAGCGGACTCGGACAAAGAAGGGGACGAGACCTGAAGATATGTAAGGGACAGCAGTGGGGATGGCAAAGCCAAGTACTTGGCCCAATATAAACACAATGCATCAACAGTCGCGGCTGAAACGGAAGACGGCACTTGTCTGTCCGTATGTCGCAAGTCAAGGGGATAATTGAAATCTTCACGGCACAAGTTAAGCATGGATGGGTGGTCTTAATGACAATCAGTTATGGCTCGGGGGTTAGATCTGTCCCACGAGACACATTTTGGTTCCCAGGCCCTGCCTGTCTAACAGATGGAGGTGGAATACACAAAGCTGATTAATCTTTCCGACTACTCAACCCAGACAACAGCACTGAGGCCATCCTCCTCGCCAGCCCTGCCCTTGTTACCAACCTGCAAGTTCGCAACCAAGTTCCCAAGCTTGCCAGTCGCAGGGTCCCTAGACACAATAGCCACGTTGGAGGACGTCTGCCCACCAAAGGCAACCAAGGTGCCGTCCTTGTTGATCTCAAAGGTACGAGGATAGTACGAGTACGAGTTGGCGGCTTCCTTCCAGGCGAGAGCACCAGTCTGGGCATCAATGGTGTAGACGGCAATCGAGTCTTGGTTGGAACCGAAGGTCTGATCCGCGCGGTTGGAAGCGTACAGGAAGTTGCCAGCTACGCGAATTTCGGCAGCCTTGGTAGTCGGGCCACCCTTCTTGCCAGGAGCATAGGTGGAAAGGGTTTGCGCTCTGCTGAGGGCAAGGCAGCCGTTGGAGTCGGTGGGGTACACCACGTTCCAGGAGGAAACCGAGTTGCCGAGCTCGTTGAGGGTGTACAGGCGGAGGACGCCGTCAGCGGATTTCCACCACTTGGCGTGACGCGGGCCGTCACCGGGCGAGGCTTGACCAGCCGGGCATGAGGTCAAGCGGCCGGTGCTGGCGTCGATCTTGAAGATGCGGACAAGGTCGGCACCGAGGTCGGGAACGAGCATAAACTTTCCTGTGGGGTCAAGCTGTGTCTCGTGGGGATGGGGAACATCCTGTCGTGAGTTCGGCCCACGTTGTGACATGGTGAACTTTTCGAGCTGAACCTGGCCTTGTCCGAGGGGAAGCTTGTACGTGGTGATGGTTGACGGGGAGCTGTGGGATAGCGGTTAGAGGGGAAAGTCTTGTCGAGGAGAACAGGACACTTACTACTGGGCCGTGGCAATGAAGCCCTTTCCATCAGATCCTCCGTACACCTTGCCGTGGACCGTGTTCCCACTGGTCCGGGTCTGGCCAGACTGACTAAGGCGTCCATCGCTTCCAACATTGTACTGCGTGATGACACCACTTCCAGTCCAAGACTCGTCGAAGCAGTAGGCAGTCTTGGTGTCGTTGTAATATTCCAGCCAAGCAGGAGTTGTGCCACAGCCACCAGTCTGCGAGGCAATGGAAAGTTTGCCGGTGGTGCCACTAGTGGTCAAGGAGAGGGTGTAGACCTGTCCGCTGAAATGGGAAACCAGCAAGTTGGCGCCCAAGACGGACGGGGCCAGGGTGAGGCCGACCAGCAAGTTGGATAATAGATGAACCATGTTGATAGCGACGACGAGAGAGTAGAGCTGAGGAGTGCTGATTTGGACATGATGGTAACGACTTTGATGACGCCCTTTTGTACTTGTTCGTTATGGGTCACGAACCCAGCGCGAAGGGTCGTCCATGGTGGTTTGACAGGCTGACTTTAGCCGGAATACACCACGATCTTGATGCTGTAGATCATGTCCGAGTTGTATACAATGCCAGGCTAGGATCGGAGAGGAATTGCGGCTGGCGATTGGAACGTTTCTTGGAGGATGCCGGCTTGGGAGCACGGGGTAAAGTCGACGGCCAAACGCAGGCGGGACAGGGTGACATGGTGTGTTATAGCCGGAGGTAGACGGCGATGTCCAAATGGAGGAAACGGCACCGATCCGGGATGTCGGCAGCAAACAGGCGGGAGTTTTAGCCCACAAAATGGCATCCTGTCGAGAACTTGTCAATATCCGGGAGAAAGAAAGGTATGGGAGAAATGTGAAGGGCCGTGAAAGGGACGTACTTTACTCGAGACTAGTCAATGCCATTGTGGGACAGTTGCGTTGTGGTGTTGTCGACTCATTGTCGTGTGTCATGGACCCGGGCGAGATGTTGCGAAGAGTCGAGCAAGAATCGGATGCGACAGTAGACAACAATCGCTTGTGTGTTCGGTTGCCATCATTGCGCGAACCGGATGTGACGAGGTTGAGACATGCCCATGTCGCTGTGGGATCTAGGGTCCGTTAAGGTAAAGTCGAGGAGGGATGAAATCAAGGTTCGTTGTGCCGGATGCCAGATTGGATCTAGCATTGACAAGGCGGGACTTTATCATTTCGAAGTTGTTTCGTCGCAAAATGCGTTTAGCAGTTGTCAGGATGATCATCGGCCCTGCAGGGGATCTTTCCAGCAGAGTTACCCCGCCCTCCTGTCATCCACAGAGCATCCGGATGCAGCCTGGCCCCGTCGCTGCCCGTTGATCTTATCTTATCGCAGTGACACAACGGTCATGACGTCATGTCTTCAGGTACCATCTGCGTCCTCTCGTCTCCTTGTTGTTTCTGCCCAGCCATCGCAGAACCGTTCACCTTGCAACAAATTCTCTTTTCTTTAATACAAACCATAAATGCAATCGAACTAGTTACCTTTACTTCACGCGATAACATCCCCCACCTACAAACCGCATCCAACACATCCAACCACCCACCATGTCCGACATCCTCGAAAACATCAAAGAAGCCCTCAATCCCAAAGAGCGCGAACAAGCCACCATCCCCGACTACGACCCACACAAGCGCGGTCCCTATCCCGACCCCGACAACAACGAAGCCTCGACCATCGTCAACCCAGCGACCGATACCTCACAACAAGTGTCTCCTCCAAAGGGCGATGTGCCCGACGCCAAGGCGGCAACGTCAACGCAGGAGTCACGCAAGGTGGCATCCGGGGTGGGTTTCAATGCTCCCAAGGGAACTTATGGTCCTCATGGCTCGCGCGTTGCTAACTTTTTGGATCCGAGGGTGGATTCAGACCGCGACGGACGGCCGAAACATGGGTTGAGTGAGATTGGGCCTGTTGCTTCGAGGGTGGTGAAGGATTGAATGGTGGTTGAGCAAGGCCCGAAACGATGCGGGAAGGGGCAGCAGTGAGTACGGCAGGAGTAACAAAGGGTTCGAGGCGGATCGATGTTGATACCGGTGGAGAAGGGAGAAGGAAACAAGTCTACGGCCAGGAAGAGGTGGATGGGTTGGAAGGGATGCTAGTGGTTGTGAATATACCCAGACAGAGAGAGATGCTGCCAGGAAACGGGTCTGTGGCTACGATGTTGTCGCGATACCACAGAATGGACAAGTTAGCAAATGCTGGAGAAGCACCAAAATCTATGGATTAATGTTGACCTGGAATCCAATCGAGGAATGTTCTTCATGGGCGTTGCTGCGCAGACATTCCCACCCGTAGACCTCGCAGGCAGTATGCATCATGTATCGCCTGACATCTTTACAGGTACGTAATGCAGACTGCACGTCTTCAGCGAGGGGTCCATCACGACATGTGGTTAAATTGATGTCTTTCCTAATATCCACTTGCGATATTATCTTTGCTTCCACGCCTTCGTATATTCGTTATCAGACATTACTTGTATATTATGCCAACATGGCAGAAATCATTCGTTGAAGATCATGATGCTAGACAAGAAAAAACCGTCTTTCCAAGGACCAATATGTCCAAGGCTCTATGTCATGGCTGGTTTGATCCACCAGCTCCAGTGTATTGTACTCCCAAACGCCGTTTTCCACACCCAAGGTACGCTTTTCCTTCACCTCTTTTTTGCCTTCCCTTTGGACGCTCGCTCAAAGCGGCTTATCGAGAATCTGATCCCCCTCCAACACCTTGTTCCTATAATCCACCACCGCATTCGTCGCCGAATCACCTCCCTTAAAGGCCGATTGCAGCAACAGCGGCAGCATCGCATTCATGACGTTGTCATTAAGCTCCCTCTTGGTCATCTCCTTATTGCCCCAATAATGCCTGACCAGCTGCCCGGAGCAGCCCAGGTGTTTCTTCTCCGGTATCCCGTTCGCCTCGTCACACGGCAGAACCCTCAACATGCTCTTGCCCGGCTCCTCCTCGATAGTCAGCCCGTCCAAGAAGTCGTACCTGACATGGGAGCTAAAGCCCGCCTGCTCATGGAAAATCACGTCCTTCCACCTCGCACAGCCCTTGTATCTCGTCTCGTTGGGACACTCAGCCCAGTCCTTGAACATCCGCTGCGTGTTCTCCGACGCCTGCGCAATGATGAAGCCCGTGTTGACATTCAAGTTCCCCCTCAAGTCGCGATTGACTTCGGCGTCCGGATCCTGCGCCATCGCCACCATCACCTGCTCGTCGATCTTCCAGTAGTTGAGCATCCACTCCAGCGGCAGCTCGGGGCTGGGAAACACGGCGTCGTAGTCCAGCATCACCACGATGTCGTATTGCTTGAGCAGCTCCTGCGTGAAAATCACCTTGGTCCAGTGCGGCGCCCGGTCCTTGTATGTCGGCGCTTGCACGAACTTGTACGTGTACCCGTGGATCAAAGCGTACAGGTAGTGCGAGAGAAAGCCGGCGGAACCAGGGCGCAGGGCGTCCCAGGTTGGGAAGGAGGAGGCGAAGATGGCGCCGTCTTCGGTGTGCGGGCGCGTGTCGACGTCGAGAATGCAAATGCGCTTGCCGAGCGATTGGTGGTGGACCAGCTCCGAGGCGGGAGGCAGGCGTTTGACGGTGCCGTCGCGGGCGGTGAATGTGGGAGCTGTGATGGGAACGACGAGGGGCGCGTAGAGGGCCTGGACGATGGAGGAGAGGTTGTCGAGCGGGCCATTGGTGGAGTTGGCGGCACAGTCGCCGTGGAAGGGGTTGTCGATGGTTGAGGATGGGTTGGTGGTAATGACTACCTTTGGCCTGCCAGAGGAAACAATGGATTAGCGATGGTCAAGTGGCGGGGCTAGGTATGATGGAGGACGGGGTACTCACAGGGTCGAGCGAACGGACTCATTGAAGAGGCCGGTGAGAAGGGCCAGAGTAACAAAGACGACAGGGAGGAGGATGAGGAGGCGCCGGGCAGGCTGGGAGAAGGTAGGTAGGACCGACATGCGAGCGACGGCCCGCTGAGGCGGTGGGTGGTCCTTGACAGCTGAGTCCAAGAAAGAAGAGAAGATGAAGGCCGAATCAGGTATCGCAAACCCGACCAAGGACTGGATGGTTGCGCGACAACGACACGACCGGGGAGAAGTGTTGTCAAAGAGTTTTGGTGATCCGAGCTGTCAGAAAATCAAATGCGCCGCACGAGGAACGAGGCGCAAATCGGTTATCGAGGACGTCAGAGCGAGCTGAAGATCGTGGGGGTGGCGCGCCACTCGACTGGACAATCGCGTGTGCCCAAAAAGGGAATGTTGGAACCGAATTATTGTGGAAGGACTGGCATGGAGAGCGAATGAGCGGGCTGTCGCAAGAAGAAAAGAAGTCGTCCAGCGTGACAAGGTCGCGTTGCGAGAAGAGAAAAGGGGAATAGATGGAAGGGAGGGAGAAAGTATCGTGAAGTGGTGGCCGCCGAGGGAAGTGGGAAAGCCTGTCGTTCGTGAATGGGAGAACCAACCAACCAACAAGACTATGCTGCTTTCAGCTTGGCCGCGCCGTGCTACCCGCGATTAGGCTCTGTTGGTTGAAATTTGAGAATGGAAGAGAGAGAGAGCGGGAGGCAAAGCGAGTGAATGGATAATGCCGATCCACTGGCCTGGTCTCCCTGGTGAAACTGTCTCGTCCGACGTCAACTCAGAGAGGAGGATGGTTCACGATGCGGGTGTTTGCATTGGCCCTGTTGTCTGTGTCTGGCCCTTTCAAAACATGCAATTTTCCCTTCAGTCCGCTTGTCAAACTTGAGTTCTGAATCCCGTCACTGCAGAGTCTCAACCTCAGACTCTGTACCGCCGAAAGGGCCCTGGCCTACTAGCAACCAACACTTTCCAGCGGTTCGCTCTGGATTTTCAATGGCAATGGGGACAAGAAGCAATCGGTCTAGCCTCTTAAAGTATAGTAAGAACGGTGGAGAATGGCGGATGGACCCTTTTCTGATCGCGGACATCAAACACATTCCGCCAATCTCACAAGGATCCATCCATGATCCGAGTGATTGACGAATTGATTGTTCTGCGACAGCATGCTCCACGATGGCTTCACGGCTTGTTGAAACTCCAAAAACTTGAAAGAGCCCAAAATCTCACTGATGGAGCATCTTGGCATCTCGGCCTTTTAGCTCGGCATCAGGCAGCCGCCATCATTACATACCTATTTGGTTGCCCCTTTTCTTCGTTTCCAGTGTGGAATGTCACGTCTAGATGAACAAGCGCACGGTGCAACGAAATGTTGTCTTGCTGTCGTGCTTGAACAGACAGATTGAAAATGCACCGAGAGGTTTGTTATAAAAGACATGCAAAACTGAGCCCTGCACTAACAGTTTCCCCCAATCCCGGCGTCAATCGGGGTATCGCTCGTCAAATTTCACCGACCAACCTCAACGGGAGACGGGACAGGGGCCGTCATGTCCTTATCAGTCCTTATCAGTATGGCCGTCCTCCTCTAACCCCTGCAGCACTTTGGCCGCGCTCCTCGGATCCTCCCGAAGGAACGAGCTGTCAGTCGGAGTCCGTCCAATCTTGTTCGTCTCAATTTCCGCGCATCGGATCGAATTGAAAGACAAGGACACCCGACCCAGCTTTTCCCCCCATCATCACCACCAATTGCCCCCACGCCTCTTGAGTACACTAATTGCCATCTTCCGACCTCTCTCGGGTATTGACATGCGTTTGCCAGTCAGCGACACCATTTCGATGCGGATTTATGACCGACGAGCTCTAGGGCTCCGACTTTGTTGCAAAGGTATGTGCCGGGTGCCGACCGTTGGACATTGGGAGCCAAGACATCACTGTTCTTCCTGTGTCGTTGTTTTTGCGTTTCCATTCCCCAGACGTCCAGTCTCTACATATCTACAGCTCAACAGGCGCTAAAAGCTGCGGGTAGTGTGTTAGTGCATTTGCGGGCTGGACCTATTACAAAAACCCGCACGCACTACCCAAATCATAACGCACGGCCCGAAAGTGCACTTTTTGCACGCAAAATAATTGTTAGCACTAACTGAATTTCGCGCTTTTCATGTAAGTGCATCGCCGTTCTCCCGTTCTCCCTTTTCGCGTTCTTTATCGTGAACCAACACCGTAACAACACCGCAGGATCGCCTTTCATCCACCACGGAAGGGCCTCCCCGAACACTAGTGGTCCCAAGGCAAAGATCACCAACTTTTGCTTCTTCCATTCTCCCGCCACGCAATACACTGTACAAGAATTCAGACTAACTCTGACAACCCTCGAACCTTCAGGTACCTCTTAACTTCTCATTCACGACCCCCATTTGCCGCCGTACATACGTATTTCGTTCCGATGCCACCGTTCCCAGAGGCCGCGGTCAGCAACGCCTACACAGTGCGCTAGCCAGCAAAGAGGCACGCACCGGTCACAGGGCATGGGGTGTCTGCCTGTGCGCTTAGGTTCTGGTGCCGTTTATTTTGCAGCCTATGCCCTATCGTTCCAATCGCCTTTTTCCGTGCTGTCCTGCTGTAAGCCTGTCGACCTGTCAAATCACATTCCGTTGCACAACTGGGCTGGGAGTGATACAAATAACGGTCTAAAACCATTGGCTGGCTCGCATTGACCTCCAGTCATCTTCGACCTTCCATCAACCGTCGAACAGGGGTTGGTGAAGGAGATCACGCGGCCGAGATAGAATCCCCGCGCCCCCAAGGACCCCTAAGGGCAAGGACAGACAGATTGGACAATGGACCGGTTTACATGTTGCTAGGTGCGTCGTCTTGATATCGGGTACGTTTCCACCTTCATCATGGACGGAGCAATGCCTACGGTCCAGGGGGCTGGGAAACGGTGACTTACCGCCTACCACAGCACGTTACCTACCGATGAGCTGGGGTGCCAGGCCGCTACCCACCGTTTGTGACTTTTCCACAAAACCAGGGGCAGCCAAAGCGCAGGAAAAGCGAAGCAGAAAAGAACTTTTCAGCCCCTGGTTGATTGTCGCTTGCCAAGGCCTTCCAGTGCTTCAAGTTGCCTTCTGGGCCCGAGTCCAGAGTCCCAGCCCGCCCACAGACGAGACATGGATGCCACCGCCCTTGTCACACCTGTCACTTCTGTCAGATATTGATTCCCCCCCGTCATTATGACATGTTCTGCCTTGTTTCTTTCCCACTCACTTCCCGTACAGCTCATCCGGTCGCCTCGCCCTTGGGGTGTGATGATGCCTCGGATTGGAAAAGTAGGTAGGGTGTCGGAGGTGTCGCCATCTGTGCGACCTCTCGCTCGTCATCAGAAATGACGGCAGTTTGGGGGAAGCACGGGAGCCGACGGAGCCCGCGAGGCAACAATATGATGTTACTACACAGAGGGTAAAACGGGGTCAGTGAGAGATTAACCAAGGGCCGAGGAAGTCGGTTTTGTCGATTTATCCTGATCAGAAGCTATGGAAGAACCCATGGCTACAATCTGAACTGTACTACACCTACCTTCCTCTTCCGTATCACCGCCATTATTGCCGTCTTGAACTCTGGCCTTGTCGTCGTCATCATCACCATAGACCAACAGCGGCAGCCATGTACTCGTCGTCGACCACAGCCGCGTCTGAACGGAGCCGTCGCTCAAGCCTCGATTCCACCGTTGTTGACTTCTCTCCATACCTGGACACCGAGTCTGATCCCCTATTACGATTACCCAAACCATTTGACCACCACGACTATCATGATTATCATCCACATGGACCGTACCACTCCATCGCTACCGCCAACCCCTCCTCGCCCTCCCTTGTCTCCATCAGCCACCCGTCCCAATCCCAGCCCTTGTCCCTCCAGCTCAGACAGAGAATCAACCGCAAAACAGACCTCCTCCTTCTCCCCCTCCTCTCAATCCTCTACCTCTTCAATGGCCTCGACCGCGGAAACGTCGGAAACGCTCAGACTCAGGGGTTCACAGCGGATATCGGTTGCGAGCCGGCCGATCTGAACCTGGCCATCTCGGCGTTTTGGGTCATGTTTGTTGCTTGTCAGCCCGTATCGGCTGCCTTTGGGAGGAGATGGGGAGGGAGAGTGTGGATTGTTGGAATCATGGTAGGTTCATTGTTTTGATATGTGATACAATCTGTGTGATGTTTAAGACCGCCAAAGGACTGGCTCAAGTGAGGTTCGGGTAGAAAGCCAAAGTTACCTACCGCGGATGCATCCGTGGAACTGGTGGCTCTACATCGTCTTTTTTTTTTTTTTTTGAACGGTCCGGACCCTAAAACTTCACGGATGAAAGGAACAACTTGACTAATACGTAATTTGTCTGTTTTTGTACAACCGTAGCTCGGCTGGGGAGCATTGACACTGTCTCAGGCCTTTATCAAGGGAAGAGGTGAGTTGACTACAGGACTGTTATTCATACTTCATACTGTAGTCCTGCACGGCAGTTTGTTCATCGAACTGCATCTCATCACGTTGTGGAATCTTTTGGTCTCCTTCCTTTCCCAACCTCCAGACAAGTCCAGTCAACTGCTCTGCTCTACACATACCTCTCTCGTCTCTACCCATATACACAGTTCACAAAGCTAACATAACTCGATAACCACCATAATAGTCTCTCTCATAACCACCCGCCTCCTCGTCGGCGCCTTCGAAGCAGGCTTCTACCCCACGGCTCTCGCCTACTTGACGGCTTTTTACCCCCCGTTTGACCTTGCTGTGCGCATTGCGCTGTTTTACGGACAATATGCCGTGGCAGGGGCGTTTTCTGGGGCTATAGGTATGTGTATCTTTGTGAACTCTCGTATGTTAGGAGTGGTGATGGTTGTGGTGAATTGGTGTCTCAGTCCACCGAGTCCAGTCCCGGCAAGCAGTGAGCAGACAGACCCTGATGGACGTGGACTGGCGTGGACATGCATCCATGGCTCCATTCATATCCCCGGCCACGGCCACGGCCCATGACCATTCATGAGCCAAACCAAACAACACCCGTACCATTCATGCATGCACCACACTCACAGTACGAATAATTCTTCACCCTGGGAAGAGCTAGCTCGGCTAACCGTCACTGGACTATGACACTAGCCTATGTCATATTCCGGATAGAGCACCCGACGCTTAAGAGCTGGCAGCTCCTGTTCCTCATCGAAGGTGGTGCGACATGTCTTGTCGCACTGTTTGCTTGGGCGTGGTTGCCCGAGGGGCCGGAGAGTGCTTGGTTTTTGACGGAAGAAGAGAGAAGGGTATTTAGGAGACGTCGTCGGGTCGTGGACCGAACGACAGGTAAAGGATGGACAACGGAAAGTGATGATGAAGGAATGAACGGGAGGTACCATGGCGAAGAAGATACCGAGATTCAGCGGATGGTAGTAACAGTCCCATCCGCTGAAGATGTTGAAGAAGAAGAAGAAGAAGAAGAAGAAGAAGCATCCGGACGTCTGGTAACATGGCGAGAAATCGTCCAAGTCGTCCGAGACTGGAAGCTCTGGTTGCTTCTCTTCTGCAACATCTGCGCCAGCGTTCCCAGCACCGCATTCTCGGTATTCCTGCCTTTGGTAGTAGAGGATATGGGATTTTCCTCTCTACAAGCTAACCTGGTTCGTTTTTTTTCCTCCATCATCATCTTCCCATACTCACCCCACCTCGGTACGTTATATATGTCCATCAGCTAACACTCACCTACCGTCACCTAAAAAGATGTCAGTCCCCCCCTTCATCTTCGGCGCCTTAGGCGTCTACCTCTTCGCCCTCTCCTCCGATCGTCGTCGAGAGCGCGGGTATCACATCATAGCCGGCCTGGCCATTTCCGCTGTCGGGTTGGCAGGTATTCTTTTTCTGACCAGTTCCACTTCCACTTCGCCGACAGGCAAATACCAGTACGTGGCTTTGTGCGTTCTTCTCTTTGGGAGCTACGTGCCCCCGCCTCTGACGGCTGCTTGGATATCGAATAACACGCACGGAGACCCGAATAAGGGGGCGTTGGTGCTGGGGATTAATGGGTGGGGAAACCTGGCGGGGGTTATTGGGAGTTGGGTTTTTAGGGTTGGTGATGGTGAGCGTGGTGGTGACCAAGGGAAAGGAAAGGGAGATGGGCATGGAGATGGGGATATGTATAGAAAGCCTTTGTTGATTACGCTTGGGTTTGTGGGGATGGCGATTATAGGGTTTTGGGTGTATACGGAGGTTTTGAGGTGGGAGGATAATAAGGAGAAGACAGCGGATGAGGATGAGGCTGAAGTTGAAGCTGGGAAGATGGTGGAGGAGAGCAGCAGGATAACGGATGATGAGAGAAAGCCATGTTCTAGGGATGGTAGCTTGTAAGTCAAGGGTAGTAAAAACGGTGGACAGTGGTGGGTATGTAGCTCCGTATGTCATTGTCGGGTACCTCGTCCTCAAGCTTCAGCAACAGATTGGGTATCAACGATCGCAGTCGTTAATGCAAGGACCAGGGAGTAAGGTGTAGTGTTGGTCCATGGTGGGTTTCTGTCTCGTGGATCTTCCTGACCGAATTCTCGAATCCTGGATTTCTAGACTTGGATGTGAATTGTGAATTGTGAATCAACGTCGTGTGGATGGATGGATGGATGGATGGCTTGGTCCCAAAATCCCAGGCAATGCTACGCGGCCAGCCCCCCACTTTGGCACACACTCCAACACATTCCGAATGTTGCATCCCAGCGTCGTCGTCGTTTGTTCTGTTCTGGCTCGCGCATCAGGTACAATGGACCCGACCTCTGAGACTTCCATGGTAGGTAAGGTAGGTAAGGTAGACACTGTAGAGAGGCACACCGCCCGTCCCAGGGCCTATCGTGCTCTTGATGGGTGGTGAAAGGGCGGAGGATTGCCATGCCACTGTGCTCTCCATGGCTACGCTACCATGCCATTGACAAACACTTGGACGGGTCTTGACAGGGTTGTTGTCTTGGGTTGCTGTGGAAGGTAACGAAGGTACAGTATCCTCTTTGACCACGGGGCACCCATGTCTTTCCCATACTTTGTTGTCCCTGTCACTATCTGTCGTTGTTGAGCCCGGGTCTATGGTACCTACATAGACCATAGCAGCTCTGGAAGCCGTTCAACCCCTGCTAGGTAAAGATATGCTGATGCTTGCTGTGCTGATTTCGAGCCATGACCTTTTCCACGAGTGAAAGTCCAATCATCCCTACGGATGGTGTGCTCGCACTGCCCTGTGCCTGGTCAACCAAACACCTTCCATGTCACTGTCTTGTCACTGGGCACTCCCAGTCCCGGTCACTGCCTGGGGTGGACTGGTTGTCAGCATGGATGATACCTATGGATGGACGACAACGCCGCCGTTCGGTTTGTCGGTTGGAAGCTTCCCATTCACCTTGAATTTGGCACAGGCTGATCTAACCCTTCTGGGGCTAGCTTCCTTCGCCGGTCTCGCGGCTGCGCTTGTCACGGACCACGGTAGGTCACGGTCGGCGGCCAGAAGCAGTTGAGTGGCTCCAGCTCCTGGTCCATCCTTTCCCCAATCCAATCCAATCGAACAACAAAATGTTTCCCCTCCATCCTTTCATTCTTTTTTTTCTCTTAGCTCACCTTCACCACGTTTGAAGATGAAAGAGCGATTGTCGAGTGAGTGACAAGTAACTTGTCATGATTTTTCCCCGATTGTATCGTGTCATTGATGGACACAAAAGAGTCGACTTGACGGCAAGCAAGCAAGCACCCAGACAAGCAAGCAACCTCGAAGCAAGGTAAGCAATGAAAGCTGCCATGATGACCATTATTTTATGACCAAACATGGGGTCAACGGGGGTTTGCTTTTTTGGAGACCGACATGGACAACGGAGAGCACAGGAGTCGGGAAGCAATCGGGTATCAGCCCATTGGGTGCTTTTCGCCCATTCCCCGGTGCCGTCGGGACAAATGGTGCATTTCGGTGAAGGCTGATGCATGAGATTGAACCGGCAAGAGCAGGAAACAAGCAGGAAACAGCAGGAAAAGACCAGGCAAGAACAGGCTGCGAGGACCGAGTTGTGGTAGCACAAGGAGCCAATATCAAGCCCCGGGGGCCTGTTCTGTCCCTTGTTTCCTGAACTTGAAGACACAATCTAACCCTGGTTTGCTTGTTAGTCTGGTACAAAAAGACGCCCGTTTCTATCCTCGAGCCACTGGGAGAGGACGGACAGGTACTGGAAGGACGGCCTTCTTATATCTTTTAGCCTTTCGGAAAGAAGCATCAAGGGGCTTTTTGTAGCGTTTCTACCCTGGTCACATTGTCAGTTGCTTCAACGAAAACCTGAAGGAGGCCAATAAGGGCTCTGAAGCTCTTCTGTTTAACCCCGGTCCGAAGTTCCAAGCTAACAAACAAACCAGTCTTATATTGTAACACAATCCTCTTGTTCCAAGAACAAAAAAAGAAGCGAAAGAAGGAGGGAAGTCACGCGGGTTGGAGCCGATGATCTACCGATGAAGCCATGTCCTCAAGTGTAAAGAAAATCACCTTCCATTCCTCCTCCTCACGACGGGATCTGTGTGTGTGGAGTTGTGAACACGCTACCCCTCCGCGCCCACACTTCCATCTGAATGAATGCCCGCCCATTGCAGTACGGGCATCTGTGCCCCGTGGCCGGGCCTGTACCCAGTCGGGTCCAGTGGGAGGAAACAGTGGGCTCCTTCAGATGGAAAATGGGTCGGGTGCGCACGGACTCCTTTTCCGGATACAGTACCAAAGACACGCTCTAGGGCAGCGTGGACAGGTACCTCGAGAATGTTACTTGGGTTAGCGGGCAGTCTTCCCCCCCAGCCGCGTGCATGCCCTGAGCGCGTGCCCACCAAGCCCTGGCAGCCCCTGGTAAGCCCTCTCCAGGCCCCGGCAACGGACTTGCCTGCCACAATGCCTGCTACCACCGAGTACCTTTCCATTCATGAGAATCGAATATTCCCCTGTCTGTCGTTCCTTGAGGTTCCCATCCACTCCCCTCCGCACCACAGCACCAATCCCGGGCCTCGCACCACGCAATCCGAATCCGCCAAAAGCGCATGGAGTGGCCGGCGCGCGGTCGCGGGTACAAATCCACGGACGGGTACTGACACCGATGCCAGTGCGGAACCTCAACGTCGTCGTCGTTTTCGACTACCTCACCTCGTTGTTCACCTCTTTGTCACAGTACAGTACAGTACAGTACCTACCTTACAATTAGTACCTTGATCATCACTCAGCCGCCGTTTGTCACCGACTCCCCGCCTTCCTTTTCCTCTGTCGACGGCGGGACTTCCTCTTCCATGTGCAGTGGCCGCGGCGGCGTTGAGGGGACTCGACCTTGAAGTGAGTCCACCTCATCCATCCATCGACCGACGTTCTCGATTCGATTCCTCCACTTCTCCTTCCTCCGCCGGGCGGCTACACCTCACCTTGCTGCTTGCTGCTGCTTCCTCCTTCCTTGCCCCATTGTCCCGTTGTCCCGTTATCCCGTCTCCGTCGTTGCTGCCTGTTGTGGATGACGACCTAACCACTACTGAGTACCCCCCCCGTTTTCTCCTTCCCGCTTGCTTCTGCTGGAGTGAGGGAGAAGGGAAAGTGAGTGACTTGGACTTGCATTCACACTTGCCGTCTTTCGGTCTTGTCGTCTTTCCTCAGTCATCTTTTTCTTTACCTGACTCGTCC